TTATTAAAAGTATCCAAATGCAGTTTTGTTTTTCGTGACCTTGACCATTGACAAAGATGGTAAGGAGCTGTTCCTATATTGCAATTTCATTTGTTAATCTCACTTACATACTTGGTAACAGTTCTAAGTCTTTTCTACTATTAATATTAATATAATAATATATCAGAAACGCATGGGTGTCGACAGCCTCGACCCTACGCAGTTCTAGAGGTGTTTATTTGCATAATTGTAAATAGTTTCATTGTATATAAAAATGTGAACAAAAAGCGACCTTTTTGTGTAGTTTTTTGCTCATTGAGGTCCGGCGTAGCGTAACGATACACAATAAAGTCATAACACAATGAGCTAAAGCGAAGCGCTCGCGGACCGTGAATCATCCACAAAAAACTATCAATGCCACTTTGCTTCCTCTATTACATAAATTGACAGTATTTAAGAGGAAAATGTTCTATAACGTTTAATAATAACCTAACTAACCTGGTGTGGAATAATTAAATGAATTATTATTAATAAATTAGGTAATAACTAAGTGTAATTTTTCTATTCTGTCAGTACTTGTTAATCTGGAATATAGACTACGGCCCTTGTTGTCTATTTAGGTCAAGAAAGTACTCGCGTTAAAGTTGAGAGATCTTTATCATCCACAATTCTAGGTACATGGTCTAAAACGCTAGTCAGATGATACAAACTTGTCCTAGAATAATTTAATTGTTCAAAATAAATAAAATTATTAATAACGAATACGTATATAAAAATTTAAATACAAAAATGCATCAGGTACACGTATAAGTTATAAATAAACATGAATGCAGTCTTTACAAAGAAGATGGTTTGTTAAAAATTTTCCTTGAATGAAAAACATCGTTGCACTGTGAAGGGATAAAGTTGAATAAGATCTAACGTAGCGCCTACTTCGCACACATTGACGATTTGCACGGCCAGTGCGACGTTGCCAGCCCGACTGGGGCACCTACTGAGAGCGTTCGAGAATTGATTTTTTTTTTCGCGCTAAAAAAACGAAATTGCCATGGTTTTGGACTCTCACAAAGGACTTGTATAAAATCATATTGTCGTTTGTATTCTCTATGAAAAGTTTCGCGGCAGGGGAATTTTACTGTTTTATGCACAGATGAGTAATTGATTCTTATCCAATTAATTTCTAGTGAGAAAATATGTTTTGTGAACGTAAAAAAAGTTAACAAACACGTCTTATGGCCAGGCCAACATTATCTAAATGTACAGTTAAAAATTACTTGATCCATTCTTTTTCAAGTTTATTGAATGGCGAGATAAAGTAATCAAAGATAAGCGACTTAGGTAAACAGAGTCATAGTAAATAATAGATAAAAAGCTAGTCCATAAAGGATTCATTCCAACTTGTGCCAATAATAAATTACATTAAACAGATAAAAGAAGATACGATTTTTTTTAAATACATAAAAAAAATTAAATACATTATACATAACAATGATTCATTACAGCGACAAAGTCATGGCAAAATTTGGTACAAATCATGGATAAATGTACACATACATATTGTAAATATTTTTGCATTCAAACAAATTGTCTAACCTTTAAGTTAATTTAAAATATTGTGATCTTATTGTCGATTCAATCTTGATAAGTTACACACGACGAGAGAATAAAAAAATCCGTATAACGCTTTGAATCTTATTATTAAAAAACTATGAATTTGACGATGACCAAAAATTTATCAAGCATTGATTTATAATGGAAACCATGCGCCTACTCCATTATTAATACCGCGGAGATTGAGCGGCATCCGGCTGCGAGCACTTTGCACACTCTTGTATTACGATTACCAGCCCTTTCTATGCTACGTCAACATTTACAACCATACCTCTACATTACCAACAATACTTTTGATTTTACGACTGCATGTTATTGAGGAGATAAGCAGCAAAATTACAAATTATCAAAACTGTTTTATTACATTTTTACGTATTTTTTAAATTGACATTTAATTGACCCTTCATAAAATCGACTACTTGCATTTTTAATTACGGTCTGTTAATCAATATGATATTGGTTGTTGTGAATCCCTGTAATTCGCGGTATTTCATTTCTCAAAAGTACTTCAAATGTAAGAAAACTTGAACGTGGACTTCGAGCAACTGAGAATTACGATTCTCGGAAATTAATAAAGACGTTATACGAACTCAGAGGACCGGTGCTATAAAAAAATGGCGGGCGCACATGTTTAGATAGTTGCACCAAATTATATTAGCAGGACGTGAACGTAACAGGAACTTATTAATAAAATTGCGGCTCACTTCCGGCCGAAGACCGAAGCACCGGCGGCGGCTTCCGGTCAGCCTTTCATCTTGTGTGTTATATTAGTTAGATTAATGGCTCCCAGAGACTGCCACTCTTTACAACATACGTTTTCATTAAGAGATGTTGGCCAACGTTTTATAACACACATCCGACACCTTAACGACATATATATTTTTATAGTGTCAATGGTATTTTTATTTGAAATTAACATCCCCTGGTAAAGTTTCTTTTAAGAATTATAAAACAGATCGGGCGCGCCGGCGATTAACATTTCATCTTTAATTAAGACTCGCGCCCTGTCTTCTTAGAATTTCATGGAGAGATTCGAGGAAAGCAGAATTTTAATTATTTGTTATTACATAGGTATTAGCACAGTATCGAACCTTTTTTATACATAGAATATTTGAAATTTTTAAGTATATTCCGCTATCGACCTATTGATCGTCAAAGAATAAGTACGTGTTTATATGTGAAACAAAGTCTTTGTCAGTTTCCTATTTTTAACAATGTTTTTATGTTTAAAAAATATATAGTATGTTATAATTTTTAATATAATCTCAGCATTGTAATTACTTAATCTAATCTTTGAGAAGTGCCAAACTATTTTATTATTCAAGATTTTATCTCTTTTAACTTCATGCGAGAATGATTTCAAAATTATTAAGATGTAAAACTTTACAAAGGTAAAAACTTATATAATTCCATATTATGATAAAGTAGACATATTTCATGAAAAGGCAATTGAAAAATTATGAAAAGTGAATTTCATGAACAATTTCGACTTAACTTTATAAATGCGAAGGACCAAATCTTTGAGGAAAATTGTAATCAATGTTACAGCTCATCTCTAGTTAATAACTATGTAAAAAGTTCAAACAAATAATTTATCTATCATTGCCGATCTACCGTATAACTCGTCAGAGCTCACCAGACAACACGTCTACGTATTGAAATCAGAAGACAATAAGGTTTATCGCAATAAACTTGCGTTACTACGAATTAGATCGGTTAAAATTCAACACCACGCTCGAAATACGAGCTCGACGGTTTTAGAATTCTCATAATACGATAACAGGCTATAAAATGATGCGTATAAGGTAACGTTCTGGTCGCGGCGATCATAATCAAGCGTCTCGCACTGCAGAGCACAATAAGTAGCCGACTTCCTCTCCCACGTTTGGTGGAGCGGATGCCTCGACTTGCGACCTCCGGCAACGGTCTTAGCCCCCGGCACATTTAAACTATTGTTCTGAGCTACGTACTGAATCAAATACCTAACGCGTGAAAGTGTTTTTAACCGAGTTCATCTGCTTATTCCATTCGTATGTGTACAATGCATGTATACCATTGTGCGATGTTAAGATTGGATATCATTGGGGCACGGCATTTTAGATATTCTACTAGGATTTGCGTATAAAATATCTACCAATTGCCAAATAAGCGGCTAATAATATCGTAAGATTAAAAAGTTAGGTTTAGTAAAATACTTATAAATAAAATCTACAAAAAGAAATCTAGTTCGAGTTTAATTAAGAAAATACTTGTTTATATAACAAACTTTACGTTGTTTTCAATTTTTTTTAATTTACGACTATCAGGAACACTGACAAAGATCATATTATACAATTAATTAGATAATTGATGTACAATTAACGGCCTATCGTGATATGTATATTAATTTACTTATAAAGCTTCATAATTGCCAGTTCTCAGCACACACGATATGTAATTTGCATAAATTTGCTTAGCATAAATAGCTGACTACCTCTAGCACGACAACATTATTGAATTCAATGGTTTACAAGTCGGCGCGGGGATTTTTTTGTCAATGAATGATCACGAAAGGAACGTCAGATCGGGTTCTGTTACGTTCACCTCAATCGGCGGTACTTGACTGGAATGAATGAATTGCACTGGTGTGTGGTATATGCATTCTTTGTGTTCTGTTTGACTTTTTGTTAATGGTAATTTCCACTGCAACATAATATAAAACTGACAATTTAATCAATAAGCTATGTGTGCTTTTATTTATTCATGTAATTTTGTTTTTCAATTTCCTTGTACTTACTTTGAATAGGAGTGAAATTAAATATCTCATTTATTTTTTATTACTATTATTATTATTTTTTAATAAAGAAATAGCATATGAGCAACATAGACATTCCTAATTTCTGTCAGAAACTATTTTCTGTGATATTAAATTTAAAATTTAAAAAAAAAAGTAATTTTAAATAAATAAATGTATCTAATGAAATTATATTATTCAATTGTTTATAATATAACTTACTAGTGGCATCGAATAAAAAGAAACATAAATAATGTAATGGTATTGTATTGTCATACCACTATTTTGCATTGTTTTAGTTTTATGACAGCGTAACAAACTATATATTTAATGTAAAACATATCCAATAATTAATGGTAATTGAAGGAGTATTGCAACACATTCAATAATTATGAATGAAAACCATTGCTATTTATATTCAATTAAATTCATATATTACTTGTTTTAATTATAATTTATAATTTGATTCTAGTGGGTGCAATCTTAGAACATTTAAAATAAAAAACATTTTTGAAGTATGTCTCTGTGCTATTGTTGAGATTCATAAGACTCAAGTATTAAGTGTTACATGTTGAGGAGTACCTAATAAATAAAAAGATTAAGTATAATCATGTCTTAGTTAATTATAAATAATTACCTTCGAGGCAAACAACTTGCACGCCATCTTGTTTAAGTCTCCTGAGCAGGATCCCATGTACAGAGTCAGGGTCTCGAGGGGCTCCATCACTGTACAGTACGAACATGCCCCGAGAACAACAATGTGTTATCCTCGCCTTCAACTCCTTGCACTGAACCGTCGACGCAAGCTCTATCTTCCCTGCCGCAAGCCGCCGCAACATTATACTTGGGATGGAGAAATTCACGGCGGATCGTATATGAGACATGGCATACTCATTTGATCCTCGACAGTCGATCAAAATCATGTCCCTCTCGTCAGATCGCAGCTTAGCCAACAGCCATTCCTTTGACACCAGGTCACACTCGCATTCAGAATCCATAGGCATCTTGTATTCACAATGTTCTTTACTGTTTACACGAAACCTTAACGTCTCCCTAGAACGCCTGTTGCACTCTACTTATTCTTATAAAACACAGTAATAATTATGTTTTTAAACTTTAACATTGTTGTCATTATAAAGGATATGACAGCAAGTTTTTAAAAAATGTTCAAAATGAAGAAATCCATCAACATAAACACTTCACAATCCTCACGTCCACAACGATTGAGCTAGCTGAGCGCAGCGCTCTAGGCGTCGCGAGGCGTAGCAGAGCAGCAAGTATTCTGCTCAATTCTGAAACACTGCTCAACGTTGATTTGAGTTTGAAGCACTTTGGAATGGAATCATAGATAAAAAAGCGCTACATGACAATATGTCATGTATACACTCGTTCCTTCATGCTCGTACTTTAGTTTAGTTTGAAATACATTGCGTATTTTTTGTTTGAAAGTATATGTAAGCCTTTGCAAACTGTGAAATGTATGACAAAGAAGGATGTCGTTCGAAAATCAAGTTATTTAATAATAACAGATAATGGGAATAGACTAAGGACTGAATGGTTACTGAACGAAATAAGTGCACATATCCTTGTATTTTTAGTCTGTTTCAATTACTTAATCTGCTCTAGTCCAATTCATTGTCTATAGTTATCAAAGTCAAATGTTGTTTGGACGTATTGGAAAAAGCTAGAAAAATAATAAGTTTATTGTTAATTATCTCGATAGCAATTATATATTTCATCGTATGCGAATATTTACTAAGGTTGCAATTTTCTGCCATGGATGATATTTACACAAATTTAGAAAACTACGATGACTTCAACAAACTTGAAGAGGTAAGCATTCCATTTTAGCGCCAAATATTATCTGACATTTAATTCACAGTTGTGTTAAAATTTAAAATATTTGAATAACATATTTATATGCATTATTTCCTTTTATGTTTTAGCTTAAAAATGAAAACAAAACACTGAAGTTTAAAATTGAAGAATATACATCAGCTATAAATAAGCTCCAAAAAGTAAGTTTTTTTTTAACTTGTTGCACTCAATCGAAGTTTAGACCATTCTCTTACGAGATTATTGCCTATTTCAATGTTCATTATTAAAGTTATTAAATGGTTTAAGAGATATCAAGTTACATTAGGTTAATAATTCGTCTAAATGTATTGAACCCAGGATGGATGTTGATTGATGTTATAGAATATTTTGCAGGATTTCGATACGTTAGCGGTAGAACATAAAAAACTGGAGTTGAATTATTCATCATTACTGAAAACTGCTAAAGCAGAGATTGAGAGAAAGACACTGATGATAAAGGAGCTAAACATAGAGTAAGTAATTAAATTAAACTTAGCCCGTAGCATATGTTTTCTTACAGACTTTACAACTGTGCCAAATTTAATCAGAATCTGTCAAATCATTTTGATGATACATAGTAACAAATAGCCATCTAAACTTTGAAATTTATAATGTATAATATTGTATCTAATGTTACTTGAATATATTATACCTAATTTATAACAAACTGAAATGATTACTACTGTTTACATAGTTTATTTATGTTAGCCCTACAGTTCATGCTTGGACCTTCGTAACCAGATATTTCTTTTAACTATTCCTGCTATAATAAGTCCATGTCTTTATATAATGAGTAAAAGATATAATTTTAAATTAAATAATGCTTTATTTCTTTCAGGAAAGATAAATTAATAATAAATGCAAGACAAAATAATGTTAAAAGTAAATTCAATAAGTTCCAAAGTGATAAATTTCATTCTAAAAACAATAAAAGCTCTGACACAAGCAGTGTACAAGGACAACCGCAGACATTACCTAATAGCCAAGTTTCAGCCAATGAATAGTAAGTTTCTATTAATTAACTCTTAACCTGTTGTAAAAAACATAAATGATGCAAATGTTTTTAGAGTATAACATATAGGACTTGTGAATTAATCCTTTGAAGAAAAGAGTTACATTTTAAAGGTGTCACTATTTTCATGAATTAGTTGAGGTACACCTATTAAAGTTTGCATATTGGACTACTAATATGCGACCCTCAAATTCCACTTAAACTAAAGGGGAAAATTTACAAGGCCGTCGTAAGACCTGTCATGATGTATGGATCTGAATGTTGGGCAGTAAAAGGAACGGATGAAAGGAGACTACATGTGACAGAAATGCGAATGTTAAGATGGATGTGTGGGGTAACACAAATGGATAAGATACGAAATGAGTATATTAGAGAAAGTTTGAGAGTAGCCCCTGTAGTAGAGAAGGTAAGGAGTAAAAGGTTAGCATGGTATGGGCATGTTATGAGGAGGGATGAATCGCATGTTACAAGGAGAATGTTAGTTATAAGTGTGGAATGGTACATCGGTAGAGGTAGACCTAGAAAGAGATGGATTGTGTAAAAGGTAACATAGTCAAAAAGGGAGTGATGACTGAGATGACATATGAAAGAGTTATGTGGAGGACAAAAACCTGTTGCGCCGACCCTACGGGAGTAGGATAAGGAGATGATGATGATGATGCTGATGATATTGGACTCTGGATTATTATTTGTCAAGATATACCTTTTAAGTTGTATTAATAAATACTATGTTCATTTACTTGCAGTAAAAACAACAATTCATCACCATTAGATACAACTTCAACTTGCAGTGGAGATACAAGAGATTTGAATGATGCTCTGCGTTTTGCCAATAAAAGTATTAAAAATGATGGCACAAGTTTTATTGCTAAAGAAAATTCTGTACAGATTACAAATAAACTTCCTGACAAAGAAACTGAAACCAAAGTTAAGAAAATTATGAATAGGAGAAAGTCTATGCCAGCATCAAGGTAAATGGTGCCATTTTGTCTCCTTTCCAACTCTTTTTCTCTGTATATATTTTACAATATGTATTTGATATAACCTAGAATTTTAGTGTTCATAATTATTAACATGTTCTAATTTGTTTCAATGTTTGAGTATAATATAACAGTCCAAGTATATATTAAAAACATGGTTTATGTTACTAATAAAGGATCAATAACAAATCAATTATCTTTAAGTTTATGCATTTCAAATGAATCTATAAATCTCACCAATTTTTTATATTACTATAGATTTATCTAAATAACTTTACAATACTCATTTACCTTACAGTTGTCGAGATGTAAACTACAGTACAGACGATGAACGGGAAAGTAGTGTAACAACAAAAACAAGTAAAACCCAACCCAGACGGGATGAAATAAAACGATCTACAGATAGATATTACGAAAACCATAAAACATATGATTCATCAAGTTTAGACAATAACTATACACATTATCAAGACCAAATGAGTACTAGGAGATCTTATTACAATGATAGTCATTATAGAAGCAGAGACAGTTATGATTCAGCACAGAGACGTCGCTGGAATATTAGTCCGGATAGAACAAATCGAAGCACAAGAGGTGATAATTACTACCAAGCATACAATCATAGAGGTTATGACAGCCCTCCGAGAGATAAATCCTATCCTCAAAGTAGAATGAGCGATCGCAGACATAATTACCATAGGGATCACTCAAGAGATTATTCTAGAAGTAACAATGAATTTGAAAGATATCCTGAAAAACATAGACTTCAAGATCTGGATGAACCAAATTACAAGCGACAGAAATATGAACATTCACATAGATATAGTGAGGATGAAGGACGTCAAAGAGACACTAGTAGTAGTAAATCAGCAATGCCTATGTTACTGGAAAATTCCGTTTCCTGTCAATCACCTGACTACATACACCCTGACAATCATATATCAGTTGCACCTATAAGAGGTAATAGAGGCATTAAACCTTTACATTAAACATAATCGACTGATGAAATTCAACAGAGATTAGTTACATGTCAAGTCTAGTTTTTATGTTCATAATATTAACAACTGTTTCAGAAATAAGGAGTACAGCTGTCATGCACTTAGAGGATCCTCGACTCTCTAGCAAGAAGTATAAAATAATAAATGATTGTGATAAAGAAGTTTTGACAACAGTTTATGGGAGAAACATAGATATTATCCCAGTTAACAAAAAAATATGGGATTTTAACCCCATTCCTATACCTAAAGCATTAATTGAACCACCATCAAGTTATATAGATAATATGACTAAAAGTTTTAATATGGATTATTATTCTAATTATAACATGGATGTTGTTTCAAATGAAATATCAAGTAGACCAACCAATGGCGAGTATTATACTAGAAATGAATCTGTTGAACGTACACAAAATAATAAAAGTACAAATGTTAGCACTAATTCTACTGCACCTAAATGTAAAGAAACACACAGCAAAGAGAATTCTAAAAACAGTGAAGCAACAGTTGATATGGATGTTGAGGCACAATCTGTTAAAGAGAAGGACAATGATAATGTCACTTCAAAACATTTAAATAGTGGATATAAAATTCCGAAAAAACAAAATAGTTCCGAAGTTTCTACAAGTACTGATACTGTTCGTCATAAAATCGTAACTCAACATTCAGAGAAAAAATCTGTTTCTGATCTAGGAATTTCCAAACATGTTGAATCTAAATCAACACTTAGCAATAATATTAGATATAAACAAAAAGATGATAATTATACTAAGGATAATAAAACTGAGAATGTAGACACTGAAAAGTGTATAACAAATAGGAATGACGAATTAGCTATCTCAAGGAAAATTGTTGAATCCGATTTAACGCTGAGTGACGATACCAGCGATAATTTTGAACCCCCACTTACAATAATTGACACACAGACTAAACCTAAATGTAAAAAATATAAAACAAGGGAGAGAACTAAAAACCATGAAGGTACTATAGACCCGAAAAAAACTGAAAATGCAACCGAAATCCTTCCAGGTGCAAATACTGTAGAAAACAAACACCAACCAGAAGAAGACAAGAGCAAATATAAAGAAGATTATTCTGAACATTCTAAAAAACACAAACATAAAAAGAAATCACCAGAAGGCAAAGATAGCATTGACGATAGTAAAACAAGTAAAAATAAAAAGGTTAAAAAAGATAAAGAAGCTAAAACAGAAATAAAAACTAAATTTAGCGATCTATTTGGAGACAGCAGTAGTTTAATAACGTGCGACGATCTGGGAGTAGCTGCTCAGGAACCAGTTATACCTAATTTTAGTACAATTATTGAGGATACTCAAGATGCTGTCGATATTGATATAAGGGAAAGAGAAAAACCTCAACCAACATTACAAACTGATATCACTCAAAATGAGACCACAGACGAACAAGCTAACAAACAAACAGAGTCCACAAATGTGATGGATGACAACAAAAAATGTGACGATCTCAAAATAAGTATAAGAAAAACGGAGGACAAATATACTATAGTTCACGAAGCAACAGAACCTGCTAATATATTTAATAATATGACTGAAGTTTCTAAAATACCAGATACAGTTATTATTTCAACAGGGATGCAGCAAAAAAATGTATACAATGATGTAGAGTTTAGACAGCCTATCAACATGACTTGTGTTGAAAGACTGCAACTTCTCAGTCCGGGTCTGGCGCTGGCAACATCTACTCCAGCTAAGATACAAGAACTGCCTGCAGATGTACAATCTGACTGCTCTAGTGTTTGTTCATCTGACGCTGTGACAGTCAAACCACAGAATAATCAGACATCTGACACGGAATGTCAGAAAGAGTCAGATGTGCCCGATGTCAGGATATTCGTGAAACGAAGAAGGAAAGCGAAAAAGTGACGCTGTACTGTTAATTTTTGTTAGTTACTTTTAGTTAAGAAGATTATTTTTAAGTTTTTAATGCGTAAAGTGCAAAATTTTGTAGTGAATACAGATATGTTTCAGTGTTGTATTTGCTATAAACTACTAAATACTATAGACAACACCTATAGTATTTAGTATGTGAATGATAGATATTTTGATGTAAACCATATGAAATAGCAACCAAGATTTTTGAAAGTTTGAAAAACCCCAAAGTTTTTTAAAGTTCCAATTTCTTTTACTATTCTATAGTATCCTGGTAGGATCCTACGGTTCCTTTTTTTCGATGATTTTAAATTATAGGAGTGGTTAAATACAGGCTGTTTATTATCATTCAATTTAGTTAATAAGATTATTTTTTGTAATGTATTTCGATAAAAATACTATTAATTTCTCTAAGTTTGCTCAAAGCACATGACAAACTGTTAGATTTGTTAAGAATATTTAAAGTGAAGTGTAAAGCCATATTTTTCTTGTGATTGTCGCTGTGTAATATTAAAAAAAAAATTGAAATGAACATTTCTGTCTTTGTCTATAGCAAAAAATCAAAGATCTGCTGCCGTACATAGTAATAACATTGTGTTATTTACTGTGATAGTTGTATGAAATGTTGATATTAAAGAAAACTTGTTTTAATCCCATAACAGTCTTTATTTTCTTAGTAAATAATCTTAACCTATATGTACATGTATTAACAAAAGTTTACAATAAACTATAGTTGACTACAATCTTATTGATGAAAGTTGATCATTTCACTTATAAAAAATTCGAGTTGGACATTGTCCGACAACTTGGTGTGATTTCATAACGTATTATAGGAATTTATACAAAACAAAATTGATTGTGAACGAAATGTATAAACATTTCATTTAATAGCACCTACTTTTCTTATTTATAACTTAAAACTAGCCACATAAATAAGGCAAAAATACATTTTCAATATTGATACAATATACCACCATACATGACGGTTTATTAACACAAAGGTACAAGGCAGCTTGTGCGCACAGCCTCATGACGTCACGCGTAAACTGCCATAGTAAACCTGTGCATAGTCAATATCAATCCTCGATATCTGTGCACGGTTTATAACTAAGGGCATTCCGACTAAATTGTAGATTCTTATAACAATCTAACGTTTGAGATATGTGATGAAAATATCGGATTTTGTTACCTTATGTGACAGTGACGTCATTCTTAAGCTATTGAGTCTATCAGCCTGTGGTGGAACAGGCCCTTAAAATCGCACTGTAGCATCCTTTTTTAAGAGTCACTTGTGTCAAAGACTGAAACATCTTACTCTCAAAGTTTGACTTATTGACCACACATGTTGAGAGCGCGAGAACACCTTTAACTGAACTATCTCACAACCGTTTTGTCGCACGTTGATTCCTATAAGCTTATATGGAGGCGCTCACACTACGCAATATCTGTTGTGCTACTAAACATTTGAATTGGTTGCGAAAGAATCTACAATCGCACAGCAGTTTTGCAATACTTTAGTCAAAGGTATGCACCGCTATAAACGTGAAGAATTAGACAAATACAAATTTTGGCAAACTGCATAAAAGTTCAAATATTTGGTGTTATTAATATCGCCATATGCAATAATATCGTGGTTAGAAAATTCAGAAATATCTGACAGTGACATTAAAATGTTTGGTTTCCTAGTTTTAGTTATATCGGGTCATTACAATACTGTTTATCGTTTTGTATGATTATTGATCGATTATGGCTTAACCAACTTATTTCTTAAAACTAAATCGATTTCCAAATGAGAAAAGTTATTACAAAATTCCGTTTCACATCACTATTAATTTAAAGCAACACTGTTTTTTCCGTTTTAGTGCAAATTTTTACAATGTTTTTCTTGAATGGTGATTGGTTTAACGTTAAATACTTTGTAACAACCGTGCCCACACTTTTGACTAAACTATCGCACAACTGGTCTCGGTAAGGTCACACTACTCGATTTTTAGTTGTGCCACCAAACAGGTGAATTGGCTGCGAAAGAATCGACAATCGCACAACAGTAGTGCGATATTTTAGTTAAAGATGTGCGCCCGCTCTTATCTGGTATTGAATGGTTAATAATATGCGATACAGTCAACAAAAAAAAAACAATGAACAAATGCATGAACGAATAACTATAACTATATTTTAAAATTAAAAATGTGTAACTTATTAGAAATATTTTAATAAATTATTTGTTAGGATTGTCATCTCATGACAAGTTTAAGGAAGCTCATATTGTGTGAACATTCTGTCTAGGCAAAATCATAGACCGCAATAATCTGACCTGGTAGGAAAAGTCAAATTATGACAGCTCAGTAGCGCCCTCCTGTCAATGTTAAAATATATTTCAAGATACTTTCGTACCGTAGCTGTCATGTCATATTTTGCTTCATGTAGATTTTACACATTTTCGAATTAACCGCGATAGCGTCTCTTACCAAGTCGGATATCGTTGTTTGACCATAAACACGATAGTCATTTAAAGCATTTCTAGAACATCCGCCGAGAGCACGTCCTAATAACATATCACCTGTTCACTAGACGTTCGAATCCATGCGCGAAAGCCACATTATTCACTGGTACGTGGAATGAAAATGTATATTAAGGGTATAATCGTGTACCCCTGTGACATAATAAATGTCCATGCCAAGGATAGTCACACGACAACCGCCTAGCTTGATTATCGGTGACGTCACAAGCTAGGCGGCGGAGTCCGTGCGCTATAAGGCGTATCTATCATTGGATAGGGTTCCTATAATGTTATTAGCCATGGGTACATCCTCGGCGCGGCCGGTGGAGGTGGAGCCGGAGGAGGTGCCGGGCTTGGGGGCGGGGCGCTTGCCCAGCTTGCGGATGACGGCGGGTTCGGGCTCCGGGGGCTCCGCGGGCGGCGCCACGTGCTGGTAGCAGACCGCGGAGGCGTGCCCGGACCGCACCGACGTTAGCGGTGTCCCCGTCTTCCACGTGTTCGTCTCCGGATCGTATACTTCCACTATGTCCAGGAATGATGTACCGTCGTAGCCACCTGGGGTATAAAAATAATTAAATTAATTTCGACCATACCTGCATAGGTGCGATACACACGGAAATAATATTAGCAAAAAAGAAAATCAACTTCCAGACAATAATTTCCAACGTTTGGAACACTTCTTTACGAAAAAGTATTGGATAGTCTTTAATTCTAAAAAAAATTGGGACCAAATGGCAGCAATTTCACATCAAACAAAAAAGAATCACGTAAAGCGCACAATAAATCGCAACGTTATCGACGTACGTACATAAAACACAGAATTGCATTCGAATTGAGAATTGTCACTTTTAAAGTCGGTTAACAAAGCGGCACTGACCCATGGCGTAGAGCTTGTTGTCGAGCACGGTGAGCGAGAGGGCGGAGCGCGCCACGTGCACGGCCGCCGCGCACTCCCACACGTCGCGCTCCGTGTCGTAGCGCTCCACGCTGGCCAGCTGCTGCGCGCCGTCGTACCCGCCCACCACGTAGATGTACTGCCCCAGCGCCGCCACGCCTGCAAACACCACATGCTTATATATATTTACTAGCTGTTCCCGCATGAAATTTTGAATATTTTGTTACATTATGAAATTTGTCAAATTTGAAAATGACATGTCATGATGACAAACCATGGCAATCTTACTTCCTTCATGTTGGCAGCAACTTATGGTCTCTTTCCCACATTAGTTTTTTTATCCAAAATATTTATCCCTTACGTTTAATGGCGTGAAAATATATAGCCTAAAGCGTGACGTAAGTGTAGGACTTTTTATTAAAAAGAGTGCCTTGCAAAGATATAGTGTGATTACTATCATCTTAGATGACTAAACATGTGTTTACTATATATTTGAACAGTGTGTTGAGATATAGAGAGTTGTGTGTACCGGCGCCGCTGCGCGCGACGTTCATGGGCGCGACGTCGCTCCAGCGGTTGTTCTCGGGGTGGTAGCACTCGACGGAGCGCACGCGGCGCGTGCCGTCGAAGCCGCCCACCGCGTACAGCAGCCGGTTGACCACGGCCACGCCCACGCCCAGCCGCGCGCTGCCCATCGCCGCCACGTGCGTCCACGCGTCCGCCTCCGGGTCGTAGCTGACGAACACTCATCTTTTATAACATACGCAACTTGTCTATTGAACTTCACAGTATGTAAGTTCACTACAATGCAGTAGAGTAGACAACAGACATACTAGAATATTCTATACGCATATTAATTACAAAATAGTTATATTATAAATGAGAAAGTTTTGACAGATATTAGGGTTTTACAGAAAAAATTTAACTCCGTAAGTACGGAATCATAGGCACAAGCTAGTTTAGAGTCAAATTTAGTAGTTTCTATTTTTTCTCTTAGCAGATTCTACTGTCGATAGTCACCAGCTCACTATACGTCCCCACCGAGGGGCTCGGAGCCTACCCTAATACGGGGTGACTAGGCCATAGTCAACCACGCTGGCCAAGTGCGGGTTGGTTGACTTCACACATATCATTGAATTTCTTCGCCGATATGTGCAGGTTGCATCACGATGTTTTGCTTCACCATAAGAACGTCGGGTAAATTATGTACATATGAAAATTCGAAATATCGAAAATCACATTGGTACATGGCGGGATTCGAACCCAACACCTGTAGATTACAAGTCAAGTGTTCAAACCACTGAGCCACCGACGCTCGATAATGAATTTGATAATACTATAAACTTACCATTCAACAGATTTATGGTACTCAGAGCCGGCGGAGCCACCCACAGCGTACAACAGGCCATCCATCACGGCCACGCCCACCTATCGAACAATACTACTTCAGCTACATGCATGGAAATTATGGATACTTTTAGAATAATTATTTTAACGAAATTAGACGAGATATACTAAGGAAGGGTAGATACTAATGAGGTCGTAGCTTACCCTGTGCCGGGGCGTGGCCATGGGGCTGCAGGGGCGCCAGTGCTCGGTGGCGGGGTTGTAAACGTCCACCCAGTCGCTGTCGTAGGAGGAGCCCGGCGAGGTGTTGCGCCCGCCCACCGCGTAGAACAGCCCCTGCCGGTTACGTTACAACTAACATCACACTGATGAAATACATACATTCAAATTCGATAGATATCAGAATTATCAGAACTACATTGTTATTCATTTATAGTATATAATGAGGCCTCGAGGTTGTTGTAACCTTTATATAGAAAAATAATAATTTTTGTGACATATACATTACGACGTGTTGTATTTTACTCTTATTACAAATGCATTTATTATAAAATGTTATTATTCATTTTCTTTCAAATAATATGTTCATATTAATGAGTGGTCCTTCGAGTCGGATTTCAACAACCTCGGATTACTAAAACCTTACGAAACGCTACCAAGACCACACGCTGAGCCTAAAATAGAGCACGATGTCGTCACACTTTTGACGCAAGTACTTACTAGACGTAAATGAAGGTTGTTTATATATTTACCTTGAGGAATGCAGCGCCGAGTCCGGAGCGGGGCACAGTGAGGCGCGGCAGCGTGGTCCAGCAGTTGTCATCCAGGTTGAAGGCCTCGAAGACGTCGATAGAATGTCTGAAGTATCCGCCCGCCACATAGATGATGCGCGGCGTGTTCGGCCGCCGCTCCTTCACTACGGGCTTTTTATGTAATGTCAGATCCTATAAAATAATTAGTTTCGTGTTTTTATGCAAATCGATTATTGCATTTATGAAGGATGCAGTCTTTTCATTTATGTGGGATGTGTATATGCGTGTTTCCGAACGAAGATGTAAGAAAGTTGTTTCTAAACAATGACTAGAGTGAGTGAATAATGTGACTAAGTACGAAAGACTAAGTATTTAGATTTAGACGTCCAATGCTACACAGGGCGAGTAGGTTGAAGCAGAATTTTTTTTTTCTTATTCTAAATTTTAATATTGTAACAAAAATCCAATCCAGAAAGGAATGATTTCGAACACTGGTATGTTGCAAAATAATGACTTGTATATTTTTTATAATTTATTGATTGATAGATTTAATACTTGATAAAGCATAACAACTTATCGATATCTCTTACTATTTTTATTGTTAATGACGTAAGACACGAAGTAGTTGTCGAAGATCGAAAATCTTATATAAATCTAACATTTCATTAAAATAAAATTAAATAGAGCCACTATACGAGAGTTTTAAATTATGTGTAAATATACAACACACTGTGAGAGCAAAATGAAACTTTATCACATTGTAATAAAGTACAATTTACTTACCTTGAATATCTTAGCGAGGTATTCCCTGCAGGCGGGCACCTTCTTGAGCACGGTGCAGGTGTTCATCTGCTCCTTGAGGAAGCTGGGCGTGAGGTACTGGCAGCGCACCGCCTGCAGGATGTGCTCCATGCGAGGGTACCGCCGGTCCTCGTCGTATTTCACCTGGAAATATCACCTTTTGTTAACATCACCATTCTATGTCACTGATGGCCAGGCATGGATTGTGTCCAACAATGACGCCAGTTAATATTATATTATGCTAGTTAAATGTTATTTTATTGTACTAGCCTCGTGAACTAGGCATTAAGCCTTCCACAATATACTCTCTTCATTCTTATCACGGCTTTCTGGCTATTTGATGTTTAAAATATACATCTAACTTTTTAAGGTTGACGGTACTTTTACATTTAGCATTAAAAGCTACTCACTGATAGTTGTTGATGATTATAGTGATAAGTATTTGAAAGAATACTAAAATAAAGATAGCAATTTTACAGGTTTAACAGTAGAGGTAAATATTAGCACCGTGTATCCGTTGTGAACGGATGATCGCGACAAATTAGAAGGTTAAAGTCGATTTTATTACACTAATTGGAGGATTTTTTAAATAACACAACTCATGCTTCGTAGTTTTTTTCTTTTTTTCTTTACTCTTTGCACTTATTGTTTGGACATCCATAAACTTCATTTTTGTAATAAATTATAGAAACATTTAAGTATAGTTGAATATTTTTTTAACATTCTCCCAATTGTATTATTGCGTAAGATCGGAAAATATCGTTAGTCACGGTGTTCTGCGTAGCTTCCGATTAGATATGATATCAATAATTACTTGTAAAGACTGAATTTTATAAACGCAAATCGCTAGGAAAAATTACACTCAAGAGCAACGCAAACACAACCAATATTTACCTACAACTTACACCTAAAATAATCACATTTTATAATTTAACGTTGAGAAAGGCAAGAATTACAAACACAATTTTTTTAGTTATAATCTATACTAAGAAGATTTATATTTTTGTATGTATTTGATTCACTTAAAAACTACTGGGCCGATTTAAATTCTTACACTTTTACATAGGTAATTAATCTGTCTGTAAGAAATAATAATAGAATTTTACATATGTTAGCGGCTCTTAATTTTACACGAGTCGCACAGAACACAATTTTAGTTTAGCGGAGTGCGGGGAGAGCACATTGCGCAGCTTGCTTACGACCTTGGACTGCTAAGATATTTGAAAAGCGTTAAACATAAATAACAGGCTATTACAGTAAAAACTATACAATTCTATAATAAGAAAAATATCTTAATACAACCAAAATAATTGTAAACTAATTAACTTAGGTTAAAATATAACAATAAACATACAAATTGTTTCAGTCAAAGTCCTCAAAGCTATAGACATCGTGGTCACTTTACTATTTTTGATATATTTCTAAGGTTATATACGCAAAAATACGTGGACGTAACTAGAGGTGTGTCAAAACCTATATGAAGGTGCAATCATTTATTTCATAGCACAAAATGCAAGCGTAACCACAAATTGGCAAATCATTCGCTTATCGTGCCCTTTGATATGATACGAATAACTCGCTAAGTGCGGCAAATTTTATCAATTTTAATTAAATGTTGGAGTTAAAGAAAAAAACATTGTTTAAATTACATTTTATATTTAACATACGTCAACCCTTTTATAATATGACTAGCGCTCGGCATGAGTTTTTGGATAATCCCATAATTAATAAAACGTAAACACACACTACTAAGTTATGTAGAATGTCGGCAATCACACTATATTTTTAATAAAAACTCTTACGACATGGTTTAGGTTACATATTTTCACGCTATTAAACTTACATGTGTAAATACGTGCGTAAATACGTTGGAAAATACCGATGTGCGGTATAGGGACAAAAACATAATCTTGCTGATATTATAAATGTGAAAGTTTGGATGGATGTTTGTTAGAGTTTGTAGTCTAACGGCTGAATGGATTTCGACGAAATTCGGCATAGATGTAGAGGATAGTCTGGAAGAACACATAGGCTATTTACTTTTATTTTTTTCAATTCCACGCGGACGAAGTCGCGGGCGAAAGCTAGTTTGTAATTTCATGCGAAAAAGGCCGCATAGGAGCAGCTAGTAAAAGTAAAGCAGTTTTACAGAAAGCAGTGTGGTACAAGTTGGTGTAACATTGTATACTTAAAACAAGTGTTTAAGTAAATAGTGTCTGACTATAATTTCGGGGTAACAAAGCTAGTATTTAAGTATATGATGCAAAATGTTTAACCAATCAGTGTTTACAGCTTTATTAAATAGGTTTTGAAATATGTTTGTTTTAATGTCTCATTTTAATTGATTTCGATTAAAACTATAGGTGTATATCATACTGATAGTGGGAATTTAAAAGCAAATTTTACAAAATATCAACATAAAATGTTATAACAAGCTTTCGTATAAAAAATGATATAACACACATATTACGAATGCATTTTCAAACAGATAAGAATTAATTACATGAATTTGCGCTGACCAATCACTATTGATAAGATAGTTAAATTTAAAATGTCATAGTTTAAACTACATCTGTGAAATATAATAACAAAATAATAATAATTGTATAGCCTATGTTACTCACAGATAAATAACCTTTGTTATCGTGAAAGAATTTTAAAAATCGGCCCAATAGTTTTTACGTGAATCGAATACATACATAATACCAAAAATACAGATCTCTCCTTTTCATAATATTAATATAGAATAGAAATATAGATAAATATAGATATACGAGGTTCAAAAAGGTGTCATCAAATGTCGATTCGATAAAATCGTAGGTACAAATAAAACAAATACTTGGTTAAACTGACGCACGCAGTTTGGCAAACACTTATTACCCGGGGAATTACCTACAAGAGTAATAACACAGTTATTTTATTTGCTTTTGATTTATTTATCCTAGTACCACATTACATTTGAAAACTAGTTTGAAATATACAAATTATGTGTGTTTGTAGATTTTTTGTTGGGTGAGATATCTATACATAAATTGGAGTGTCTGTTTGTTATATCAAAAGAATTTCAGATTTCGGGAGGGTGATGTATTTGCGTTACTGATAACGAAAATCGCATTAAAATTGTATTTGTCTGTTTGTCTGACTGCAAGCAGCGTTTGTTCCGGGTAATCACCAAAACGGCTGGGCCGACTTTGACCGGACTTTCACTGAAGGGTAGTTGATATGGATAGAAATTTTATTGGGTATTTTTTTTTAATTCCGCGCTGTCAAAATACTAACGAAATTTGCGGGCGACAGCTTGTTTTATAACATTTCACTGGTTGCTATTACTACTCACCCAACTTAATACTGCGTTGTAAACCTCACGTTCTTCTCTCACGTTGAGTTCGTCTTTTCTGATAAGAGATATAAGTTCAGGAGCTGTTAGTTGTAGGAATTCTTCTTCTCGACAAACCTGTAAATAATTTTTATACAATTAGCTAAACCTTCGGTACCAGCTTAATAATTGAAAAATGATTTTCATAAGTAAATGTTTGAAATGGGCCACATTATCGGATTATAACCTACTAGCTTTCGATCGCGTCTCCGTCCACGTAAAATGAAAAAAACAAACAAAATTGCATAGCCTATGTGTTCTTCCAGACTATCTTCTACAACTATGCCAAATTTCATCGAAATCCGTTCAGCCGTTTAGGCTACAAACTCTACCAAACATCCATCCATCCATTTAAACTTTCACATTTATAATATTAGTATGATTGAATTCAGTTTCAATTGAAGGTCACATACTCCGTTAGTCAAAGATCATTACTTTTTGTATGAGGCTAGCTAGGCCTCAACTAAAATAGTTATCCAGTGAGTTGGTCTAAAAAAAATGATTTCCTTTGGTTCATTTATTTAAAGGTATGAGTAAATAAATAAAATAGGGTACATAATGGAAGAAAAAAATGTCATGTTTCTAATACTGTCTAAAATTTCTGTAAACTAGGAATTACAGGCGCCTGCTTATCTTATTGTTTATATTAAAATATTGTAAAAATTTACAAAGACCATAGTTTACATACAAAAAGAAATCAGACCAATTGCGTCCATTTTTTGCTATTAAAATAAATCTAATAATCCTAGTAATTCATAGTTATGTCGTCGAACTGGCGTTTATCCTAAACATTTGTAACGCAAGATATAGCACCGGACGTCAGCGTGTACGTAACCTAAAATTAGCACATTCCCCGATAACAAGCAATTATCTTATATTATTATTATATAAAATTCAGTATCGTCATAGTGACGTAGATATCGCAGGCGGAAAATTTGCAAATTAACAATTTTTATCATCGATTTTAAATTTACTTTATGGAAGTATTAAATAAACTGGGCGTGAAATTCACTTAATCGACAAAGATATATTGTAATACAAATTTCATCATATTAATTTGCTAATTTGCGCCTTTATTGATATAAGTTGTTACCTAGATATGACAGAAAAATATTCCGGGTTTGATATGACGTAACAACTCGATAGTTTGTTGGATATTTCAATCATTATCTTACTAATATTATAAATGCGAAAGTTTAGATGGATGGATGGATGGATGCACGGATGTTTGTTAGCGTTTGTAGCCTAAACGGCAGAACGGATCTCTATGAAATTTGGCACAGGTTTAGAGCATAGTCTGGAAGAACACATAGGCTACTTTTTATCCCGGGAATAGTTACGGTTCCTGTGGGATTCATTAATTTAGTTTTTTAATGTTTACTCGATCATTCTGCAATGGTTTAACATATCTTATTGAAATTTGGCACAGATATAAAACAAAGTCTGGAGTACACATGGGATAAGCTACATCACCGAGAAATGTCCGGTTCCCGTGGGATACGTAACTATTTGTAATTTATATAGTTTGTAAGTTTTCTAATACCACGTGGACGAAGTCGCGGGCAACAGCTCGTCTAAATATAATTATGAGCCAAATATAATGTAAACTATATTCCTTTTATATATACGTCATTAATGTAAGAAACGTGCGAACAAGCTTGCAGAAAACGTCAAGTAATCATCTTAATAAAGATGAATATAGATATAACATGAGTAATGGTTAAATGAGTTATTAATGATTTTGAAACATTTGTCCCACCATGGGTTGAATTTGGGGAGTTCGCGTGAAATAAACCTAACCTATGTGTTCTTCTAGACTATTCTCTACATCTGTATCAAATTTAATCAAAATCCGTTCAGCCGTTTAGGCTACAAACTGTAAAAAACATCCATTCATCTGAACTTTCGCATTTATATTTTTGGTATTCTTTCTTGGTACTCTAGTACAATTACCTCAGTGAAATGCCTCTCAATGAACTGGTTGGCTTTCTGCTTGAGTTTGACGCAGCCGTGCTGCTCGGAGAAGTTGGCGATACCAATCGCATTGGATGGGTCCAGTTGTCGCTCGAGGAACGCACAACACGCCTCCATCACGTTTGAGATCTGTACAAATTTTTAATTCTTAGAAAATACACATACATCTTTCCTCGAGTATTTTTTCTAAACAAGCATATCAACGTAAAAGTAAACGAAAGTTTTAAAAGTCAACGCACCACAGTAATAGGCCAAGATTGATTGGTAAATGATATTGTGATTAGATTAGATATCTGCCATTCTCTTTGTTTCTGTCAGTACCAAGGAATACCAAGGACGTTTGGTGATTATTGTTAAAATTGGCTGTTGCCCGCGACTTAATCCACGGAATATTAAAATAAAAAGCACCCTATAATGCCCGGGTATGTCAACTACCCTTCAGGGAAAGTCCGGTCGAGATTAGTCCATTTATTTCGGAGATTACCAGGAACAAACGCGGCTTGCGGACAGACAGACAGATAGACAACAATTTTTAAATGCGATTTTCGTTACCAGCAATGCAAATACATCATCTTCCCAAAATCTGGAAATTTTCTTTTGATATTACAGACACACTAATTTTATTATATGTATAGATTATTTTATTACATAACCTGGATATTTAAGCAATATAACCCCAAAATTATAGTAAGGCTCTCTTTCGCTAAACACATTTTAACTCTTGGACTGTTTGATATTATGGACATCAACGTATATATAATTAAAAAAATAAAGCTCCGGCCCCCAAATTAAAGGATATTTTACATACAAACAAGTCGTATATGATAATCGTTAAAATATTCAATGTTTTAAAGCGTTGTCGATAGCTGCACACGTATAGAAAATGTTTTTTTACATCAGCGAGCGGCATGACTGAGCCAAAAATTCAACATTCGAGCCGACTCACGCTACAATTACATTGAACTTTGAAATGTAACAAAAAAACTTTTATCTATATTGATTTTATGAAATAAATATTTTTTGCCATTTGTTCTCTCAACGATTTTATATATTACTTGATGGATATATTAAGTTCTTGGGCGTCGCCAGCCGACAAGCGGTCCCCCCTTATTTTTATCTCCTCTATTCTAGGGGCGTTTCTCCGCTTCGATGTTTTATTCCCATTAAGACGTTAAATTACAGTTAAAATGCCAAGGGAACGAAAATACTATATCTTTTTAATAGACTGATCTCCAAGTTTCTCATTTGTGTAGATTCTTGATTTTTTTATGCGCCCGTATTTCACGGTCATAGGTTTGTACCTCGCCGATCGAATATGGACGTGAACCACATCTTGACCAAATATCGAGTTCAATCAGGAATTCCAAAAGAAATAATAGCATATTAGAGACAATTATGTCTACGCGTTTTATGAGACAAAAGTTACAAGTCCTCAGAATACCCATGTCATACAAAACTCTTAAAGGGTCACATGTCATTGTGTTACCTGGAACATAGTAGCAGCGGGCAGCAGCTGGCAGACGGTGACCTCCGTGATGCGGACCTTGCCGGTGTACATGAAGTAGACGAGCCACGCCATCGCCGAGGGGCACACGCCCTGCAGCCGCACGCGAGACATCTCGCTCTCTTTCAGACCGCTCGTGAACATCGCCTATGAATCAAAGATAGAGTGAGACAGTGATATGCCTAAGTAAATTTCAACGACCAGTTAGTGTTCACACTAAGCCAGTTCAATGCCAGTACAGTTATTGAGTGCTACTGTTCAACTGTACTGACCAAGGGTGAACCACGCAGTAGGGTATATGGGGACTAATCATGCTCTTTTGTCCTACTGGTAATTGTTTATTTACTATTAAATACTACATTTGTTTATGTCGACCGTAAAAAGAAAGATATAACTTCTATTTCAATTACGTAACAGGATTAATCCAAATTATAGTTTAAATAAAAAAAAAAGAAACGATGCTCCTTCAAAAATGTAGTGTCCTCGACGTTATTGTCGAAAGATTACGCCGTAATTAATTAATCGTGTATCAAATAAATTTAACATAATAGTAAAGTAACATAATTATTCTGTTATGATAGTAACCGCGATATCTCGAGAACTCAAATAGGGGGGATATGTTTGCACTAACATCGTACATTGTGCCATTTAGAGTTTAGTGCGGGGTCAATGTCGCGATAATGGAATTCTCAGTCGAAATGTTCTACATTTTCGTTAATGGAAAAAACATACATAACATGTATAAATAAATATTATTTACAAAATTAACTCTGATTTAAATGTCATTCCAGCAATACATGACAAAAAATAAAGTGGTATAAGGTTAACTTTTGTATAACGTTTGTAAAAAAGTATAAGTTGTAAATTTTGTGATCAAATATATAGAAAGTGGAAAAGCAAAGACTGTTTTTTTATTAATTCTATTAATTCGACAGAAGCTCAATCCTGTTCTAGTAGTAGTACATCCATGGGGTTAATAAATTAAAAAAAGCAAGGCTGCCATGGTTACTCATTAACAATACACAGTCAATGTCAAGGGCCTTCATTGCCATTTCTGCATTTGATTTTTGACATTTGCAATTGAAAGTTTTACGAAATGTAAACAATAAAATGAAGTTTATATAATTTCATGCGGATGGTGTCGCATGCGAACCTCTACATTGATATGAAACCGCAAATGTGTGTTAATTGCGACTGATATGCAACATAGACAGGTCATAAACCTGTATCATATTTGGTCAGAAATAACTGTAAAAAAAACGAATAGCAACAGTTATCTTTATTTAAACTTGATTTAGAAAACAGACTTAAATTTTTACAACGTCATTAGGATAATTTTCGCAGAAGTTATTGCACAAATCAGGTAAAACAGACAGATAAAACAGATAATTTTGTTTCGAGACGGGCATATTGTTATCGCTTAGCGGACTGAAGAAACATCTTAATATGAAAGTACAGGCGATCTGTCTGATTATATGACATTCTTAAATCTATAACTCCGGGGAAAATACAAATATTTTAAAATCGCGGTGTATCGAGGGACTTTTGTAACTAGCCAGTAAACGACTTAATGGCAATAATAAAAAAAGTCACCTTAAAGTACGGGCTGCCAGCAGCAAGAACCACTTTATGCACGTGGAACAGTTCATTGCCGACTTCCAACACAACATCGGTCAGCATATGGTGTGATCTCATCGTGAACAGCATCTGTGGATGTACAAAGTTCTATAAAATACACGCAGATACAATGCTGTACAATCTTACGGTGAAAGAAACGTCGAAATAATTTAGTGTGAAGTCAACCAATCTGCACTGATCTGGTTTAGGCCTGTGGCTTACCGTAATGCCTACGTATAAGTGATAACTAGTAAGATTGTGAATGTTGGGAATACCGTATTGTTTTATTCACTTCTAGATAAAATTTTCTGCGTTATAATATTATCTATTAGAATGAAAACAATAAACTCACATTAGGCTACTAGACTTTTTTTCTTCTTTATAATCGAACAGATATTCATTCTATTCTGTTTACATTTTTAGAGTTAACTAACTTATTTTTTTATGTTGTATTAATTTAGAGAAAATGATAAACGTAACACATAACAATAATCATTTAAAAAAACAAGTTTGTAATGAACTTGACACGACTTATTCATTTCAAGTTTTTTGTTCCTAGCTTATCTACAATGATCTGCAGTTATTAATTACTATCTGCTTGTTACATAAAACAATCGTGAATATTTTAATATGTTATTGTAAAACTTTAATACAGATATCCTTTTCAGCTATGGCTGCTGTGGTCGCATGGTGCGATGACGTCACGGCAAAATGTGCGCAGTCATGCCCGCTTGCGTTTTATAAAAAGCAAGTCATATTATGGCGATAAAATTTAACTATAACCAGTTTCATATCTCCATTCATGTTAATTACATTCAAATAATGGAAAGACAACGAAGATTAAAATCATAATAACGTTAGGAAAAATCTTGAAGAGGGAAATGTTACAATTCCACAAATCTAATTCAATAACTAAAAATAAAAAAAAATGTTTTGTGCCACAATTCGATGGTGCACGTCTAGCAATTTAAAATATGTCGTTGAATCTATTTATAATCTATAACTTTTTTTATTAGTGATAGAATAAAAATTTAAAATAAAAGTTGTAAACCGATTTATGTTTTTTTTATGTTCGATAAGCTAGCGCTTGACCACGATCCCACTTGGTGAAAGTTTGTGGTAGATGATTTTGCGCAAAGGACAGTTTCAGATTTCTAACATCTTATCAATTAAAATTATCGCTCAACATAGTCATTATATTTTGTCACGATGTGAGTCATTCATTTAATTTTTTGTATAAATATAGTAAAGGTAAATAGTACTAATGAAATATTAGGAAAGTGTCCCTTTAACAGCGATGATATATGCAAGCGCATAACTATGGAATTATTAATAAATAGCTTTCGCCCGCGACTCCGCCCGCGTTATATTAAAAATAATAAAAAAGTATAGCTGATGTTACTAAGTGATAATGTAGCTTTTTAATGGTGAATGAATCTTTAAAATCGACCCAGTAATTTCGGAGTTATTTCAATACATACAAAAATACAAATCTTTCCTCTTAACATTAAGTACAGATATAGTTTGAAATAATTGATTGTTGTCAAAATGATTTAGTATACAAGCCTAGCTTTTCATTTGACTTCTCTTATAGCTCAATGACTGACACAGATTTGAACGAATTTATATAATTTGATGACCCATTTTATCTAATCTCGCAAAGTTATGTCACGAGATAACAATTATTTGGCAAAAATTACCATGATATTGATCAATGAAATAGTTTCAGCAATGTACAGACTCTTGGTATATTTTAGCGCTTATCCTTCTTCATGTCCATGGTACTTCACATGTAACTATAGAAATATTCTTATACAAACAGCTATACAAAAAGATCATTCGCTGACGTCAATAATGCGTAACACTGATTAGTTCACCTTCAAAACATCCGTTAAAGAGCTATGAACTCTATGGCGATAGACTACTTCGATTCAAACACACTGTTCATTAAGTTTTTAAATTATCTAATCTCCAAATATAAAAATAGCTGGTTCATGATTACATGAACCATTAGTTCTAATATGACTAAGTACGTAGACCAATATGTATGGACATTAACGGGTTTTCCCATTTCACGAGGATTTCGAAGGCAAAAGTTTCCTTAACGACATTATAGTAGTTGCAGGGTTCAGTTATGTATAAATGAGTATATTTCCGTCTCAACGATTACAATATCGATTAGATAAGATAAATATTCAGAAAGTCATACTTTTATCTCTAATTTTAGGTCTTCGCATCATATAAATAAGGTTAGAGAAAATGAAGAAAAATCCATTATGACAAATCCTGTTGTATAATTCCTTGAACGATATGTGTACGTGACCAATCGTGTACATATGCCGTCGAAGTGCACCGTCATGGTGATATTTTACCACAGGTAATAAATAAACGTACACCGCCGCTATGTAAAAATGAACAAAACATTAAGCGAGGCAGATAAATAGATATTAGTTAATATATCGATGTATTTGTTTAGGTTATCACAGATAATGGTAAATAATTTAAAATGATTTTGTATAATGGTTGAAGAACGAACGTGGATAAAGGTCGGGGAAGACGGAATAAAGTATCGATGGATAGAATTACAGTTATAGGTATGCGTAAAGCTCGCTACAAACACTCAGTTTTAACTGTACAGTTAAAATATTGCTGTCACATGCACTGTTTTATCTAAATAGTTAAAATTGTCTGAATTGAGCATATGAATCAGACTTTAATGAGAAAAACCAAGACGATAACGATATAAAATTTATTTTGTTCTATCACATGTCTTAAGATGTCACGATCCGCAATAAAGTTTGGATGTAACTATATAGTCAGTGTTTTTATTTACTACTTTATTATCCAGAATGCAGTATAATATTAGGTTACCTTCATGAAATCGGGCACGTAGTTGCCAAGGCAGAAGGTCATATCGCCGATGTCGTTGTTGCCAGTAGAGGCGGCATCGTCTATGGTGGTGTCGCAATTGATGGGCGGCATGCCGTCCAGTAGGTTGCCTCGACCCACCTCTTCGTCCGTCTCCATATCGTTGACTGAGGGAATTAAAACTTAGTTAATATACTTTATTTGCGTTAATTAGTAGCCTGCAGACAGTATACACTATACAAATATGACGTTCAATACTTAAGCCTATTTTCTGTCAGTGCTCCACTGCGGGCTTTTATGAAGTCAACGACATTTTTCGGTTGTTTCTTGGGACCCTTATTAGATATCTAGGAATATACTGAATAATACTATACTATTTACAAGTTCTATGTTACAAAATAACACATATAATTTTACATTGATTCATGTAAACTTTTGCTTTTACAGAACAGTCTATTACCACTGTATGCTTTTAACATATTCTTAATTCTGGTTGAAGTTAAATTTTAAACTATTCTATTGCTTAACAACGGTATTTCTCATAGTCACCCATAACATTTCTAGTTAACTTCGTCTTCGTATTATGACATTTTGATTTACAACTTTTATTTCTTTTATCAACCACTTTTATTTCCCAATTGCCTTAAAAGTCATCAAAATAGTGATGAATCATTGTGTTATTCATCATTCGTGGGTCAAGTGTAGTACTTTAGCGGCAACCGAATGTACACACAATTTCTATACTTGAATTTATTATGTAAATATGAAACGACGTACGTTTACAATAAAAGTTTATTCTGCACACACATTTTCAAATATGTATTATAGATAAGGTGAAAAGGTTAGAGGAAATATTACTGCACTGCTAATGCATGTACAGTCAGCTACATAGATATTTATACACTTTTTTTGGCGGTTTTATAGCGCCCTGTCGTTCCCCTGACGTATTTTTTAATCAGGGGCCTTGCGGGTGTTTCTTTATTTCAAATGCATACTAAGTTTAAACCTATATCTTACTAATATTAAAAATGCGAAAGTTTTTAAATACAAGTATGTATACATTTAGAAACATGGACAGGCCTTCAGATTCATATGTGTGCACGTATTAACCAAGCACACGTATACATAGTCGGCATATGGCCGAATACATGCATACATATTTTTGAAACCAACGATGTATTTAAATTCGGAAGCTTTATAAATGTATACATGTTTATGCATCTGACTGTACATGTTACCAAATTTTCAAACACTCTTAGACAAACATTTGGTCATCTCTTTTATTGTTCTTAAAAACTGAGTCAACAATATGTTTGTACGGATGTTTCGGCAGTCGAAACAAGTGAAGATATGTAAATCTTACATCATAATTTATTAACGCGTAGGGAATTCCCGATTTATCGTACATTTATAACTCGAGCCTATTTAAATTGCTAAAAATGGAATTACACTGTATTAGGTTTCTTTTATAAAAATTTTATAAATGTTTTCTTTTATTTTATATATGTTTCGAGTAGGTTTTGATTGCTGAAATGCAATTCATACAATAACAGCAGTCATGATAAAACTGTATTTATTTTCATACGCTTATTTATCAGAATCCGCTGCACCTAAATCCACCGCAAACGTTTATACCTACATGTTCAATAGTTGAAAAATTTTGCCAATTCATGGTGCAAAACGATTTAGTGGATTTTTTAAAACCGACTTCTATAGATAATAAAAGATGGTGAAAGATTGTATATGTAACACCGATATTTATGAAACCTTTGAAAAAAAATCGAAAGTGTTATAAATTTTTGGAATTCTTTCAGCACTTCATAGTACAAAGAAACTAATACGTATTCCATAGTTGCCAACAGAGTCCTGAGACATTTTGTGGGTTTGTGTGTGGTCAGTTCATTAACGAAATAAAAAATACTTCTCACCATCATCATCGCTAACGCAGGTACTTTGGTGAACATTTTTATCCAACTTCATCTTAATTTTATCTAAAAAAAAACACTATCACAAAAACCAACACTGTAATACTTTTTTGAGATAAAAAAAACACAGGACTTTTCGAAAATCACAGAATAAAAGCAGTCAAAGCATTTCACTTAAAATGCACACACAACAATAACTCGTCAACAATACAATTCAATCCAAACAGGGTGGTGTAAAACATTTCGCGAAAAAAAACTAACGAAATGGACTGTTTTCGATTCCAATGTACCGCGACGACTGCTTACATACAAAAGTTCTGCAAACGCCACCGCTGATGTTTAGCAGGACGGTTGTGATCGTGACTCGACAAAAGCAACGAATTCGTCCAAACTATTGTTCCTACAAAATATTATCAGTGACAATATAACATTCGTTATATTCCTCTCTCGCTCTTTCTTTTGTAGCTTACCTTATATCTCGCGATATACAGGGCCACGGTTCAGTTTTCGAGAAAACAATCGAAATCGAAAAAATCGTTTGCGTTTTGTTTTTTACAGACATAAAAAACATTAACATAAAAAAAAACAATGACCGATTCTATGTTCAGTGGCATGTGTTAACTTATTAAGCGCATCAATATCCTCGCAGCGCCTTATCTCGCGTTCTTGCTATTATGCCTAGAAGAGATAATCCACCTCAACTTAAGATATTAACAGCATCTGGATCATATTCATATTGCCTATAAGCTATGGGAATAGGTACGGAAAAATAAAGTTTTCTCAGAATTTACTAATAGATTCCAAATTTATCATATATTACTGATTCATAGAATAATTATTTAAAACTAACTTGTAATAATTACAATTAAAAATTAAAGTCTTAATATATTTTCGATATCAAACTAAAAAGGCTTATTCATGGCCAGTGTTAATAATTGAAATTGTTACAAACATTGACTTAACAGAAATTTAGCAGATAATATAAAAAAAGAAAGGATACTAGACTAGAATTCGATTTCATTTTGTTTATACAATTTAATCGAAGAATAAAAAACTAAACTTGCAAGTCATCATAAGTCGAGTTTTGGACTGAGTTGAAAATCATGCTATTTTCGCTAATTCGAAGTGTTAACGTGGGATATACTTGCTATAATACACTTAAAAAAGTAAACAAACATTGTATTTATATCAATAATAGCTTTCGCCAAGATTCTTTTAGAGAAAAAACAAAAGTAAGTAGCCTATGTTTAATTCCATACTATCCTCTACATCTACCAAATTTTATTGCGATACATTTAGCAATGAAGGCTACAAACTCGTAACACACATCCATCTATCCATTTAAATTTTTCGCATATACAATATTAGATAAGAATGAATGTGGATGGCTACAAAGGAAGAGGAAGACCGAAGAAAGTATGGATGGATTGTGTGCAAGAGGATATGCTTAAGAAAGGAGTGGTTTCAAATATTATGGCTGATAGAGATGTAGGGAAGAGCAGTACATACTGTGCCGATCCTGCATAAGGGATAATATTAGATAGATGGTAAGATGTCTCAATGCTAATTACCTAAAATTGTAATTAAATGTTAAATAACAATGTAAAGTGAAAAGGTTGTACTAGTATATTGGTTACAAGGTTAATGTAATACAATCATTTCAAGACTGAGGTCAATGAACAGAAATCAACAAATGTTTTACATTGGCAGGGGTAACAAACCAATGGCATGCACCACAGTATTTTGGACATGTCAGTGACCACAAAATACACTATGCAATATGAAAAAAGTATGCAGTAGATCTTATATACAAAGTGAACACAAAGTAATTGCTAACCTTTGGAATGTAACCAAAATCACAAAGTAAAAAAAAATCGATGGAATATTGCTAAATAAATGTTTACCACCCCAGTAGTATATTATCGAATAAGAAACCTTTCAAACTTTAACATTTCACTGGTATTTATTCAAGTTACACAGGTCTTTGGCAAAAGATTATATAAGAACCATAGAACTTGGAGACCTGCTTTTCTTGCCTCTTTACAGCGCATCTCCTTGGCTCTTTAAGTGTGGATCTATCACAAATATCCATGGAAGGTTAAATAATATTTTCATTAAAAAATATTACATCTTATTTTTATAAATTAACATTTTGTGGTTAAATTACAAGACATTTTAGTGTAACACCAGTTTGCTGAACGAGCAGATATGCCTTCCAATTTTTTTAAATTATTTTAATGTTCATATTTGGCCAGCAGCAGTTTGCCAAGCACTACAATAGGTTATAAATCTATGACTATGAACCATAGACAGGTAATTTGATTAAATTAATGCTTTCCTAACCTTAGAGCTTCTCATGTGTATGTTCTGTTACTTTATTTTGGGAATAACTTATCTTGTTATAAAATAAAATACTAAATTCATGATTGTTTTTTTTTTTTTAACAATGAATCTTTACTAAATTTTAATACAACAGATTTTCATTAAAAACGTTTACTGGAAGTAGTCAAAAATGTATAAAATCTATTAATAAAAACACACCCAGAGAAAAGAGAATATTTATTTTAGAATGATAATTGATAGAGTAAATATAAAATAAATTAATGTGACAATATCTTTAAATAACACTAAACTAGATTCAAGAATTTGTAAATTAAGGTTTACTTTAGAAATTCTATTTTAAATAATAAATTGACTTACTCTTTTAGACAATCCTTTTCCGTGGTAATACACCGAAAGACTTAGTGCTGGTTTATTCACTTTTACAACGACTAAAAGAATTAGATCATTCAAAAAACGGGTTATTAGTAGTCTTTCACCAAATCTCTACATTAAACACATTAAATACAATCACAAAAGGAAAAAACTTTAATGTTTTAAAAATTAACTATACATTTATTATAATACTATTCAAGAAAATGTTGAGAAATTTAAACATTATAAACATATCTTGTTGACACTACTGTGAAATATGTCGTGTGACTGACATATCACGTCAACGTCACTTATCACTTCATTTCACAGAGTGCCAAAGAACAATTTAGTTTGTGTATAGTTTATGTTTAGTTTAAGTTTTAGTTAAGTAGGGCTGGGGTGTATAAAATCTATATGTAAATCTTTTTTATTTTCAATTTTTACTCATAGAAGTTGGACTCGATAGTACTACCAAATAATACAAATGATATAATTACTTAAAGTAGTTATTAAACATATTAAAATGACTTTGCAAATGCAAACTGCCGAAAAAATTACAATCAAAACGAGCATACAACCAAGTTTAGGAAGTAGTTGAAGTTGATTCTTTTCATTAAACTTGGTTAATTTACTGCGAAAAAAAATATTTTCATGAACATTTAATTCAATCTGGTCACACTGGTTGGAAACCTTTGGGTTTCTAAATCTGAAATCCTTTCATGGATAGGTTAAAAGCCGTAACACTTTGTGCTTACTTGACTTTTGGACAATTTAGCGCTGACGGTATGGCAGCTGTGGTGAGGATTTGAACTAACAATAGAAATGAAATAAACTGTCAGTAAAATCAAAAGACGTATTTAAGCTGGAACAAAGCGGAAGCTGTAATCTTCAAGCAACTGCCTATCCATCAGTGAAGATCAGTGGCTGATAGCTGTTTATACCTGTGTGTGTGTTTGTGTGCGCGTGTGTGTGTGTGTGCATTAGTTACCTATATTCAGTAAGTATTCTTTGTAAATCTGTTGGTAAAGGAATATTCGACAATGGCAGATGCAAAGCAAGGTATGGTTACATTTTCTTGTATAATATTAATATTTTAACTCATTATAGTGACAAACTTTATCTTGTCCACCTTTTGATATAATATGTTATTAAGTGGATAGATTTCATGCTACACTCTAATTACACTTGCAAAGTTGAACATGTATCATGTATCGTCAACTTTTGTTACAAGAATGTATTAACTTCAAATGATAAGTATAATATACTGTCTAGTAAATGTAATTTTTTGTACTTTTTAAGGAATTAAGTAATATTGATACTAGTTTATGCTTAACCAAGGAAGAATAATTCATTTTAAACGTAAGCAATAAGTATAGTAGTGACCTATGACATTGTTATTCTTTCTGTTTCTTAATATTTGCTCATTTATCACTTATCAGGAAAGGCAACGCAGGAAGATTTACACAATGGTTCATCTCAATCACGAGTGATATTGGCGAAACCACGACTAGGTGGATTTGGTTCGTCAAGCTTTGCCTCAAGTTCCAACAAAACTTGTAATCCATTCGGTACGTGAAATATGTTCCTGTTTTGATTTAGTCTAACTACCCGAAGTTACTGTTGTATTTACTGTTCCTCAGAATTTAAAAGTTTATATGTCCCCATTTACCTTTCTGTTTGTGACAAACTGAGTCTAGTTTAAATAACATATATAGTTAGTTACAAACTCTCGTTCAATTTTTCTATATACCTTAAGTTTTTGATCTTTTTAATGATATTGGTAGAATGCTATATACATAGTTTATATTTAAACAATAAATTGTTGGTTCCGTTCCTGATTTTAATAGGTACAACTAACTTAGCTCTTAACTTTTTCTGTTGAAGAAAAGAATGGACCTAACCATATACCTTTGTTGTTTTCTAACTTATAAAATACTGTTTTTTCAGCCTCTGTCCTACGTCCACCACAGCTGAAACCAACCAGTAATCCATTTTATAAACTTGCTGAAAAATCTGAAAATGTTGAAACAGAGAAAGAGAATCCTCCACAGAGTGAGCCTGTTGAGAGATTGCAGGACAAGAAAGAAGAAGTTGACTCTCCAAAGTTTGTACCGCTGGCCTCGGGGGGCGCCACCACAAGGTCATCTAGCACTGTCCCAGCACCTGCACAGCCAACAACTGCAACATCATCGGCCGGATTTGTTTTCGGACAGAATATAAGTGAACGAGTTGTAATGGCCGATTCAGTCAATAATGGAGATGCTACCGGTTTGGATCATAGTTCCTCAAATGGGACATCGGAACTACTTTTCACAAATGCTGCTGCCTCAGTTAAAGAAAATAATCAGGTATTTTGTTTAGTAATCGTTATAGATTTTTATGTGAAATATGCTAAGTTGTTAAAATGATTCATTAGTTTTAGATTTAACTTAGGCATCAAAGTGGTAAAACTAAAGTTACATAGTTGGGAAACACATTCCATGTAGTTATTGAATCAAAAATACTAGCAAATGGTTAAAGTAGCTGGGAAACCAGCCATTATTAAATTCTTTTAAACTACTAAGTTTTCTAATCACCATATACACATAATTTTTTTTATAATCTTGGATTTTAATTATATTGTGTTGTAATAAGTAATCATTAGGAGTCGGGAAGTTCTCATTTTTAAGTAATAATTCTTTTGAATATTATTTTCAAAGTGCATGGAGTGTATGTGCTATGTTGGACTTCAGGAGGAAGCGGGTCCAAGTGAGAGTACCGGGGAGGGACTGGCGGCCGCCGCGGCGGAGTACGAGCGCTCGCACGCGCGCCCTCCGCCGACCACTTCCAACTGCACCACTACTGGGGAGGAGGACGAGATCAATGTGTTACAGGTAATGACATAGAAGTATTATTAATACATTGTAGGAAAATTTGGCTGGCTGATAGTTTGAATAAAGAAAATAAGGTGTTTGCTTTGTAATGTATTTTTTTTAATATGAGAACAGGAACACAAACAGTGGCAACCAAGGTGATGAGGAGGTCTAATGTTGTTTTTTGTTAGACAGTTCTGGCAACTTTATAATGTTAAAAACCAGAAGCTTACACAAACATCGGACGGTCTATTTTTGAAATTATGACCAAGAAAGTGTAATCTCTGTATGAACTTCTATATTGTATTTTATTTCTGTAGATAACATGTCGGCTGTTCGCGTGGGAGTCGGGTAGCTGGCGGGAGCGCGGGCGCGGCGTGCTGCGGCTGAACGACGCGCCGCAGGGCAGCGGCGGCGGCGGGTCGCGGCTGGTGGTGCGCGTGGCGGGCTCCCTGCGCGTCGTGCTCAACACCAAGCTGTGGCCGGACATGGTGCTCGAGCGAGCGGGCGCCAAGTCTCTCAGGATTACAGCATTTGATGCACAGCTTCAGATTAAATTGTACCTTATTATGGTAAGTAGAATAAGATACACACTCCCCCATTTTCCCATTGTAAACTTAGTGCTAATTAAAACTTGTTTTGGTTTCAGGGTGCCCCATGTGATATAGTACATTTATACAGGGCGCTAACGGCCCGCATATCGGGCAGCAAAAGAACAATAAGTTGTAACCAAAACGTGAGGTCGCAGCGCGCGGCGGAGCGGCTGGAGGCGGCCACCGACGACGCCGACTACCCCGACAAGCCAGACTTCAATGAAGATGACTCCTGCTTCGAAGAGGATAAACAGAACTTACCAGAACTGCAACAGGATGAGGGTGGAGAACCTATCATAAGCAATAGACTTGAAAATAATACTGAAAAAAAGACTGATGAGGAAGAATCAAATGTACATATAAAAATAGATGATGAAAATGAATCGAATGCATTGAAAAGGAAAGAACCGATCGAGAATGAAACATCCCCAAAGAGACAGTGTCCCGAAATCGTTATACAGAGACCATAGACATTAGTGATTCACAGTACAGAGTGGACGTGGTTCAGTAATTTAAAAGCTCTATAAAAGATATTTATATATAGATAGATGTAGAAACGATGAAATGTGAAGTTGAAATATTATTTTAGTACAAAACAATGGGCCGCAGTATTTACTAATCTAATAGTTTCGCAATTTCTAATATCACATTCCAATATTTGAAGTGTCGTGCGACTCACGTCTGCCTCGGGCTGATAACCAAATAAATGTACATGTGAATTATTTTCCGATGATCGATAACAATAAACTTAACTTTTTTAAATCGTTTTGTTTCATTTGTCACTATGTACGTACAAAGCTTGCTGGAATTAACGTAACAATGAAAGTAACGGCCCGAGCCGCTGCTGAGGGAGCCCTCAAGCCTAGTTACTCATAAAAGGTTTAGGCTAAGCGCCATCTGCACTCGGCCACTTCAAGCCTGGCGAGTCTGTAAATGTCTTTTCAAGGCAGTGACAACTCAGTCACAAAAAAAAATTGCTCGAATATTTTTTTTTTCATGATAGTTATATTGAGAATGTTCAGGATCTATCTATCTCTATTCTCTGTCTCTCACTATGTAAATTAAAATGAACTCGCTTTCGAAGTCGATGGCATTGAAAGTATTAAGTAAAATAAAAATAGTGGCTTGCAATTGTCAGTAAAAGTATACATAATTCAATAACTTTTGTTTTATTATCTGCATTTCAATATCTATACTAATATTACAAAAACGAAATATTTGTATTTGTGTACGTATTGAAATAACTCAAAAACTACTGGGACGATATTAAAATTTCTTTCACCGTTAGAAAGGTAATTTATCTGTGAGTAACAGGCTACATTTTTAATTTCACGCCGGTGAAGTCGCGAGCAACAGCTAGTCACGTATTAATGATATTTGATAATTTCTTGTGATAGAACATGTGTTTCTAAGAACTTAAGTTTTATACATCCTCGTTTTGCGATATAGATCGCTAACTACTTATTAGGTAAACTCTTCGATACATAATTGACAATATTATAAGCGAGTAATAGATCAATTGAGAAAATTAACACTTCTATATTTATACAGGAGGGTAGATGTAAGATATTCTGCATATGTTATCCTGACTTAACTTTAAAACCACTGCTAAAAAATTGTCAAGAGGAATCATTGATTTAACATATTCAGAAAGCAGCATTTATTTTTGTTATAGATATCAGAAATGCGGATAAAATTTAACCTATTTATCAATGTAAATCAAAAACCAAATCAATAGAGCAATGTCCTAGCTCTATTTGTGAATTAAGCGTTCTATTCGGATGAAAAACACTAGCCCATCTTGTGTTGGGAATTTTACAACTATGTTTTGAGAAAGCACCCTGTGTATATTGACTAACCTAATTGATCAACAATTAAGCATCATGTTTTATATTTTTTTTACTTTAGAAATCATTGAAACATCATAGAAATGGAGGATTCGTTGTAATTAAAATTTCATAAATATGAAGGATAATTTCGAGGCTTTCAAACCCCATTTCAATTTTTTGGTAATGTTTGGATGTTATAAAATTATGTCGCCGACATCCAAAATGCAGGAATCTTTACATCTGTTCTATCGGATATTTGTGACTGTCTACTATTGTACATTTTGTACACAACATCTCATACGTCTGTATCAAGTAAGTTTATTTTACATTTTTATAACAATAACAATTACTATAACTTTTAATAATAAAGTGAGTTAGTTGCGCTCGTTTACCATGTAACATATACTTTGAAAAAAAAAAAAAGTTTATCAAAACGTTCTTCATTTTACAGATCCAAGATAATGTTTCAGAATTAGTCGATACCTTATACGTCTTGTTAACACTTTTCAATTCGCTCGGCAAACTGGTTATTTTCAATGTACGAAGGACTCGCATCGAACGTATTGCTGAAGTTATAAAAGGTGAGGAATTAGAAATCAGAAGAGGTGAGAAGAATCATCGATGTCAAAATTATTTAGACGAATAATTACAATTAGGTGAAAATCAATACCAAGAAACAAAGTTAATTAACTTAAAGATAATTTAATAATAGTGTGGTGTAGTGGGACCTTTGGAGAAGATTAGAGTAGACATGACATTTTGTTTTTTTTTCTCATAAATACAATGAATATATTCTGTTTTTCCTCTCATATTCCTCTATATGCGCCATCTGTCTTAATTAGAGGAAAAGAAAATAATTACATTTATTGATTTAAATGTTATAGGTCCAGTATTTGCACCTAATAGTAAACGGCACGAAGAGCTCATAATGCGCAATGCTGCGAAGATGAAACGATTGTTCCGAGGATATCAGGGCTTTGTGATCGTCTGCTCCATGTTGTGGATGACGTATCCACTAATGACTCGCTTCTTGGGTGAAGAAGTTCGCTTTGCCATGTATTGGCCATTCAGCACCGATAAACTTCCAGTGTAAGTATCAGAGTTGGATTGGTCCAATATTGGAAACCTATGTTAATCAAAAGAAATAGCGAGAGCTTGTAGCAAGACCTTATGCTGTATAAAGAATGAATGTTGAAGGAGAAAATAACATTTAAGACATCTGATCAGACGGAACTCAGAAGTTGACATTTACATTCTGGTAATGTTGATTTAAAGAATTGAAGTAATAAATTAAAATAAAATAACTTGTCCAGGTTTTTATTTGTGGTCGTATACATTACGATCATGGTGCATTGGGTATCATTATCTACGGTAGCTATGGATTGTATTGCGGTTGGCTTCTACATGCAAGCGCAACTGCAGTTGCAAATGTTAAGATACAATTTCATGCATCTAGCGGATTCAGAAGACGAGGTTAATGATGACGATAATGATAAATTTGAAGTAAAAATGTACAGAGATGTGGAGAGTTCACGATTTGAGAATTCTTTCCGCAAACGATTGATCATGTGCATTAAACGCCAGCAATTGATTGTATGGTAAGACGCACCATTTGGTTTGTTTTTATAGATGTATTTTGGTTACCGTCACACTCAAAGTTTACAGGTAGACATTTGTTATGGTAAATCCGCGCCATGGACAGCTTTGTCTAATTTTAGTCACTTTCCCTTTCCACCCTTTTTTGATTTCTTTTTTGACAATAAGCTTCCTTTTTTGACATCCTTTTCTTAAGAGAAAAGGATGGAAAAGTAGTGAATTTGACGGTGGACGAGACGCATAGGAAGGGGAAATGTCCTCTTTATGTGCGTCTCCTCCTCCGTCAATCAAGGGTAGGCAGTGCATCTGCAATTGCGGATGTCTATGGGCACCGGTCGCTTTCCATTTGGGTGGACTCAGGTGGCCACTTGCTCGTTTGCCACCTTATATTATAAAAAAAAGACTCTATGTACAGTAGATTAATATTTTTCTATACACAGGCTGGTCGATGAAGTTGAATCTGTATTTGGGTCATCAATGGTTCTACAATTCTTAGTCATGGCCTGGATCATCTGTATGACTGTTTACAAGATAATTGGCGTATGTTCCTCGTATTGAATCGTTATAAGTAATTAGAAAAAGCAGGTCATTTAATGAAGTTAATTTTCAGTTGAATGTGATGTCAGCAGAGTTCGTAACAATGATTGTATATTTAGGCTGCGTGTTGCTACAATTATTTCTTTTTTGCTACTACGGCACGCAACTTAAAGATGAGGTAAGTTCTTTGGAAAGATGAAACAATGTAACATCAGATTCTTATAGTTCTTTATTAATCCACAGAGTGAATACGTGAACCAATCAATATACGAGTCAGATTGGCCGGCGGTGTCGCCGCGGCTGCGTCGACCGCTTCTCATCATGATGGAGCGCTGCTACCAGCCTGTGGCACCCTGCATTGCATACGTCGTGCCTATGTCTCTTGATACATTTATATCTGTGAGAATTACATTACTAATCAATACTAATATAATAAAGCGTAAACACGCACTTCTTTGTTGCCTAAGATGTCAGCAATTACAGCATATTTTCGAATATCTTTCTTAATAAAAAGCCCTACACTTACGTCACGCTTTAGGATATATATTTTCACGCTGTTAAACTTAGAGGCAAATATTTTGGATAAAAACCCTAATGTGGGAAAGAGACCATAAGTTGCAGCCAACATCAAGGAAGCAAAGTTGCCATGATTTGACATCATGTCATGTTATTTTGACATTTGCAATAGATAATTTGGCAAATGTAAACAATAAAATGTATTTTTTATATAATTTAATGCGGAGTAAAATAATATTTCCAAATTAAGGATAATGAATAAAAATATTCTAATCTACCTCTGTGTCCACTTCCCCTTTAAATCCCCTCCTCCGTCCCTTCTTATACGAAAAGACGCCTTCCCTTTTATGTGGCCACTTGACAGTTGTTTTAGTGGTCGTGGCATTAAACTGGGAAAGCCGACCAATTCAAAACATGTATTGTGTACTGTACCACTGTATTGTTTTTTTTTTTCAGATTGTGAAATCTGCATATTCTCTATACACATTTCTGGACCAGAGTTAAATTTCAAATTGTTGTTACATGAATAAATTTAAAATGCTATCAGATTATTTTATTTATGTTTCTTCTTGCAATCAATGTAGTTGCAATTGGCCCGAAATTTCCAACATAAGGTTACCAACGTTAAATTCGCTCGCATTAGCTCCTAAATGTTAACAATATAAATAAAGTAAATGGAATTTGTGAAGTTTTATTTAAAACCTCATTTAACCGACTAGACAAGGAGCACATCAAGGTTATATTAAACACGGTGTTCACATTCACATGGTTTTATGAACAATCTGCCTATAAACAATCAGAGGAAATAAAAGTTGCTGTAGTAGTATGCCTTGCTGTTACTAAATACTATCAGAAATAGATCGCCCTTCAATTGACTTATTCCATTTATTTAGTAATCATATTCATACTCATAAATACGAAAGTTTAGATGGATGGATGGATGTTTGTTAGAGTTTGCAGTCTAAACAGCTAAACCGATTTCGGTGAAATTCGGTATAGATGTAGAGGATAGTCTGGAAGAACACATAGGCTACTCACTTTTGTTTTTTTTTAATTCCACGCGGACGAAGTCTCGGGCGAACGCTAGTCTATCTATACATATAATGAAATTGGAGTGTCAGTTTGTAATATAAAAAGAAAAATTCCAGATTTCAGGAAGATGGACTTGCTTTGCTGATAACGAAAATCATATTAATTTTTTTTGTCTGTCTGTCTGTCCGCAAGCCCTGTTTGTTCCGGGTAATCTCCGAAATGGCTGGACCGATTTCAACCGGAATTCACTATAGTGAATTATAAGTGAAAAAAATGTAGCCCATAATATTATGGGCTACATTTTTATCTTAATATTGCGTGGACGGAGTCGCGGGCAAGAACTAGTCATATCATAATATAGTCATTGATTTTCCTACCGCAATAAAGCATTCGAAATCTTTACTTTATTTCATTAGTTCGGGACTTTAAAGAAGTTGGTTTCTATGCTCATATTTTGTTCTACATACGTATCTACTGTTGTGAGAAATGACAACATGTGGTGGTGTCAGAGGATGTCCATAAACCCACAGAAATGGCATAGTTTGAAATGAAAGTCAGTGAAAACCGACGCTTCTTCTGGTAATTTGATGTAACACAACATGTGTTTGCAATTTGAGAACTTATGTAGTTATGGCGTTGTAAAGCGCTAAGTACTTATTAGGAAGACTCATTGTTCTTTAATACTAAACATTAAGTAAATATCTAATAGACCGATTGCGAAAATTAACACTTTCATAATTTATTTTAATCATATACACAGGAGGTAGGTTTATTTTTGTACATTTAACCTAAAACTTAAAACATGTAAGCAATTTTATGTACAGATGATGGCCTATTTAATCTTTAATTATAATTCATCATCATCACCAGCTCACTATAGCTCCTCACCGAGGGGCTCGGAGCTTACTCCAAATTAGGGTGACTAGGCCATAGTCAACCATGCTGGCCGAGTGCGAGTTGGTTGACTTTACAAATATCTTTAAATTTCTTTGCTGATATGTGAAGGTTGCATCGAGCTGTTTTCCTTCACCGTAAGAACGTCTTCGTACGGATTCGAACTTAAGACCTGTAGATTACAAGTCAAGTGCTTAAACCACGAAGCCACCGACGCTCATTATAATTTTTTGATCATAATTTTTATGTAAGACGAAGTATTATCTGGAATTGTTAGATAAAGTATGTAAAGAAAATACAAAATATGCTAACGTTTCAAACATTTCTGAAATCCCTAAGAAGGAGAAAAAGTGTAACAGTTTCTGGAAAAGTTATGTATGGAAAACCGTGCGGTAATTCAGAGTCCACAATTAATTAATTTTGAGTTTTTTCTATTGGTTCTAGGTACGCCCTGTATATAAATATTAAATATCATAATTGGTCTTTGTATTATGAAATTTACTTTTGTAAATTTCCAGATGTAATTCAGGCTTTGTAGACACTTTGTTGTTTTTTTTATGTTGTAACCATGAAAAGTAATTTCGACGGTTTTAAACCACATTTCAGATATTTGGTGATGACAGGATGTTACAAAATTATGGATAAGCCAACATCTAAAATGAAAGAGACATTACACACTTGTTATAGAATAACCGTTTCGGTTATTTATTTAATTTTTCTATCACAACACGTTATACGTCTAATTCAGGCGAGTTAAATTAAACATTTTTTATCGTAAAGATATAACTAATCGTGTTTCGTCTGATGAGTGTTGTGCCGGAGGCCTAATTTAAGTCCCTTTCTCTTTACCACCCTTTTTTTGTAAAGAGAGGTTGGGAAGAGGAAGTGGATTTGACAGTGGAGGAGATGCATAGGAAGGGGAAATACCCTCTTTATGTGCGTCTCCTCTTCCGTCGGATAAGGGTAGGAAACGCATCCGCAATTTCGGATGTCTATGGGCAGCGGTCGCTTCGCCACTTTGGCGATTTCAGGTGGCCGCTTGCTTGTTTGCCACCTTATGTTATAAAAAAAAACTAAAATAAAAAGTTACTTAAATCATAATTTAGTAACAAAGAGTAATGTTTTGCGCATAATCTGTATGTGGATAGTTACATTTATTGTTTTTTAAGCTAAATCAAATGAACCGGTTTTAGTACATAACATACCATTCGATTATTTTGCTGCTTTATTTTTTTTTCAGATTCGTCACGATATCGAAGAAGTAATAAATACACTATAGGTGTTTCTTACTCTTATGAACTCTGAATGTAAAGTACTCACTATCAATATCCGAAATGCACGAATCGAGCATATTATTGAAGTCATAAAGGGTAAAACATTAAACTACTTTATTACGTAGCTGTATTACCCCTAATATGTAGCAGCGTAGCGTAGGTTCTACGCCGTAGAGCTACGATTAAGTTACTTTTTAAAATAGTACTCCTGTTACTTCAATGCTTCGTAGTATAGCTGATATGTAGTATTTCTTCAATGTAATTTACATAATTGTACGCAGCCTTACCAAGAGCATCGGTAAAGTTTAAATGCAAACCACATTACAGGATCAGTTTTTGCTGCGCGTAACAAATATCAAGAAGAACTTGTTCAGCGCAACGCAGTTTCGATGTTGCGAGTTCTGAGAATGAACTTATGCGTTTCGATGTCGTGTTCCGTCTTGTGGATGATATTTCCGTTAATGATTCGTCTCTCCGGGCAATAAGTGCGGTTCAGCATGTACTATCCGTTCGAAACAGATAGACTTCCAGTGTAAGTAAAAGTTGCAGTGGTTTCCAAACATGATAGGATTTTAGACCACCAAATTAAAGTGTCATATTGGACCCGACTTCTTGGTGGATTAACAAAATCTGCCAGAGCTTTTTGGGTTTAATCAATGTTGGCTAGTGACTTTCTAGTTTGCGTGAACTCCTGCTCTATTAGATTGATTCATTTTTAATTTTGATATGACATACTTTACAGGTTTATATCGGTGGTTGTTTACGTTGCATTGATAGTGCATTGGGTGTCGTTATTCACTCTATCAATAGACTGCATAATTGTCTCCTTGTACATGCAAGCGCAGTTACAATCGCAAATGTTAAGAGACAATTTAACACATCTAGGGGATGTAGAAGATGATGACGAAGATGACAAAATGACAGTGAAAATGTACAGAGATGTGGAAAGTACAAGGTTTAAAAACATATTCTACAGAAGATTAGTCATGTGTAAGAAACGACATGAGTTGATAGTTTGGTATGGAATATTTAATACTGGTTAATATTGTTGGTAAACATTTTAAGTCAAATTTTCTTTTTGTGTTATTAATTTTCGCAGGCTAGTTGATGAAATCGAGTCAATATTCGGTACTCCAATGGTTTTGCAGATTCTAGTGATGGCCTGGATCATCTGTATGACTATTTACAAGATAGCTGCGGTATTTTAACTTTCTTGTTGAACTAAATCTTGTACAACTTATGTATTTATTAACGTCTACTTTCAGATTGATATATTGTCAGTGGAATTTCTGGCAATGATTGTATATTTGAGTTGTATTTTGTTTCAATTATTCATTTACTGCTACTTTGGAACGCAACTTAAAGACGAGGCAAGTCACTTGTTACTGTTACAATTAAGTTACTGTTATCGGGACACTCACTGGCGTGGAATACTACTTATACCATAAGTGTTATTAAAAGAATTGTCAATTTCAAAAGTTTTTCTTCACAGAGTGAGTTCGTGAACCAATCAATCTACGAGTCAGATTGGCCGGCGGTGTCGCCGCGGCTACGTCGGTCGCTGCTTATCATGATGGAGCGCTGCTACCGGCCTATAGCGCCTTGCATCGCCTACATCGTGCCCATGTCTCTAGATACTTTTATATCTGTGAGAAACTTTTCATTTACATCTTTAAATGTTATGGTAATCAAGACAAAGTTAACCAAAACTTTCAGGAAATAACTAGAACCTACTTCTATAAATCACGATTCGTGAGTTACCTTTAGAGAAGAGAGACAAAGAAAGAAAGAAGGGTTTTATGTAGCAGTTCTATTCGCTTTGACTTATTCGTATATTGTTTGTAATACCTTTTAAAAAAATATGTGTTAGAAATACAAATAGAAATAATTTAATTGTAACAAAAAAGATTGATAAATTTCAATTACATTTACACTAACTAACTTAAAGCTAATTACAATTTGTTGTTTTAATACTAAGCTATGATCAAGAATACATTTGTAATTTATGGTAATAGAAGGAATCCTCTTATTAGTGGTTTAAGCAAATACTTTATTGCTTTTCGCAGGTGGTGAAATTCTCATATTCTTTGTACACATTTCTGGATCGAAAATAAGTTGATAATACACATAAAGATAATTGTGTTCCACTAAATAGTTTTTTCTGCATTCGGATGACAATAGCTATAAATCGAAGATGCAATCATTATCAGCATTGAAAATTCTGATTTAAAATTATCCAGCTGGCTTTCTCCAGGGATTTTACTGGATTTTAATGAAATAAGACGACTTAGATGTAATCATTTTTTTTTAATTTGTATTGTATTTTTTTTACTTTTAACTCTTGCATCACAAACGTTATCGCTAGTTTCATGGTCGACTAAAACTCTTATTTGTTGTGGTATTTATTGCGAAGTGGTAATTAAATAAACAACGTAATTGATATTAATTGCAATAATTGATGTAATTTGTATCATGATACAGGGAGATGATATTCCTAATAATCGTAAACGTTAGAAAAAAGAGGTATAAGTTACTGCTTTCTCGTGTTGAAAATAGAAAATGTTAACAATAGCCATGAAAACAATTGTTATTATGAAAAATTAAAGTATCGTATGTACTAATACTACAATGACCTACCCTTGTTTTGGACAATTAAAAGAGACCGATCTTTCCTCGTAATCTTCTTGATAAAAAGATTAACAGTATGTTTTTAAGCGGATGTTCTGTCAGAATAAATGATAGGTAAAAGTAGTGTAATGTTATTTTCATATATGTAAATATGTTGCATTTTGTAACATACTGTATACTAATGTATAGTGTATAATTGTTAATTTAACATAGTGCGCAAGTTTATAATATTTGCAAGGTAAACATTGTAGCGATATTATTATAGTTGATTGTTCTATTTTCTGTTAAACATGAAAAATAATTTTGATGCGTTCAAACCTCATTATAGTTTTATGAAAATGTCAGGATGTTATGAAATAGATAAGTCGAACACAAAAATGAAGCAAACTCTACACCGTTACTATCGCATATTAGTTTTAATCGTTTTCTGTACATTTTGCTTTCAACATATGGTTCAAGTTTACAAGGTAAGTTTACTTTTTGATTCCGCTAGTGTTTGAAGACATTTTTTTTAATAATCTAAAGTGGCATACGAGTAAGCGGTCACCTGATCCACCGAAATGGAAAGCGACTACTGCCTATAAACATCCGCAATTGCAGATGCGTTGCCTACCCTTAATTGATGGAGGTGGAGACGCACATAAACAGGACAGGATTTCCCCTTTCTATGCGTCTCTTCCATCGTCAAATTTACATTTTTTTGTTCTCATCCTTTCCTCTTAAGAAAATGGTGGAACGGGAGTTGGACTAAAATTAGGCCATCGGCCCCACACTCAGCAAAGGAAATACGGAATTGCTTCAACTTCACTCCTGTTTTCAAGCAGGCCCATTCGTGCGAAGATGTTAAAGCGGGTTCTACCACTGTCAAAATAATTTAATTGAGAAGTAAATAGTTTTTCTACGCTCTCATCAACCAAAATTAAGCTTATTTTTTTTTGGAAATGTAGAAGCGTGCTCATTACAAATACATTCTAGATCGGCGCTATATACTCGTATAATAGTTGTCAGTGTCCTTAATATTTATGTATTATTCCTTAATATTTATCTAGTCTTGGTTAACTGAGAGCAAATCTGCTTCTAGACTGTGCGTAAAAGCTCGCTGTTTAAAATTCTCATTCTTTGTTTTACAGCTTCGGGACGATGCCGAAGAAATGGTAAACACATTGTACGTTTTGTTAACTCTCTACAACTCGCTCGGAAAACTATTGGTTTATAACATCCGAAGAGGACGTATCGAGAAAATTGCTGAAGCGATAAGGGGTATCGGATATACATAATGCTAATCATATCATACAAATATTATAAATGCGAATGTTTAGATGGATGGATGGATGGATGGATGGATGGATGGATGGATGTTTGTTAGAAGGCTGAACAAATTTCAATGAAATTTGGTATAGACGTAGAGGATAGTCTAGATAGGAAGAATACATAGGTCACTCACTTTTTTTTTTCCACGCGGATGGAGTCGCGGGCGACAGCTACTGTTACATAAATATCAAAAGTTGTAATTCTTAATGTTAGTTACCAACTCATAATCATAGTTTAGCTAAATAAAGGTTAAGACATCTTGTAGAAATAGTGTCAGAGATGCAGATCGAATTCAGAAAGTTTAAAAATAAATCACGACAAATTATGATTATCTTGTGAATTTAATAATTCATATGAAATCTTGTTTTTATTAAATTAAATATTACAGGGCCAGTATTTGCTCCAAATAGCAAAACGCACGAAGAGCTTATGGAGCGCAATGCTAAAAACATGTGGCTGTTGCTGAGATCGAACCACGCGTTGATGATAATATGCTCGCTCTTGTGGATGACGTATCCATTGGCGTGTCGCTTCTTAGGGCAAGAAGTGAAGTTCGATATGCATTTCTCATTCAGCACCGAAAGACTGTCGGTGTAAGTATGCGATTGATAACAAAACCATGACAAGTATTATTTTAATTTCGGTAATTATCAGGACAATCTAGGTATTAGACACTTGGAACAGCAGTTCAGGATTAACCAACTACTCATTGTTCATTGCAGAACAAAAGGAATAAAAATCTTTTGGTATTATAAAAAACTTTTTTTTTTAATAACATAAGGTGACAAACGAGCAAGCGGCCACCCGAATCCGCCAAAATGGCGAAGCGACCGCTGCTCATAGTCATCCGCTATTGCAGATGCGTTGCCTACCCTTATCCGACGGAGGAGGAAACGCACATAAAGAGGATATTTCCCCCTCCTATGCATCTCCTCCACTGTCAAATCCACTTCCCCTTCCCATCCTCTCCTTATGAGAAAAGGGTGGTAAGGAGTAAGGGACTTAAATTAGGCCTCCGGCACCACACTCATCAGACGAAACACGGAATTACTTCCACTTCACGCCTGTCTTCTGTGTGGTCGTGGTATTACACAAGGCGCGCCGGCCCTGCAGTGCTAAGATGTTAAAGCGGGCACTACCACTGTGAATTTTGTGAATTTTGGTATAGAAAAAATATATGGCACAATTGTAACTTTGACACATTTGCATCCGCGTCTTTCCGAGGTTGGGTTTAAAAAGAGATCAGCGGAAGCGTCACCATAGATTTCAAAAAGTTTGTCACAGAGCAAAAATGCTGGAGAAGCACAGCTAAATGTCTCTGGTTCAAACATTCATTCCCAACCACTGGCGAAATTTCTTAAACCACGACATCGTTCTTTGTCCCTCATTTGTTACAGGTTTTTGTTGGTTGTATTATATATTACGATCATGGTACACTGGGTATCATTATCCACTGCGACGATGGACTGCACTGTATATGGTTTCTATATGCAAGCGCGACTGCAATTGCAAATGTTAAGGCATAATTTAATGCATATAGCGGATTTAGAAGACGAGGACAGTAATGAAAATAATGAGAAAATTGAAGTGAAATTGTACAGAGATTTAGAAAATATGAGATTTAATGATCTGTTCCACGCAAGATTAGTGAGGTGTGTAAAACGTCATCAACTGATTGTATGGTAAGTATCTTAAGTATGATAACAAATTATCTTATACGCGATTTTTTCTGCGTGAAATTAAAAATCAATAAAGGACATAACCCTATGTTACTCATAGATAGTTTACCTTTCTAATGATGAAAGAATTTTTGAAATCGGCCCAGTAGTTTTAGGTTATTTTAATACATAAAAAGTACAATTTTTCCTCCTTATAATATCTTTATAATATAAGTATAGATTCCTAATTAGACTTATTAAATTGCAATATGTAAATTAAAAATACTTGTAATAAAAGAAGCTGCAAGATTATTTGTACTAGTTACTTAAGCAATTTAACCTTTTCATCATCATCATCATCATCCTCCTCCTCCTCCTCCTTATCCTATCCCCGTAGGTTCGGCGCGATAGATTTTTCTCCTCCAAATAACTCTATCATACGTCATCTCAGTCTCACCTTTTATTTATCTTTTTTCTTTCGACAGGCTCGTCGATGTAGTTGAATCCACATTTAGATCATCAATGATTCTGCAATTTTTAGTCATGGCCTGGGTCATCTGTATGACTCTTTATAAAATAGTTAGCGTATGTTCTCATTTTATTTTATGTTTTAGATTAACTATTTAAATGATATTGGAGTTTGTTTCCAATGTGTTTTCTTTCAGCTGGATTTTCTATCAGCTGAGTTTATGACAATGATCGCCTATATGAACTGCGTATTGGTGCAACTGTTTCTCATTTGCTACTTTGGAACACAACTTAAAGATGAGGTCTGTCTGTTTTAAATAATGTAACTTAGTACATTATAAATGTACTTATACTATAGGTATCGTTATTTATAAATTACTTTTTCCTCCATAGAGTGAGTTCGTGAACCAATCAATCTACGAGTCAGATTGGCCGGCGGTGTCGCCGCGGCTGCGTCGGTCGCTGCTCATCATGATGGAGCGCTGCTACCGGCCTATAGAGCCTTGCGTTGCCTACATCGTGCCCATGTCACTAGACATATTTATTTCTGTAAGGATTGCTCTCTTGTGAGATAACTAATTTTTTTTTATAATTATTGGCAATTGGTTGTTGTTTAACAAAAAGCTATGTTTGTACTTTTTCAGGTCGTGAAGTTTTCTTATTCTTTGTACACATTTCTGGATCTGAAGTAATTCGCTTATTTATTCGAGAATGTTCTGTCCGCTACATGGAATATGTTTTACTATCTAGTTATGATGCAGATAGTAAATATGTTAACAGTAAATTAGGTACCTAGGTAAGTATTTAGTGCTTTTGATCATATTGCTACAATAACTCTATCAGCCTTACAAATAAACGCAGTATAAAGTTAAACTTAGGAATAAACTGAGTATAAGCAAATATTAGTAACTAAAAAATTTGGAACCGCGTTTATTTGTAAGTCGGTATGTGTCTATGGTTAATTATTTTGTTTCTATATCTTTTGCTATATTAATATAAATCGATGTTTGTTTCTTGGTATAATATAAGTTTTATATAAGCTAATAATAATGGATGAAATATTCCATTTATGTCATAAAAACTAATTTACTTAGCAAAATAAAGATTTATTAATTGAATACGACTTTTTTAATTATAACTTTATCTAGGTAACAAAAGAAGAAAAGACATTCTTCTTCGTAAGAAGAATTGTGTAAGTAAAAGACTGTACAAAAACAATCTGTCACGTATAATATGATACAATTAATAGTAATAATCAATGTCTTCAAATATCCTACTTCAAGATATTAAAAAGTGAAATGAATTTTCCAATTATCTTAGTAAAGTGAGAAAAGAATAATCTCCCCTTATTCGTTTCGTACTTTAATATTCTATTCTATGCGGGTTATCATTTACTCAATTCAGTCACCTCCCCCTAGTCCTACATCTACCGATGAACTTTTTACTCCATGTTGAAACTAAGAGATCTCACTTCATCACTATATTATAAGGAATAATAGACATTTTAAGTGGGGCGCCATTTCTGACATTATTTAAAAGCCGCCATATTTGAAAGTCGGGCATTCGCTCGCTGGCTCTGGTAACATCCATCCATCTTTTTCTTACAAAAAAGGGTGGGAAGTAAAAGGGACTTAAGTTTGGCCTCCGGTACCACACTCATCAGACGAAACGCGAAATTTCTCAGATTACAGATTCACCGGGTTGGAGAGGCCGAGTGCAGATGGCGCTTCCTAAACGTCTTTCATGAGTAATTGAGCTTAAGGATCCTATAAAGAGCTTCGGCTCAGGTTGTTACTTCGCTATTATTACCAGATTTGGTCCAAGCAGGGTTCTACATACGTTTCTTTTAAAAAGAATAGTAAATTGAATGCAGTACTGTAACTTTAATGATGCATTTACTGGTAGTATTAATGTGTATAATATGTATGTATATCCAAGACAAATGTGCTAGGATCATACCAAATAGGTACCGTAAATTGGCGCTTTTGACTATTGAGTTTAGGACATCTAAACTAAGCCCAACGTTTCAAGGCCGAGGACCTAGGTCTTGAATGGCGCAATAAGTGCGAAGGGTAAATTAACTAAACAACATAATTTATTTTATTGCGCCTATTACTATAGTATTTAAAAAAAATGAGACTTCGGTGTTATGTTTTCTATAATTACATTATACAGGAGGAGCTTTTTAAACGTATGCAAAAGTTAGTTTTATCAAGTTAAAGGCCAAGTTTAAGTGAGTATTTCAGAAAAAAATATAAAATCACTCGGTATTGCCATGTGAATACTGTATTTTAAAGTTTTTAAATGTAATCCATCAATAAAAAAAATCTATTCTTTATTTCCAATGTTTTAGTACGTATTCATTCCCCTTCTACTAGTTTAATTGAAAATTCTTCCAAAAGTAACCTTATTAACAAGTGTTTTAAAAAAATATATCGAGGATACTATATGACAAAAATCTTGAAAATTCGTAAGCAATACTTTATCAAATAGTAGAAGGGATTATTTACAGTAGTTTCAAAGAACTATACAAAATGTTCAAAATAGGGTTTTCAGTTTCATATTCACGTAAAAAAACTTTTATTCATTGAGTTTCGGAGTTTAAGATACAAGAAAAATGTGGTAAGATTATACCAAATTGTCGACTTTCAACTTAATTTACGGAGTAGGATTTCACGGCTGACTATTGTATAGTCCAAATTAATGTATTAAAGAAAATTTATGTATTAATGAAAGTACAATTTTTTTTGAGCGAGGTACTAAATAGTACATTTTAGGTACATTTTTTAAAGGCCCAGGACCCAGTATCTATTAAGTAAACAACATAATTGATGTTAATTGCCCCTATTTATTTAGTAATTATTGAATGAAATTAATTATTCTATATTGCATGTTTTCTTTCACATTATACATGTGGTAATGTTTTTTTTAATTCAGTTTTTTTTATTTTACCATCCTAGCTTACCCACTTATCGGTTTAAGTAAAACATTAATCTACAGAAACACAATAAACAGTATAAGTTTTTTGTATTAGCATAGTTTAAACATTTGTATTACAATATTTGCATAAAGATTTAAATAAATAAAATTCAAATGCAAATACCTTTCATATTATTTAATAATTTATTATAATTACTAAGTTATATTGCATCAGAAACAATGTTAAAAAAATCTTAGGATTTTTATATCTAATATTTTTTTAGAAAGGCATTATTTTTAATTGAAAATTAAGCAAAATTCTACATCAATTTTGGACAAAGATTCTGAAATCCGACACGAAATTTGGTATATAAATAAGCATATTCTTTTAATATTTATCATGTAAATATTTTATACCACTCATTAACAATCACTCTTTAATAGCAATTAATAATTATCTATAAGTACGACAAAAATGTCCTTGGTAAATGTTTATTGTACAATATTACAATAGTCAGAAGTAATTCATACTCTGACGATAAATTACCTTCTTCAAGCTTACAAACAAATAACAATTTGATATATAAAAATGGCACAACACACGAACACGAGTAAAAATTTCGAAACTTTCATACCACATTTCGAAACATTCGCAAATCTTGGTTATTACAAATTGATGACACCAACATCGAAAACCAAAGAAATTTTACATTATTACTATCGAATACTCGTTTGGTTTATTTTCATAATATATAATGTACAGCATGTTTTACGTGTAATTGAGGTAAGCTTATTTTTAAATTAACATTTTTTTAATATAAGGTGGTATAAATTAACCGAAAAAGCGAAGTCACTGCTGCCCATATACATCTGCAATTGCAGATGCGTTGCTTACCTTTAAACAACGAAGGAGAAAGAACACAGACGCTAAGATTAAAAGACATTTTTATTACAATTGTTGCTAATTTCAAACTCTGTAAGTTTGTTTAGTGTTATTGTATTATTATTCGCAGGTCAGACACGATATTATGGAAGTTGTAAACGCAATGTACGTCTTTTTAACACTTTTGAACTCGTTGGGCAAGCAGGTGGCTTTCAATTACCGTACTAAACGCGTTGACAAAATCGTTGATGCTATCAAAGGTAAGATATAATGTTAATTTAAATAAGTGCACCCAGAGTCCTTAATGGATGCTTTAATGGTTAGTAAATATCGTCTAAGGAAGTAATTTCATCAGTCGATAACTCGGTTGTTATACAGCTGAGAAGTTTAGTGCGTGGTAAGGTATAGTAGATAGTAAAGTCCAACGCATGCTGTTGCTATCAAATGAAAAAGATCCTCGCATGCGGGCACTTTGACATGCGGGGACATGAATTCTCACACACGACGCATTCTGTATCGACTAATGTAATCGTACCCTTATAGTAGATTTATTAGTAATTACTAATAATTGTGTTAGATGTTTCGAGGTTAATTAAAATTAATTTAAATAACTCCAAAAATCAAACAAAAAAATGGGACCCACCTGCAAGCATTACCTTTCGGATAAAATAAAATTTATCAAAGTCGGTCCACTAGCGGCGGAGTTATGCCGTAACACACATAAAAAAAAAAAAAAAACATACAGACGAATTGAGTACCTCCTTCTTTTGGGAAGTCGGTCAAAAAGGGCTTCATTTTTGTTAACATATTAATCAGCAGTATATGCTACAGGACCCGTATTTGCTCCTACCAACAAATATCACGATAAGCTGTTGACTCGTAACTCTTCAGAGATGATAATACTAATGCGATGCTATCAAGTTATGGTGGTGTTCCTTTTTATCATGTGGATGGCATACCCCATCATGATTCGTCTCTCCGGACAGGAGGTGTCTTTCAGTATGTACTATCCTTTCGACACATCCAAACAGCCGGCGTAAGTTTATCCTTGGTTTCATTTCTTTTAATATTATCCAAGCTATTTATTGTTTGTTTCTTCCAGCTTATAGATACAGGATTACCAGTATAGTAAATTTATTTTTTATGAATACACAAAATTTGTCATGGGCATCACAAGCAAATGGACCAGGCTAGGTTTTGAGGGGGGCTATTATTATGATCTTACATATAGTGTCTCTGCGCCTGCGAAGTCCAAGATTTGACATCTTTCAGTGCATTCAGTTTTAATTTTTTTTCCACAGATTTTTGCTCGTAGTTATATACGTGGCGATACACGTCGCATGGCTGAGTTTCGCCACCGTGTCTATGGATTGTTTGATTGTAGCATTCTACATGCAAGGCAGATTACAATTACAAATACTTAGGAATAACTTGCGACATCTGGTGGATACAGAAGATGAAATCGAATACGGCGAAGATGATGAAACTCCCACCGTACCACACAAAGAAATCCACACTGACACATTCAAAGATCTATTTCAAAGAAGATTAACCCAATGTGTTAAACGTCATCAACTAACTGTATGGTAAAACGAAATGTTCTGTTTCCTATCACCTTTGACTTTATCATTTTTCAATTTCTTAAGAAAATGCAGTGACAGGCTTAAAGATTTCTTTCCATAAAGAATTTGTGAAATTCGTTAACCACCATCACCAGTATTGCAAAATTTAGTATTTTTGGTGATGACCCTTTGAGTGCATCATTTTACTACTACTATTACTTTTTTTCTTTAAATTGCAAAACCAGCGCTTGACCACTATCCCACCTTGTCCAAGGTAAAGATGTGGTCGAAGGATGGTACGCGCTAGTTTACTTGCTTGTTTTATTACTTGCGTTTTATCTTTTTATATATTTAATACTATGGATTGTCAGCTTTAAATACATTTGTAGATATTTATAGGCTAGTGAAGGAGACGGAATCAATATTTGCTGAAGCATTGGTGATGCAATTCATAGTTGTAGCGTGGATCATTTGTATGACTGTTTTCAAATTAGTTGCCGTATGTATGATTTTCAAACTTTTTAATCGCGAAAATAAAGCGCTCGTTATAACGTTTTATCGTTTACTTCTAGGTGAAAATTCTATCAGCAGAATTTATCACAATGATCATTTATTTGGCCTGCATATTGATGCAGTTGTTTTTATTCTGTTACTATGGGACACAACTAACATATGAGGTCAGTACGAAAAGCTTTTTTCTAATTCTTTGAAGGAGGTAAGTGATTTAGCCACAATTTGCAAAGACGTATATGACTGACTACTTTGACTTTACTTAACGTAGCGTACATCCTAGCAAGCATATCTATTATTTTATAAGAGATGTTGCCAATTTGGCAAACTCGCTCCGCGTGTTAATCTATGAATATTTTTTTTACCACACAGAGTGACCTGGTAAGCCAGGCAATATATGAAGCGGAATGGATGGCGTTGCCTCCACACATGGCACGGCCGCTGCTCATCATGATGGCTCGCTGTTTCCAGCCCATATCGTTGTATATCGCCTACGTTGTTCCCATGTCTATCGACAGTTTTATCTCTGTAAGAACACTTAAGTACTTATTTTCATATTTTGAAACAGGATGTTCTGTAATGAAAAAATCAAAGCTGGTTTGAACGGATTTACTTTTAAATTAACCACGATTTTTTACGTCTTACAAAATCGTAGTTAATCGTAATCGTTCTCGTTACTGTGAATAAGACTGTTGTTCATGCTGATGCCTAACATTATGGATGTATTATACAACAAATGTAAAGAATGTTTGATAAAGTAATTGCATATTTTTTTCAGGTCGTGAAATCTTCGTATTCATTGTACACGTTTTTGGATCGTAAATAGTTTATATTCGTATACTTTTGACGTCACCGAAACTTATTTCAAATAAATTTTGCGAAGCATAACTATTTTTAATGTTTAATAACACATTAATGTTTTGTTTTTGAATGTAATGATTTTGCTTATAATTAGAAGATACATTTCATTTATCAGTAATAAAGATTTTCTCTTGAATGTAATCTTTTATTGCCTACAGATGTACCAGCTGGTCACGTTTGTCTTTGGCTTTAAAAAGTAGAATTGTTTTTCAAATTTAGAAACACAGCATATAAGTGAAAATTACGTTCGATTTTATTAAGATTAGGCAAATAAATTCAATAAATGCTTGAATATAGAGCAATAGAGCAGAGTGCTTATTAACAATAAACTAAAATTAACAGATATTCAATTACAAATGTGATTTGTACTTTCTTAATTGTCTACATACGAAAATTAGCGCCTTGGTGTACTTAATTAGATTTGAGGATGTTATACAGGGAGGCAAGAGGTTTATTTATCAGTATTGTAAATTATTAACTAAAATTAGTTAACAAACTAAAACTGTAAACTTCTTAGTTGACATATTTTTATTTATATAATGACAAATTTGCATGGAAATACTATTTATTTGAAAAAAGTTATTTGCAAGTTCTTTGTTATTTTAAATATGAAGCAGATTGAGCTTTACATAAAAGGTAATTAAATAGATAGTTATATTATTATATTTATGTATAGCTTAGCTTACACTCGCGACTCCTTCCGCGTGGAATTAAAAAAAGAAAAGTGAGTAGCCTATGTGTTGTTCCAGACTATCCTCTACATATGTACCAAATTCATCGAAATCCGTTCAGCCGTTTAGGCTATAAACTCTAACAAACATTCATCCATCCATCTAAATTTTCGCATTTATAACATTAGTATGAAGTATGATTATCAAGACATCAACATCTGTTATTTGTAAAAAGTAAGTTGTTATTGATTTTAAAACTAGTTTTATAATTAAGGCAAAATAACAACAAAATCATTACACTTTATCAACCTGTATATCACTGAAGAAACATAAAAACGTTTGAATTTTAGTGGCTTGTGTAGGTTGATACATTAATGGGGCCTTCAGATATATTTCAGACAAAGTGGCGACAAATCATAGTTTTTTTTTATTGCCATAATCATGTACAGTAGTTTCGATGCTTTCAAGCCGCATTTTAATGCTTTGGCAAGAGTTGGATATTTTAAAATGGTTTTTAAGTCGTCGTCTAAATATAAGCAAACCTTGAACATGTATTACCGTAGTGTTGTTTGGTTTCTTGTCATTTTATATAATTTGCAACATGTATTACGTGTAATTCAGGCAAGTTTATAAATGACTACATTTACCTCGCTTTAGAAGAAACTAACAGTTGTAGTTGAATGCAAAATTCATATTTGATCCCCAGGTCCGGAATAGCACCCATGAAATTGTGAACACCTTATTCATTCTTCTTACAACCTTAAACTCATTGGGCAAGCAAGTCGCATTCAATGTCCGGACGGCGCGCATCGACCGCGTCATTCAAACAATTAACGGTAAATTAGTCTAAAATCCATAACTTAAGACTTGCGTACAACATAGTAACTGGTAATTGAGTTGCCATGCCGGCCACACGAGTACTCATGCTGCCGACAGTCAAAAGACCGTATGTATTCATTTACATATGTCCCAACTCGTCGCATATTGGTCGTGATTCTTGTAATAATTCACAGACATATTTAGAACCGCTAAGCTAAATGTGTGTTGCAACGAGAAAATAAAAAAAAAACATGAATAAAAAACATTACAGCCGTCTCAATCGCTCATAACAAATTTTGGCAGCAAGCCTTGCGGAAACAAACAACGAAATTATTGGCTGGTTTAATTTCTCAATTACTATACTGATGAATTAAGTCAATAGACTTTGGATTTAATAAAAAAATGCTTACTGAATATAATAAAAAATCAAACCTTTTCACTCTACAAATTACGTAATAGTTACGGACAGAAAATTATAATGAAATAATTACGGACGCACATGTTATAGCTAATGAGCGGTAACGTTTTCTCATCTAGGGTCCCTTTTTGCCCCGGGTAACAAATACCAAGATGACGTCATGAGGCACAACGCTACGTCCATGCTACGACTGCTACGCATGTACCATTGTGCGATATTCCTCTGTGCGCTCATGTGGACGATATTCCCCGTTGTCAACCGCGCTCTGGGTGAAGATGTTCAGTTCACTGGATATTTCCCATTCGACACCACTGACACGCTTGTGTAAGTAAAGGTATTTACAATCTTAACCTGTCAGGAATCATTCTTATTCTACTGACGTAAGTTTCTGTCCTTCAGACTAATCTATTTTCCGGCATTTTAGTTATCACTCCCTTCTTAATCTATTCACTATCCATCCATTTCCTTTTAGTATACATTATATGCATATTTTTCTACTAAACCAGAAAACAAAGAGAAAAGTTCATTAGCTTCCATCTTTTGTATTTGAATAATTCAGATACGTGATATCGATTTGTCGTCTACCTTCAGGTTTGCATTGACGCTAACTTACATGTCCATATTAATAACACTGCAAGCGTACGGCAACGTCACAATTGATTGTACTATTGTTGCATTTTATGCTCAAGCTAAAACGCAAATCAAAATGTTAAGATATAATTTAGAGCATTTAGCAGATACACAAAGAGAAATTAACGAAGATTACAATGACATAATTAAAAACTACAAGGATGTGGAAAGTATAAGATTTAATACATTATTTCAAAAGAAATTAGTAAGCTGTGTTAAACATCATCAACAGATTTTATGGTAAATTGCTTGTTTATTATCACTGTTGCTAGTCTTTGCTTCTTGTGTTACAATTTTTTGCTTTGTTTGCTTACTTGCTTCATTCATCTAGTACTGCTTCAAGATTGAATTAACATATAGTGATGCAAAAGAATGAGAACCAACATTTTCATTATAGGTTTGTTAAAGAAGTACAGTCAATATTTGCGGAAGCGATGGTCGTTCAATTCTTCGTAATGGCATGGGTCATCTGTATGACTGTTTATAAGATAGTTGGGGTACGTATTTTTAGACAATTATCTATCAGTCAATGTAAGCAACTAAAATTATCATTTTTTTTAGCTGAGTGTACTATCAGCTGAGTTTTTCTCGATGGCCATGTATTTGGGATGTATGCTCGCACAACTGTTTATTTACTGCTTCTATGGAACTCAACTTAAGTATGAAGTAAGCATTTTTAAATACCTTAGACAACACTCTACGTTAGAATTAAAGACTACATCAGAATAAGGCATCTTTACCCCTTATTATTTATAATACGAAGAGGAAATATTTGTATTTTTGTTTTTTGAAATAACCATAAAACTACTGAGCCGATTTCAAACATTCTTTCACCATTAAAAAGCTACGTTATCGTCGAGTAACATAGGCAAAAGCTAGTACTTTATATTTTAAATCTGTTGTTAGTTTTTGTTTGTTAATTACAGAGTGAAGGTGTAAATCAATCAATTTACGACAGTGAGTGGCTGTCGATAACCCCGTGTGCGCGGCGTTACCTGCTCATTCTGATGGTCCGGTGCTCGCGCCCCCTTGCACCGAGCATCGCTTACATTATCCCCATGTCTATCGATACTTACATCTCTGTAAGAATTGCATTTATTTCAGTAAATCACGAAATATCAAAAAAATCCTACTTTATGTTTGTAATAGTCATGATTGAAATAATTTTTATTACATAGTAGTATTTTTTTTTTCAGATTCTCAAATCGTCATATACATTATTTACATTCTTGGATCGAAAATAAATTTCCATTAAAAATTAAAGTCAAAATCTTAGATGGTCTGAACATAGGAAAGATTGTTTAGTTACTTTTCTATATATTTTTTTTATCTTAATATTGTTAAACCTTTAAGAGCGATAATGAAAAAATTTTAGTCGGAATAAATAAACGAATATTGTTTGAGTTTTATTAAGCACTCTTAATTCTGTAGTATGGAATGTTTAGAGATAATTTATTTAATTTATTTAATTAATTTAATACCTTAAATCATATCACTTCACGTAAATTCAATTCACGTAAATCTTTCATATACCAATCTAATATCAAATAACAAAAGTCTGTTATGTTGCCAATAAATTCTTTCGCATTTGCAAATATGTTTTCCTTCATATCCCTCACCGTACTTTTACGTTAACAAATCACTGTCAGAAGTTATAATTTATTTAACTCTACACAAAGCGCATTTTACGGATATTTGTCTATCGCAGAGGCAGAAGTCGCTCGTAAAATTGACCACTGTTTGAATGACTGACTGCGCCGACGTGACGCCGCTCTGAGTGAGTCAGCAAGTCAGTCGCCCCGCGATTTACGCGAATCGAATCATTGGTGTTACGTTTTTATAAACATAAAATTACCCAACAGCAATTTACGCTCGGAATCGTAATTTCAAATATTTACAGATAAAACTCCGATTTCAGTAATCCGACGCGTTTCATATTGAAATTTCAATGATACCAAAACGTCAGTCGGAATATCATCAGTCGGAATTTAAAATGAAATAAATGGGTCGACATAAAAGTTAACGTTTTATATCGTATCGTGTTCTTGCGCGATATAATCGTCTGCGAAATACCGTGGAAGCTTTCGATGCGACGAAGCGTGCGGTCGACCGGCGCGCGCACAGTCAGACAATTCAGGAGCCCGCCTCTCAGTGCTCCGTACGTCGTAAGTGCTGAAAGTCGTGTAAAAAGTAGTATCCGGCCGCGAATAGCGCGCGTGGAATTCCGTTTATAAATACACAAGCGTGCGAGAGTAGCGAGCGAGCGAACGTGCGCGGCGAACGGCGATGTTCGGCGCGTCCCGATGATGTTCATGGGCGGGGGGGCGCGCAGGCGCACGACGCCCGCACAGCCGCGCGCGCGCGCCCCCGTCCAACGCCTTCCCCTCGAAAGAGTGAGTTTTACTTAATGCTCATCTAGGTAACCCAGGGTTACAATCCTTATCTTTAACTTCCCCTTGTTATTTAAGCACTTTTAAATTCGTTTGAGCTTCGTTTTTTTTAAATTCAGACAAAAGCTCAAAATAATATTGCAGATTAGACCCTAGATAATTTTTGCCTTAGAACTTAAGTATACTTACGTATCTATTTTAGATATGGTATTTACAAAATTTAAATTTGATGCCTGCAGCCTTCTCGTATGATTCCCGCCCATGCGTGTGTCATACCACGGTATCGCTGTTTATTTACATTGTCTTAGCTTCATTCATGCTGTGGCGGCCATGCTTTATTTACATAGCAAACAGAATGATTAACATGTACCATCGGTTAGCATTAAATTGATTCATTAAAACAATATTTACATCCGAATTAGAGGATTATTTTGTATATGTTTTATGAATCATCAGTGTACAAAACGTTAAACGTTCCTTTAGATTTGTTCAATTTCTGACTGATTCACCCGTTTAGTGTTTCATTTTTTATTGTAGAACGACGTTTTGAGGATATAACGATACAATTAAATGAGTAAATAGTCAATAAATTTCCAATAGATGTTAAGGAGAAGGAACGTAGTTAAGGTGGGAGGATCTTATGCAAATATAAGTTATTGTTTATTGAAAGATGAAATCTGTACAATTCTTAATATACACAAACTTAAAGAACTGAGACCAAGTTTACTTATTTCTTCCAATAGTCAGTTGTTTTTCTTACCGAAAAAAGTCTTAACTGTTTAATGATTTTTAATTAAACTATAATGTTATGCTACCATTTCCACGTGTGTGTTCGATTGATATTGATTATCAGCAATGCGTGACGTCCAACGTAGCAATCCCATCAAACGTTTAGCGGTTGGTTCCTTCTATTTATAGACGTGCATTTACCGGCCGATGGGTTAGCCGAGCAACCTTGGTACCCTTTACCGATTTCTGTTCATCTCGAGCCAAATTGTCTCGTTGCTTGACAATGTATGTTTTTCACTGACATTTTGAAGATTTTTCTTACAAATTCTTATTATTATTAATGGAGATTTAAATATTTATGTTTATGCGTTTATAAACTGACACCTCTGTAATCCTCTTAGACAATGGACATAAAATCAATCAGCCGTCAGTCAATTACACTTTCAAGTGCAATATTTTGGCTATTCGATGCGCATTTTACAATGGACATTCATACGATCTTGCCAGAGAATGTACAAAAAAAGACCTTGAGTTGAGACAATTTCGGTGTTGATGCGCTCGCGACGTTCTTTACTAATGGGGATTGACTAAATATATTACACTGTACATAACTATATAATAAATCCGTAACCCAAAAGTTAAGCAGAGTTTCATTTGGCGCAATCTTGATACGAATCTGTTCACATCTCCCCGCTTATGGAAGCTGCTTATTATCTCTGTTCTTTTTATAACGCTTATAGTTCTTATCTGTATATGATATACCGTACATAATTGTCGGTTGAAAATCTAATTCACCGCATTCGTTCGGAGTTGGTACCAAATACGAATACGTGATTCCACGCTCAATTGCGAATATTCTTGGCCGCGTATCATTTTACGACGCGCCGCAAATCGGATTATGAAAGCACTACAATAAACTCAAAACAACCGTAAAAGCGAACCGAGTGAAGTCGGGGGCGAACTGCTGTACGAAACGGCTTCGATTATTGTCCACGGAGTGTTCTCGTTATGTTGGTTGTAAAAAAAGAAAAGCATGACTCACCTCAATGATAAAGCTCGTGCCAAGTTTTCGCGGCAATGTCGAATTGTTGTTGATAAATAAATTTGAAATAAACCAGACCGTTTTTAAAAAATACGATATTTTACACTCGTTTGACAGTTTTATGACATGACATATAGAAAAAATAAACCCATGATTTATGGTATTGATTGAAATTCCATAAACAAAATGCTAAAATAATATATTGTCATGGAAATATTAATTACTTCCATGTAAATTGGTTACTAAAATAGTGCTATCGGGTTCCGATTCTGGTCCTGGCTGCATTCAGGTCCTTCGAGACGGGTACACGTCGACCTATTGAGACGTAGAGAGCTCGTTTGAGAATTGTAATAAAGAAATACATAATTAAATATTTCTATTTAACTACGTACATGATTATAATTACTTACAGTTAATTTTTGAGCATACTGCTGACTTTTATTTTTCCTTGACTTACAATATCTATTAGTTTCTAAGTGAAAATAAAATCAGATAAGACTCATCTTTAACATGGTTTTGTATATATTCCAGTGGTACCCAGAGTTTCGCAAGGTCGGCAGAGACGGTGGGGCCGGCGTGGCGAGCGATGTGCGGCGCTCGCGAGGCAAACGTATCACGCAGCGCCGCGGCGCCATCAAACACCACAAGTAAGTTACCACTTCTATTTTAACATATCACACTATTAGGAGCCTACCATGCAAGCCAAGTATTACATCATATTAATGATCTCTTGATCCCATTCACTTTATAGAGCCGCGGTGTTAAGAATGCAAGTTGCAATTATGATCGCCGTAATTCGAAGGAAGATGGCACTTTACGAAAAAGAATGATTCTTTGTGTGAATTAAATACAGAAAAAGAATACCTAAGTATTAATCAGATACTGTGCTTGTTTTCTCAAAATCAACCTTTAATGTTCTTTTAATGAATTCAAACAAAATAAAAATGATTTCTTCAGTCTAATTAGAACAATGAACTTGTACAATGTTATCTCTGTGATATATGTTATATCTGTGAGCGCAATAAGCCGTGAACTGTGAAATTATTCAATATCGAGCATGTCACATGCCGAGCATTACTCGTATTATAGTTAACACACATCTATCACCTGGGGACACCCACGTACTACGCGGCCAAAGTAAAGCAAAACAGTTTTGTAATATCAGCCCCCATTGCAATTTAAATTCTATTTCGATTAGTACAGAGCACTTTTTAACTTCTTAGCAAATTTAAAGGGATTAAGCAATCGAAATTTCTCCATTCTGTAGATAGTATGCAAACATTACATTAACTATGTAAGTAACTCGTTCACGTATGTAATGAGATAAGAAAATGTTTCATAGCCTAATTTATAGCTTCAGAGTATACCGTACCTTTTTTTTGCCCGAGGGGAATGCATCTTACGCATACTCTGCGCTCAGGGGGACGCGGTAGTTATGTGGGACTCTCCCCCCTAATGGGGGGCATACCCACTAAACCCCTCGGTTCCTCCAACGCCTTAGGCCGGGGCCACGGGCACGCTTTCGCTTACGTCCGCAACCCCGAAGAGTATACCATACCTACCATGCTTTATCACGAACTTTTTTTTTTATTCTGAAAAAAATAAATCCATGTAAAAACCGATAATTATGATATAGCCATTTAAAAAATATGTTTCGCTTCTAGAAATAAGTCCCACCGTTTACATCAATAGTTGCCAATAACTTTATCACATACACTAAAATTTGCATTCGTAATTTTCAGAGAGCACGCAGTGAATGGCCACCGGTTCGTCGCGAAGTTTTTCCGTCAGCCGACGTTCTGCGCGTTCTGCAAAGATTTCCTGTGGGGCTTCGGAAAGCAGGGCTACCGCTGTGTCGTCTGTCAGACCGCCGTGCACAAGCGATGTCACAACAAACTGCTTGGGAAGTGCTCCGGCTCCAGCGCCTCCTCCGAGACTACTGTCGTTAGTATCAAATGAAGCGTTTTCTATTAGTTTTCTAAACCTAGATATATGTCTAAAGATTGCTGTAAATGTACAAGAGTCCAGAAGTCGGGCCCTGATGAGCACCAGCTAATGAAATAACTACTTTTAAGGATTCCAGATTTATTTTCGCTCCCCAGTCCCCAATATGTTTTTCTCAGACATGACATCAAAGACAAACGCATTCCTTATACAAAATAGATGTTCAAAAAGTAATTGTCCTTGGTGCAACCGTACTGTTCGTCGTAGGAGTTATGTTTCTGTAGACTCTTGGAACAATCTTTAAACATATTTAAAAAACTAGCTGTTCCCATGCGATTTCATACGCATGAAATTATAAAAACATTTTAATGTTCACATTCGTCAAATTATCAATTGCAAATGTCAAAATGACATGACATGATGTCAAACCATGGCAAGCTTGCTCCCTTGATGTTGGCAACAACTTATGGTCTCTTACCCACATTAGGGTTTTTATGAAAAACATTTACCCCTAAGTTTAACGGTGCTACAATATAGGTATAGCCCAAAGCGTGACGTAAGTGTAGGGCTTTTTATTAAAAAAAAAAAAGTTTTATTCGAAAAAATGCTGTGATTGCTGACATCTTAGGCAACAAAGAAGTGTGTTTAGCTTTATTATATTAGTATAGATTTAGCCAAGTACTATCCCAATATTATTATTAAATACAATGTGCAAACAGAGCCAGAGACCGCGGTAACATCTTCCACGACCACACAAAAGACATTCGTGAAGTGGAAGCAATTCCTCGTTTCGTCTGATGAGTACAAAGGTACCGGAGGCCCCTTTACCTTCTTAACCTTTACTACTAAAGAATTCCCATCCTGGGAAGGGAAAGTTGATTGATGATAAACGAGACGCATAAGAAGGGGATATACTGTTACGGTATTTGCGTCTCTTCCTTCATCAATAAAGGGTGGTCAACGCATATGCAATTGTGGATGTGTATGGACAGCGGTCGCTACGCTCTTTCGTCGAATTCAGGCCGTTCGCTTGTTTGCTACCTTATGATATGAAACAAAAACTTAAAGATCCTTAAGTGGGATTGTATGTATGTGATAAATAAAAACAATTAAAAGGGAGGTATTGTTACAGTACCTAAGGGAGCGGTTCAAAGTGGATGTTCCACATCGGTTCCGTCCCCACCAGTTTATGTCCCCGACATTTTGTGACCATTGTGGAGCGCTCCTCTACGGCTTTTTCAAGCAGGGACTAAAATGTGAAGGTAAAGCAGAAACGTCTTTCTTATAACTTAAACGGTTGTCCAGTACCAAAACAACCATACAAAACAATCTAGTTATTTTGATTTTTCATCAACGAGAAAAAGGGAAGATCTGAAGATATTAATATAATTAATATATCGATCTTTTTGCAATTATTCCATACAGTTATGTTTTGTCGAAGTCGTAAATCTTCATGGCGATCATATTATAATAGTATACGTAGATATTAAGCATGCTTGTTATTTTATTTTTTTAATTTTAGTAACTTGTGGATATGCCCTGTGTCTGTATGTGTAACTGCTTGTAGTTGTTGTATTGATGATGAATAATTAATTACAATTTGTATTTGTTGTTTTTATTAACATTAATTAACACTATTTTCATTTTTTTTTAATAATTGAAGACTATGAAGAACACAACATTATAATAATAACTTATACATTACAAAAATTGTTGTTTATTGATGTTGTTACATTTAATATTATTACAATAACTTAAAAAGTTACAAAAACTTTAGAGCTGTTTTCAAAGTTTTTCACAGAATGTGGTGTGTCACCGTTTTGTCAGCGGGCAGCATATGAAAAAACGACGGTTACAGAACAAAGGAAGTTGTAAGAAATAAATTGTCTTTGTGTAGTGTTTAAACATGTATATAACAAGCGAATCATTTTTAAAATCGCGAAACTAAGGGTATTATATTATTATATTGGTCTATTAATATTATCATTGCACTTTTTATATGTGAAAAGCTGTTCAGGTAAGTTGTTTGCGTCCTCATTTGCAGGACACAACGAAAAGTTTTTGACACGTCTGGAATTAAATGTTGAAATCATAGACAAGGTAAGCTTTTTAGTATAAGGATGTGTACTAAATCCTCAAAGGTTGGCAATGCGGCTGTACATCCTGATCATTGTTGATTGGTATTCCCGCCACTCGTTTAAACACTTCCCCACCTTATTTTATTAAAACACACGAGCAAGCGGCCCCGACAATTTGTAAAAAAACGACCTTTAAAATTTCAGCTAAGTGAACTAATCCAGATTTGACGCAAAATATATTTGTAACTTTAGTGAACTGTGTTTCAAATATTTAGAAAATCTTGTCCTGAAATTTCTTGAAAACTCGTACAAAGAAGTGGCCACCATTTATTAGTGGACGTATATTTTAACTTTCTATATAGATGGCGCTAGTTGCTATATCAGTTTATCTGAAACAAACACAAGACTATTTATGAAGTTGTTTAGATTAAATTAGAGTTATCTATTTCCTTTTACTTTCTTACATATTCGGTTAGGTTTATTAACAACCCAATCCAAGGTGCCAAACGCGAAAATAAATGTTGCACAAAACAACATTTTTTACTCGCATTATATTTTTTTGTACAATAACTATAGCTTAATGATTGCTTATATTTATGTAATTCACTACATTGTTTATTATTATACATTTGCACATAAGTATTTAAATGAACTATAAAAATAATATATTTTTATCAGTCAAAATAGGTTAAAAAAAGCTTAATTCAAAGATATCTTTATTGATTGTAAGTGTACAATCAATTTACGTTCGCTACAATAATAGTTATTGTGTAATTACTCAGGTACAGACATAAATACGACGTCGAACTACGTAGTCCGGAACGTCTACTAAGAATAGAAATAGAGTAGCAATTTATTTTTGTCATCTAAGCAAATCTTCAGTAAGTACATGTCAGCGAGAACATTTATTGTTAAATAGTAAATGCTTTGTACATTTACTTGTGTTTCACATTTTAAAATATTTATAACATAAGATGAGTAACTACTCGTAAATGTTGTAAATGAAAAAGTTTCTTCCGAAATCGTTTAGTCACAGGGCGGCTATAATTGTCACCGAAGCTCATCAATCAATCACCTGCGTAGTGAGAGGGGCGGCGGAGAGCGGCGGGCGGGGCGGAGGCGGGGCGCTCACCTGACTGATGCCCAAGCGCTGCGTCCTCCGCCGGCGTCAGTCCGCGCCGCGAGCCCGCCGTCCCCGAGCGTCGGCGTCGAACGCGCCGTGTTATTGCGCTACGCGATAAGATGCCTCTATTTTCCGAACACATTTCGAACATGTATTACAGTGGAACTCCATCGTATACCAGCTCACCCTACAGCTACAGCAGCTCGTTGCTCCCATTGGGGACGTCGTACAGTGCTTCATATCTTAATCCCGGTGCCAGTTACAGTAACCATTCGTCTTTAAGTGGATACTCCCGAACGCCTGTGAGTTCAAGATGGATCTCGAGTGGAAGATCATATTCGCCCATGCTCAGCACGATTTCCGAGCGTGGGACATCCAGTCCGGTTAGAATAAATAGCCCTAGAAGGGCCCCAATACAAAGTAGATCTAATAGAACATATATTTCTGCAAAATCTTATACTCCACGACCTGTCAATATAAATACGGCTGATATTGATGTATCACGTGACAAATACCGCAGTAAAACTTCATATGCTCAAAGTGATTGCCCTAAAAAAGAAGAGAATTCAAAAGCAAAAGAGGATGTAAGTCCGTTTATGCCTAGGGTAGAAGACAAACCAGAAACTGGGATAGACACTTCGCCTGGACAACGCGGTGCTATAAAACGTGAACGTACTGTAGTACGCTTACATACGCTGAAAAGAAAGGAGAGAGATTCTCCTCGTAAACCGGTCGAAGAAAAACGAAAAGAGGAATCTAACACAGAAAAAGAATCCAATAACGTAAAAACTAACGAAAATGCTGGGGAATCAAAAAGATGGAGAGAGAAACTGTCTGATGATTTGATTTATAAAGATACTAAAGAGAAAAAAACATTAGGAGAAAAATTAGTTGAAAAATTTCAAGTGAAAAGTAATGATGTAGATAATGTTGAAGAGACTTTAAACAAACAACAAAAAACAGCGATTTTACCTCTCGCAACACCACATAATACGGTTAATAGCAAATCCCCCGACAGAAGATGTTCCATGGAAATGTTAGCAGAACAAGCATGTTTATTAGACTCACTTATCAGAAGGGAAAATCTTAGCACAGCAACGTTAGATTTAAGTAAAATTGGTACTGATGAAGATAAACCCGACACCAAGGAATCTTGTCGAACAGAAGAATTAAACAACTCAAAAACATCACAAATAAAAAGTTCTCCCTTGACTAAAACAAAATCCGATCATTCATTGAATACACGTGTAAGTAACTTAAAAGATCAAAAACCTCCTGCAAAAAGACATAGTATTAAAAAATCTTCGTCGGGGAGTAGCATTTCAAAACTAAATTCAATCGTAGAAATACCTAAAGACCTGAGTCTAAAAAATCTTCCGCCTATTGAGGAAAGCAGGTCGTCGATTGGTGATAAAAATGTCCAAGAAAAAACAAAAGTCAAACCTAAACTTAAAACAAAGATCACATCAACCGTCGAAATTACGCCACCTTCTAGCCCATTGAGATTTAAGGTTGAAAATGTGACAGTCGAGGAAAAACCTCGTCCACCGAGGAAAGAAATCACGTTTAGAAGTGAAGTGGTCACTGAAGTTGATAAACAATCATTGGGAGGTAAGAATACTGAACATTTGGTTCCAAGTAGTAAAAGAAAGATTCAGGTTGAAAGCAACGATCCTGCATCTCCTGAACCTGAAGACGGCAATTTTTGGAATAAAATTGGAAAACGAGAAACAGTATATTTAACCAAAAGAAAACATCAAATAGCAAAAGAAAAAGATAATCTCCAACGTGCTGTGTTTTGGTATCCTGAAAGTGAATTTGAAAACAGTGAAATCAATAACAATATTCAAGACATTTCAAACAGTAGCGAAGAATCAAAAGATAAAACAACAATCAGTGCAAGTGACATTGAAGAGATTAAAAAAACCAAAGAATCCAAACAGACTGATGAAAAAGTTAGCGCTTCTACTTCCGATGGTCAAAATTTAAACTATGATAGTGGGAATATTACCGCCATATCAATTGAAAGTTCTCAAGCTGCTTCGGACATTTCAATAAATATCCCAATAGACTATAATAAAGAACAAGTACCTGACACAATTCCTGTGACAACTGATAAATTAGAAAATGAACCGACACCGTTAATCGAGAATAACACTACTCCAAAGGAAAAACCTGCGGCGGTTACTAAAAAAGATGTGGTAGGCGTTAAACAAATTAAAGTAAAGGAAAGTTCCGAAAAAGGAAAGGTAAAAGTCTCAGGAAAAAAGAACAATTCCTCTAAGAAAGAGAAATTAGACGGAAAAGATCAAAATGATGAGATTAAAAAGAGTACTCAAGGGAAAAAGCTCAAGCGTATAACGCCAAAGAAAAATGTCAAATCAGAGGGATCAGAAAAATTACAAAAAGATATAAACGAGAAAGAATCGGAGAGAAATACGTTTGATATTTCTACTAAAGAATTATTAGAAAACCGTACAAAAGAAATTGTAAATGATACTGAATCAAATAACAAAGATATTATTGAGAAAACAAAATTAAATAAAAAAGCATTGCATGAAAAAGTTGAACCAAGTAATGATGATCATAAAAAGTTACTAGACAAGGAAATAAACAGTAGCAATAATTTGAATAACATGACTTCTACGGATTCCAGTTCATGCTCCAATGAAAATCAAGTACAGCTTAGCTTAGAAGAAGTAGGAGAAGATTTATGTAGCAATAAAGATGTGACAAACGAAAAAAGTGATATTACGCCTTTAGAAATCCCAAACATTCCAAGTGACAATACCGAAATATGTAAAATAACAATAGTAGAATCAAAAGACGTAAGTGACAGCTTGAAACAAAAACAAATCGAAAATACAAGACAAAATTCGGTTAAACACAATGCGATTCTAAAGCCGGTTAAACCCGTGAAGGAAGAAAAGGCACTGAAACCATTAATTGCAACACCGAGACCTCTTCAGAAGAAAGTTCCACTACAAATTCGATCAACAAGTTCATCAGAATCTTCGTCTGATGAAGAAACATCAGATGATGAGGAAGAAGAGACGACTTCTAGCGAAGGTTCTGGAGAGTTCTACGAATGTGATAATGTCGACGGCAGAACGTCTACCGGATCCAATGATTCCGGTTTTGATTCTTCCGCTTCCACGTCGCCTGCGGGATTCAACTGGGTTAGAAAAGGTACAGCACAATAATCATTAACTAATAAGTTACTCTTTTGATATGTAAATAGAAATGTCACTTTAAAAGCATGTTAGCATTGCATGGCTTTCAATAACCCTGGTAAATATTCATTAAAACTTCATTCGCAGAGAAATTGAATTTATTTGTTATAGACTGCGATTATAACTGCCATAGAAAGTGTGAGAAATTGACAGCAAACTTATGCGGAGTGAACCAGAGGCTTTTGGTCGAAGCTCTTGCGACTCGCACCGCGTCTAAAAAAGGTGGGTATATCGGAGCCAAAAATCTACATATATAAGAGTAAATTACGAACATAATCCATGACCCGGTTTAAGTGATTACGTGTCTCAGATAGATCTATGTTTTGATGTAATAATTATAGACATTGCATCGAACAAGACGAGAAGAGCATCTAATAGCACGCCTTATAACAACCAATGTCGTCTTATAGAAATTGTGATAACGTGTCCTGCATATATCAAAAAATTCCGACCATTTCTCCTGTTTTTTATCTCGAAGATTAGAGACGCTGGCTAGTGAATTGATTATGTATTTTTTATGTTTTAAAAAGCATAAAGATGTGATATCTTTTTTTTTTTAAGAATAACTGTTAGTTACTATAGATAGATAGTAAACGTTTTGTTTTTCGAATTTGTTTTTATGACGACTACAAGTTTCGGTGGGCGTGAGATGGGATCGCAATGTCTGCGGCTGGATGGAAGCCAATCATTCTCTTACCTGTAATTAATAACGCGACGGTACTGATAAAATAATTTGAAATGGCAATAAAGTAACAAATTAATATTCTACAAAGCCACTAGAAGCTCGCACAAGAACAAAATCTTTATGTTCTTCATCTGTAGTAATGCTATGAAAAGGAAAGATTTGGATTTTTGTTTTTATTGAAATAATTCAAAAACTACTGGGAGAATCTCAAAAATTCTTTTACTAATGAAAATCTACGTAATCGCTGAGTAACAGAGGCCATGTTTTATTTTTATTTTTTTAATTCCACGCGGACAAAGTCGCGAACAGTTATGGTTAATAAAAAAATAAAAAAATATACAGACGAATTGAGTACGTCCTTCTTTTGGGAAGTCGGTCAAAAACATATAGTAAACAATCTCATAGTAGCTCATAGTTAAAATTGATCAACATAATCGGTCATGTATTTTTCTTTTGATAACGTCTAGCTAATTGATTTGCTAGTCCGACCCTTGTGACTAACCGATTGATACTAAGATTATAAACAGCGATTGATTTGGCTGCACATCAAACGTTAAAGATTTTTATAGCCCAGAACTCATTATAACGATCCCTTGGGCGTTATCTTAACGGTCATATTGCGGCATACCTATTTGTTTTCTAAAGTTGATAATAAACAATATGAATCAATTTCTAATTTAAAAAGTATAACAGGTAGAGACATGATATCACTTAGATGTTCTTAGGTGATCTATGCAAATACATTTTTCAAGTTTTTTATATATGAAAGTCGTACGCAGCGTAATAATAATTTAGCATCAAATAGCAATAACAATCTGTTTGTTGCGGCACCATTTTGTACAAAAATATTCCTGCATTATTTTATTTCTTGAGTGTGACGCGTGCTTCAATAGACATATGTACAGGTGGAGAGTGCCCCAGCACGTCAGGCAATGCGACGCAACCCCTAGGGTCTGATATCTTAGAACGAGAGCTCGGTGAGATGTACAAACGTACTCAGTACCTGTGTGTGTATTGTTTTGCTTCCTTTTGATGTTATTTTTGGATACCTGAGTGACATTTGTCGTTTGTTTGTTACCTTCATTAACCACAGATAAAGACAACAATCACACTAATTTAATGTTTCATTTGTTTCTGTTTAATGCTTTACTCGTTTCATTTCATAATATGAAACAAAAAGATCGTGATAATTATAAGGTGCAAGATATTTCTGTTTTAAACTATCCAATAAATTTTATTCTAAGTAGAGCACTGGTAGTTTACGATATTCTTGTATCGATACAATACGCAAAAATCGAATTATATTCTGGAGATGAATATTTATAATGTTGAAAGCTCTTTATGATTTTTTCTAACACTGTTGACCTTCTATTGTGAATTCCGCATTCCTTGTCACATGTTATCATTCTTGAAGTAAATAATTTTGCAAATGTCGTGATAGCAGTTAAATCTTAATAAATTTAGTATTAATTGTTCGCTATTTTGGACCAGAGGTTTGTGTTTTTAAGCATTAAACCTAATATAAATTTTAATTAATCCGTGATAATCATAATTTTTTAATTATTGTTCCTGAATTAGCTGCAAAAAAAATAATGTTTATTTTTATTATATCTGATTTTACATGTGTAATTTATAACTCTACAAATGTTATTGTTTATTATTAAATATATTGCAGATGGTTAATATTTCACTGCCTACGCACTACGCATGCAGCGTGGTGTTTTTCATAACTCAAACGGTATTTGGTCTTTCTCTTCGTTTTCTCTGCTAAATATTTTGACATACATCAATTTTATTATCTAACAAGTGTAGTAAATATTTATTGTTAATTGCAAGAAGCGTGTTGCGTTTTCAAGTAATGTTTAAGGAAAAGTGAAATTGGTTTTATGGTACTTATATATCATTATATATTTTATATATTCTTATAGACTTTCTGAGAAGTCCATTTGCATGAAAACAATTGAAGGTGTTTTGATACGAAGAAACTCTGGCAAATTTAGGAGCAGCGCCAAAAAAATGACGCACTTTCCTATTGTGAAAGAATGTATCGATTTGTATTAGAAAAACTTTTATCTGTGTGTCTATTATTAACTCTGGACAAAAAACACTGCTGAGCGCTACTAATCTTAGAATATATTTTTTTACTATTAATAAAGAATTGCTTAATGTAGGAAATTAACAGGTAATATTAAAATTTTATGGCCATTTTCATCAAGCGGACCCTAAAGTATTCTTAGACATTTCTCTTATTGTCTCCCTAAATATAAAGTGAAACTGGTGTCCCTAAATAAAAAGTAAAAATTACACTTAAACTGGCGAACGCGAAATTTTTCGCTAGAGGCTCCCTAAATGCTGCTTATTTTTAAGACATGGTTGATGAAAATGGCCATTAGGAGATTAGTAAATAACTAAATCTTTTAGCACTTAAAAACTGCTGTAGTTTTTACAATTTAAAAAGAACGTAGCGGAGGAAAGTAAAGCTTTTGAATATTGAAATATCTGTAACACTACACATTTGTAAACACGAATGCATTTCAAAGAGTAATGTAATGGCTGAATATAAAAATGTAAACAGAAGTTATGTCATAAATGTATGGAATCCCACGCAACACGACTAATGCATTTAGCAAAGTGAGGTTTCGTGAGGTTTTGTGAGGTCATTCCGAGTGCAGATCTAAGACAGACGTGGGAATAAATTCACCGAACTGGAACAAATGTTTATCGCTTTCAGTTCTAAGAGTACTAGATTTGTTTTATGTGCTTACATAGAACAGGTAAATCATTAATTGCTATAGGATTTACGAGAATTTAATCTGTATTACATATTAAGGAATATTATAGCTTACAACAAATATTTACTAATCGGAAGGGATGAATCGCATGTAACGAGAAGGACGTTAGTTATGAATGTGGAGGGGTACACCGGTAGAAGTAGACATAGAAAGAGACGGATTGCGTGAAAAGAGACATGATCAAGAAGCGAGTGATGACTGAGATGACGGATGATAGTTATTTGGAGGACGAAAACCCAGTGCGCCGACCCTACGGGATTAGGATGAGGCAGGGGAGATGATGAACAAATATTTACTAATGTTATGTATATGTCTCTTATTGAAGTAATTTATGTTGATTTAGTTGTTATTTTTATTGCTTTAAGTATGTCTGTGCTCTCATGGCCACAGAGAATAATAAAGTTTGTAGTTGATAGTTACATAAAAGAGAAATGGTGAGTGTGCGAAGAGTTATTTTGTCGTAAAAATCTTTTTATAGCTTAGTTTAATAATATCATACACTCAAATAAAATCAAAATGGTTGTGTTAGTGCAAAATCATAACACACGCGTAATAAATACTTTTAAATCACATCCAATCTAATCATTAATAATAACAAAACATACGTGAATATTCATTCGATTTATTCCTAAATATTATTTAAAAATTCACAACAGTTGTTTCTGATGTTTTAGTTAATAAATTGCATAAAATGTGAATTGTCAAGGTTCAATTTATCCGCGACGACCTTGATATTGGTCTGTCTGAGCTGAATATTTTTAGAAGCACTCCTCAATATGTTCTAGATGAAAGAAATGTATCGTTTACGACACTTAAAATAAAGAAATAACAAGCACATTTTACACCGTATATGGAAATATCTCATACATCGTACTAATAATATAAATGCGAAAGTTTTGATGGATGGATGTTTGTTAGAGTTACCCTAAACGGCTGAACGAATCACGATGAAATTTGGCATAGATATAGAGGATAGTCTGGAAAAACACATAGGCTACCTACTTTTCTTTTTTTAATTCCATGTGAACGAAGTCCCGGGCGAAAGCTAATATTTTATACTTTGACATCCTATTCAGATTTTTTAAAACAATTGAAGAGATTTAATTATGTGAACAAAAGTTATATGACTTTCACTGTTCAAAATTTATATGCGAACACATGACTGCGGGCGCAGTGGTTTTTCCAGAAACGCAAAATTAAATACACCACAACGAAATTAAACTTTTACGATCTAAAAAAACTCTAGGTACCGCACGTGCAATCGATAGCCAGTATAATGGATGTTGGCAATGTTTTATCTCCTTCAAGAATACGCGAATGGCGAATTTAATGGGAAATCTAGAGTCACGGATTCGTACCGACAAACAAATACGCATCGTTTAAACGCACCGCAAGATATCAAAGCTAAGATTACAAAAAATACCTTTTATGACTATTGGTTTCAAATACAATCTTACTTCTTACTAAGAAAGTTTAGATGGTTGGATAGACGGATATATGGACGGATGGATGTTTGCTAGAGTTTGTAGCCTACCGCTGAATAGATTTTGATGAAATCAGGTATAGATTTAGATGGTAGTCTGGAAGAACACATAGGCTACTCATTTTTGTTTTTTTTTTTTAATTCCACGCGTACGGAGTCGCGGGCGAAAGCTGGTTGTTATTAATTCCTGTCTTTGTAAAATTTCTTAAACTTCAAGAAATTAGCGATCGATGTTGAAGACTAACGTTTATTATTATTGAATCGATGTAATGTGTACGAAATTGAACTTTTGCACCTTATGAATATCAATGAGACTTCACATGCTTTTATTATTTCATTTAATATTCATTTTACTTTATTTATATTTATTTCTACTCAATTACACTACATGAAACATAAACACTTTTAGGTATTATAAGCAATGCTTCAATAATTACATATTTTATGCTTATAATTTAAAGCTAGGACTTACTAAACAAATATTTTTTCTCTGTAAGCCAAAGACAGGGTATTAACGTATTCAGACGAAAGGAACATTTGCAAAAGTTATGCTATTTTGCCACATATAACCAAAAATGTTTTCCACATTTACACAATACAAAGAATATTGCATAAAATAGCAGTAATTGTGATATTTGTTTATTTTTTCAGAACAATCAACCGCATACGGGCTGTTCAGAAAGACTGGCCGGTTCACGCCTCCCGCTCGCACTATTCCTCGCTTTAGAAAGTACGTTATTGAAGACTTCCAGTTTATTAAAGTGCTGGGAAAAGGCAGTTTTGGCAAGGTAAGAATATTTATTACGCCTCCATTTTTTGGTTCAATTTTATATCATAAAACATAACCACATATCTTCTAAGAATACTACAAAGAGCGTAATTTTGTTTACTTGTAACAAATTACAATAGTCTTATGATATCTTTATGTTGTAAACAAACATATAAAGCCCCAGATTCAATTAATTTGTAACGTAGAAACGACTCGTAACTTTACTCTTGTATAAATAAGCTTTTACACTTTTCACTTGTGAGATATTTTAGACACCACTTTAATATGTATTTTTAAATGCACATATATAAATAGTCGGTTCGGTAAATGCCGATAAGTGGTGCCAGTTATAGACCCCACTCCGGTTGGCATCGACTCCTATGTCGAACTGGGTCACTGGGAACTACAACCAATGCTGTCGGAAGAAACTGCAATGACCCAATAATGTCGCGTAAAAATGTCTCAAGAGACGATGTCATGTTCAATTTTCCTGTTTTTAATTTTATTTTGCTCTACATATATTTTCAATTTTTATCTTTGTCACTGTAACTTTTTTTTACAATTTAATTTGTCTTTACTATTTCAAAGTAAATTTGTTTTAATAGTTTGAATAAATGGAAGAGTTGAAATCCAACAGTATAATTCTTTATATTTTATTTAAAGAACGAATCATTGCCGATGAAAAGCTTCCGTTCGTAAAATCTGCTTTTATATAACCGATCAAGCGTATGACGTAACAAGACACTGTAAAATAAGATTGCATTTATCTTGTGGAAGTTTCTAGTTCCTTTTACGTCATATCTTTGTAATCGATGCTTTCAGTTCCCTCGACAATTAAATTCTAAAAATTTATGTGAACACGTCTTTCTAAAAATAAATACGCAAAAAATGAAACAAGGGAATTTGCCAAGAAAAAACTGGCCTTCGGCATTCGAAGAGACTACACGTTGAAGATGCTCGGATTTGTGGGGAGATGAGAGGTGTTCCGCTGAGAGACGCGTCTATTATATTCGGTCGCGACAAACACGATTTAAAAACACACGCCGAGCCAACATATTATATTCATATAAATAAACATTTAAAAAGACAACAAATATTTAGTTCACAAAATTCTACAGTACAGTCCACGGTGTCTGCAGAGATAGCTCCATCTTTTATTGAAGTGTCATAAGTTTTATCTGTGGAAATTTCCATCGGGAAAAAGAAAACTGAGCTCATCTATACGATAGTTATAAACATCGTGAAAATTCTTCTAAACTGATGTGAGAACCTTTGATACATTTAAAACTATATTGCTCGAAGTAATTTTTGGGATAAAGTTATGAAGATCCGATTTATAGAAATACGACGATAGTCCAATGTACATTAACATTTTAATTAATAATTGTATCACTGTTTCTTTTGAAATATGCTTTAATTTGCAACATCTCTAAAATTTTAAGAAGTGTCAAAAACAAAACTACTCAAATGTATCTGTTGTTTTGAAAGAAAGCAATTACTTCTTCATAGAAACATCATCTAAATCTGTGTCGTCTTCAGAAATAGATAATACCTGTAGACCATAGAGAATAGACAATAAGTAGGTCACTGGAAAACAACCTACTACTTTTCGTTATTTATTTGTAGCCTACTTTAACGTGAAAAAGCGTGTTAGATGTCGTTTTGATGAGTTGGTGGAAAAAAAATCATCTGTGCTCAAAAATTAATATTTATAAAAACTTATGCGAATTATAAAAGAAGAGTTACATGTTAAATGTTAAATAGGTACTCTATATATACACCAATTGTATTCATTTACTTGTCTAGACGCCGTGCAGCGCCATTTCTTTTAAAATGTAATCAAATGTACACGAGTCATTTAAAAATGAAGAGGAAATTAAATAAATTAGTGAATTTACGAGAGTCGCTAATGCGCCGTGACGAGTGATATATCATTAAATCTGGCGTATTCGCTTCCGAGACTTGAGAGAAATGTCAAATCATCTATTTATACCGCGTCCAGAGTACGTTGAACTTCCAAGGCACGCAGTTTATATTGTAACTGTACGGATTAGCAATCTGATTTAGAAATTCACAGTCTACTCACATCCCACGCGGGCTCGGATTAACCTAAGATAGGGAGAATAGGTCTAGTCAATTAAACTTACTGCGGATTGAATGATACATCTTTCATTTTTATAGATATGCAAGTTGTGTTGTAATCTCAGTATTCGATATTAAAAGATCGTTACCCCAAAACTTAGTAATATTTGGTTATAAAAAAAAATAATACACTTAGACCATGAATGTAATAGTAGCCTTAGAATATTGTAACAGCTTTGAGACATAACTAAATTGAGGATACAGGAATTAAGTTTATGTCCCAGATTTCGTGAGAGGATTCGTCAGAGTTTTATTTATTTTATTTAATAACGACAATAAAGACAACATTTCTGTTTGTTATTGATAACGTCAGAAAGTATTATTATTTTAAATTCATGCTGTTTTAAAGATGAAAAACGATATAACGCGAACTTGATTGTTCTGAAGTATATTTTTAGATTCAGTAATATGTAGGTATATTTTTAAAATAGGAAACAAAAATATCTTTGCGTATTTTCATGCAGACGTATTTTTTCAAGTGATTTATTTGTGATCGACCCCGCTGCGAATCACATGACTTTCGAAATTATGTAGTTTGGCCGCTAGACATTATTTGTAATGCCGGTATTGACTCTTTGATAGATGCACTTGTTGATTTAAATCAACTTTTACACTTCGTAGTTTACAATGAGTGTACACTTACACCAACGCCATCTGCGAGTGATTGAGAACTATCACTCTGAAAACTGACTTCCAGTCACGTTAAATTCGTTTACCGTGGCATTCCGCTGCAAAAATAGTAGGAAAACAAATGACAATCTGTTTTATTTTCAAAATTATGACATTGAGTGACTGCAGAAATGTTTTATCACCAAGAAATTAAGATCAAACGATTAAGATAAAATACATATTGTTTAAACGGTAGTTAAATTCGTTACGTAGTATCTATTATACTTTCTCATTCGTGATATGAAAAAGAACTTGAAAATAATGATAAAAAAACTGTCAAAATGTTCCATGTAGAAACCATTAAAACACGGGCGTTTGGCAATTTCTTTGTAAGTCTGTTCAAGTGTCTGTTGGCAGACGTAGTGAGGTGATGCGTGTTGTAGCTGATGGCATTAGTCGATGGCAGATTGCCCGCTTCGGGTCACCTGCGCCCGTCTCACTCCCGGCCGTTGCATCTCATATTCTATTCCCGCAGCCCGCAGCCCGCAGCCCACATCACTATACTCCGATACTAAACACGTGTGTTCAAACCCGTCACTAATTACAATTATAAATATGTTGCAATATTTATATTTAATAATAAATGCATTAAACTGATTTACATTGAATTTTATCAGTGGAAAAATCTGGTGCAAGAAGACTTTACAGAAACATGCACATAAAGTTCACATTAGTTTTTAAATTTGAAAAGGCAGTCAAAGGCTACGTAGTCACATATATACCTTAATCCTACGAAACCGTTATAACATAGTAAAGAACATTACTTTCCAGACGGACAAAATAACGAGTTTGACTTTACAGTTATTACTCAACAAGATAAGGAAACAACATTCCTGTAAAAGAACAGGAACCTTTGTTCTTAAATAACGATTTTAAAAAGTAATGTTTTCCCGAAACTGTTGAAATAAGGTTAACATTTATTGTCTGCACAACCCGGCATTACGATGCTAAGTGTATGTTATAACGACTTGAGTTCCGCGTTTAAGAGTCAACAAAACAGAAAGAATTAGGACAAAAATTCACGCTCGAATAAGACGTGAGGTAAACAACATAATTTCTGAAATATCACTTGTAAAAGTGTTCACCAGAAAAACATTTAGCTAGTGATACTTCATACTTTCAATATAGCAAATGTAATAAAACAATATAACAAACCGCGGCCAGCGTCGTTGACTTAGAATAGGTTTTGAGCCTCTTAGCGGGGGCGTATAGTAAGCTGATGATGACATTAAAATAAACATGCGTTTAAAAATAGAATCATTACTTTGTTAAAAATGAATATTTTCAATCTTCCTCTTGTAAACGTTTCAAATCAATCAGGTCAATTTTTACGGTTCATGTATTACGTCATAGCACTCCTGATTTATAACAGCCATTTGATTTATTCAATCTCATTGGATTTGAATACATGAGTGTTACATGACAAGAATAAAAGCCGGAGATGATCTTCCTGGTTACGCTGGCCCACTTAGCGTTGACGCCGGGCCAAGAAAATTGCAAGAATGTTACCTTTTGATAACACAAGTCAGTTAACTTATAAAAATGAATATGGGATTCTGTGGGTTCAAAACATTTTTAGAAAAAAATATTAACAAAATCTGTTATTGCGAAATAGAATAAACATTTTATCAGGACGACACAATTTCCATAAACACATCTGTAACTCAATTTCATCCCAAAATCTGGCTAACTCCCAGTGCGGGAACGTAAATAGCTTTATATTATTTATTATAATCGAATAGTACATCATGTAACATGCGTTTCAAGTCATTATATTTCATTAATAACATAAATTGTTTACACCATCTGATTTGTTCATTACTTGAAATTAATCCAATAGTTGAACAAGAACAAGTACGAATTATCACGAGTTACCATACATATCATAAACAATTTATATGCTTTTATTTTATCACTTTCGTTATAACCAATTTTGATTCGTGTTGAAATGTTTTATTTCTATAAAACTTATCTCTTTGTCTTTTCTTCTGTCTATATTAATTTCTTTTCTTTTTTTTCATTTGTGGTCAGGCAAGTTGTAGGTTATTGACCAGTGAAAGTACACTAGAAATGTATCAAAATATTTTATCTTTACAGGTGTTACTTGCAGAGTTGAGAGATACAGAGTATTACTACGCCGTAAAGTGTTTGAAGAAAGACGTTGTACTAGAAGACGATGATGTGGAATGCACACTGATAGAACGAAAGGTCCTTGCGCTGGGAACCAACCATCCATACTTATGTCACCTCTTTGCTACTTTCCAAACTGATGTAAGTATGCCATACCAAACATGGCTCGCAGAGGAATAAAAAGCTGATGGGAAAAGGACGCGATTTGTAATCTGTTCTCACCAATATTTTCAACCATAAGGAATTAGGGTGCTGCAAGAAAAGAACGTACGTCAAATACTGGCGACTGCAGTAATTTTGCTTGTACAAATTATCGAAGTATCCTAAAAGAAATTCCATAATAATTATTATGGCACAAATTATTTTATATCATACGTCTAACTACCTGGTGAAAATAAAAAAAAATACCTTGTTATATTACAGTCTCATTTGTTCTTCGTGATGGAGTACCTAAACGGTGGCGATCTGATGTTCCACATCCAGCAAAGCGGCCGCTTCCCGGAGCTCCGCGCTAGGTTCTACGCCGCAGAGATCGTCTCTGGGCTCAAGTTCTTGCACAAACGCGGTATTATTTACAGGTAATTTATAAGTTTTTATACAAATAAAAAAAAATAATAGTAAAATATAATAAAATTTTATGTTTGTGTTATATAGAGACTTGAAGCTGGACAATATTTTGCTGGACTATGAAGGGCACGTGCGAATCGCGGACTTCGGCATGTGCAAACTGCAGATATATCTAGACAAGACCGCAGACACATTCTGCGGCACACCCGATTATATGGCCCCTGAGGTAAGCTTGCGTTTTAAACCATCTTATTTCTAAACACTTCTAGGTCTTTTGATCAGGTATTATATCGAAGTAAATTGACAATGTGATTTCCTTTTGCAGATAATAAAAGGATTGAAGTATAACCAGACAGTGGACTGGTGGTCATTCGGCGTGCTGCTATACGAGATGCTGATCGGCCAGAGTCCGTTCAGCGGCTGCGACGAGGACGAGCTCTTCTGGTCTATCTGCAACGAGATGCCCTCCTACCCGCGCTTCCTCTCCCAAGAGGCGCTTAGCATACTAACAAGGGTGAGAAGACAATTTTAAAGGACTATTTATACTAAGGAGCACTCAACTCCACAATCAAATACATTTGAAGGAATTGGGCCTGTTGTTAAAAACCTAGTGTTCGTTATGTTCAGTTGCTGGACAAGGATGCGCGGACACGGTTGGGCGGCGCCGAGTGCATGCACGGCGACGTGCGCGACCAGGACTTCTTCCACGGCCTCGCCTGGGACCGCCTCGAGCGCCGGGAGCTCGAGGCGCCGTTCAAGCCACGAGTGGTATGTCCCTTCTTAGAAGAATTTTAAACATTATTTTCACGCAATATTTTTACGAGAAAAGGCAACGCGACAGGTTTAGTATACTTTTCTAGAGATAAGATCGTTCAAAATCTAAACTATATTTCAGAGACATCCATTGGACACACAATACTTCGACAGAACATTCACCGGTGAGCGACCGCGGCTGACCGCGGTGGAACCTCAAGTTCTACGCTCCATGGACCAGGAACCGTTCAGGGGATTCTCTTACACGAACCCGAATGCGACGGATCGATAAAAATAAAATAAACATATCATGGTTACGATGGAATCGAGAAAATGTGGAACAATCTGTACTGGTGTAAACCAAAGCATAGACAAGAATCAATGTTTGAAGTACAGAAAAGGGTCCCGTTTTTGTAGACATCGATATTGCGGTTTCAGCAAGTGAACACGAGATAGTGAATGAACACTTTTGTGAATTTAAAACGAGGCACCTGTCCCTTGTTTTAAAGTCGGTCGATACAGAATCTCAGCTGACCGGTTCTTTAGTTGCCTATTTATGTACTACATTTATTATTGTGTCTGGTACACAAACGTAGATACATGCTTTTTAGGTTATGATTTTTTTATTGTATCAGTATAAGAGTTATCTATCACCTAGTCGAAAAGTAAATAATCAATAATGTATGTATATAAATAATAAAAATTGTATGCGGTCCTTACTAGTCAATCTCACAAAATATAAATCATTTTTTATTTTGTAGGTCAGTCATTATTTTAGCGGCTGGGCCGAAATTATGCATCTTTATTGTAATTATGTCATTTGTTAATTTATAGCACTGTCATGATTAGATAAGTAGTATTCAGTGACTTCTTTATAAAGAAAAAATATGAGAGTTTATTAGAAAATATCAAAATCAATTCAAACGTCTAATTATTTCAGATATTAAATTCGAGATGCAATATACTATAAATAGTATTTCGATTTTTAATAAAAATATAAAAGCTATAGCTGTTTTTTCATTATTTTAATACCCTAGACAAAAAAAAGATCAATTAAAAATAACTAAAGGCAATAGGATATTATGATTTCTATTAATAAAATAAACGGATTTATAGGACTTAAAAAGAAATAAAACACAATTTTCAAAAATAAATTAAAAACTTTTATTCTTAAACGTCTTGAACAAAATAGGCGTAAAAATTCCTTTTTGGGTTTTAAAATCACTTTTTTTCTTAATCAATAATAATAAAAAAATGCAATTATATGGCAAGTCGTAACGATTTCAACGACAAATATCACTTTCATTCTGTTTATAAATTCTTGCAAATAAAAATACTGGAGTAAATCAACTTTTTTTTAGTTGTGAGTAACTACAACTTTTATTAATTCGTTTTTCGTTGCTATGAACAAATAATGAGATTCATTTGCTTCATAAACCTCTATCGCCTTGACAGCGGCATCCACAAGATTACACTTAACAATATCCTTGATATTAAATGTAAAAAGTGGCTCGTTTGTTTGCAACATTCTCTTTGGTAAATAGCCTCGGACCTGAAGGACATAAAATAAAATGAATCAAAAAAATTTTCAGTAAAAACTCAGCTAATTCGCTCTTCTTATAGCTGGACCCTACTGTAAATTACGAAAGACTAAACCCTCGATATGTTCAGAATTAATTTAATATATCAAATTATCAATTAGTACAACTATTGCTTGCGACTTCGCCCGCGTGTAAGTAAAAAAGATAACAAAGATATAGCCTATGTTAGAAATAACATAGCTTTTTAATGGTATCAGAATTTTTGAAATTGGTCCAGTACTTTTTGGATTATTGCAATAAATTCAAAAACCCAAAAATACATCCTCTTTATAATATTAGTATAGATTACTAAAAAAACTTTAGTAAAATGTGGCCTTTTGAGTTTTTATCAGCTTTTATTAGCTCAGGAAAATAAAACGAACAGTCCCCGTCAAAATTCACTTAACACTTAACAGTTATAGTTTTATGGCATTTTTACATCTGAAACGCACCTCCCCATCTTCATATCCTAAAAACAGTAAGTCACTGTGCGGTGTAGCACAACTTAGTCCAGAACATTCCACAACTATCTCCTCCGTGTCTGTAATTTTTGTCGCTTTCATTGATTTCGATCCATCCTCACTGCGAACTGGCATTTAAGAAATTTAATTAAAATATAAAACATAAAACAAAAAAATAAATTCATTAGCTGAAGCTAATTAAGCTAAACTAACTACGGTAATAGAAACATGTTTTGTGTATTTGCATGTGTTGTGTTTCTAATATAAAAAGAAATAGAAAATTAAACTCAAATTCAACTCATAAAAATTCAACTACTTTTTAATTGGCAACAAACTAGATACTGTATCAAATTTTCATTTTTTTATCAATATTTTAAAATTCGAACAAAGTTGAACGTTAACTCCTTTTAATAAAATTGAAATTTAGAAATTGTACTTAACACTCACCACTATAAATAACACTGTGCTTTAGAAACAAACACATTACTGACGGATTATTATAAAAATGCGGTGAATCTATTTTGCCAATAATTGTAACCATGTAACAAGAGTCGGCTCGTATTATACTGCCATTACGTTTCAAAACGTAAACATCATCAAAATAAATATTAATGCTACAAATCGATCCATAAGGATCGTAGCTCCGCATTAATGTGTCATGCATTACATTATCTGTGCTAATTTTTATCAATATTAATGCATTTTTCACATCTATTGTAAAACAGCGATTCTCTATTAATCTGCAAAAGGACAGTGTAATTAAAATATAGTATGTTCTCATTTAATTGTAATACAATTTGTTCGAAAAGTACCTATACAAGGTGAATGTAATGCCACAAGAAAACTCAATCAACGAGAGTGTTCAATTTATGGAATTAAAACAAATTCATGGACTACCAGTGATACTCAGAAGCCAAAACATGGTCCACAAATTATTTTAAATTCATCGGACGATGAGCCTTTGGTCACTGTGCACTGAGTGGAGGTGGTGATGCTACGGAGGGTTGCCAGCTTGACGGCGACCAAATACCATTTATGAGCCTAATACAACAAAACTGTCGTACGAGAGTTGTGCAGCAGACCGAATAATTTGCATTGAGCAGAAAATGAACTAAAATAAACAATTGTTGACTTTAAATTTATAGTGGTCCCTGCGAGAATAATATAAAAGTGGTCATTGACCAAGAATAAGTTGAGCACCCCTGAGCTAAAGCGAGCAGACGATTTGTGAATGCGAGTTCATGGATGCAAATGTACCTGTGAGAATTTGTGCAAGTATATATAAGTGTAGGAGTGGGTAAAGTAATGTGTGTATATAATGCGTGCGTGCATGCACTTGAGTTGATGTTTGTTCACAAAAGTGTATAACAACAATAGACGTAGCGAGGCATTACATTTATTTAACAAAACCACTCACCACTATAAATGACACTAAACCGTAGAAACATGCACACAACTAATGGGTTATAAATAGGCGGGAAACTTATATTGCCCAGCGTTACACCTAAGAAATCCATACCCTTCAACTTTACAATTCTTCCTTCTCTATTTACAACATAAATTACATCATTAACAACATTTGCACTATGGATGGTGCCAAGGGTGTTGTAAAGTCTCAGTGTGGCTGTTTTTTTGAATTTCATTGGCTGATCAACTGGTATTACAGAACAACAGCATTTAACAACGCGGAATATTTTTCCCGAGTCAATAATGAAACAGTGATCATTATTTATTCTGCAAAATGACAAGAAAATAGAAGAAAAACCTTAATCTGCTGAAAAGAAATGTATGAAAAAGGAAATATAACAGTTTGCACCAGAATGTGGGACTCGGAAGTGCTGACTGTGTAGGAAACAATACTTACATGAAAGCACAACAATTAATAGAGAAATGTTTCTGTCGATGTCCGATATTTAGTGTCAAAATTCCATTGACCAGTTTTCCAGTTACACAATGAGTTTTTTGATAGTCTTGAACACCTGAAATAAAAAGACAAACACTGAAATCACAAAAATCATTGTCGTATTTCAATATTAATTAGTATAATTTAATTTAAGATTACTTTATAATAAATTAGTGATATAACATACTTACCATTTTCTTCCAAAGTTTTTACTAATGTATCAACTTTGTATTGTTTCATACCAGATTCTATGATGACAGTTATGTTATCTGTAATCAAATTTTAAAGAAACCTATTTTAAAAGTAATATTTGTACTTAAAGTAATATTTCACTGAACTAGCTGTTGAGTGGGGTTTCATGCACATGATATAAAAAAAGCTTTAGATTTTAGATTAGATCAGATAAGAAGTGACTCAGATAATGCCCATCTACGTCAGCTACCCTCCAGTTAAAGTCTGGTCGCAATCGGCCCAGTCGTTTTGGAGATTACCCAGTAAAACATGGCTTGCAGAGGGACAGACAGACAAAAAAGTTTTAAATGTGATTTTCATTACCAGCAAAGCAAATACATCATCTTCCCGAAATCTGGAATTTTTCTTTTGATATTACTAACAGACACTCTAATTTTATTACATGTATAGAATAGACCATAGTATAGTTGGGTTCTGTCAAGTTTTTGTTTTCTTTCATATGTACAGATTCAAATATATATTACATGAAATATCTTTTGCAAGGATATTACCTTCAAACACATGCATGTGTTTAAATTGATTCAATTCTAGAATTGTATCAAATTGAATATGAACATTCCCATTTATCCATAGCTGTTTATTAAAGTATAGGTCTCTCCAAGGAAGAAGAGACCTCTGTTTAAAAGCAATACCTTTATTGTATATTGCCAATTGTGCTAGGTCTGGCCATATTCCTTTAACCTAAAAAAAACTTTTAATTATATGTTGAACTTTATTTGTAATTACAAAATACAAAAATTTGAATTCAAATAAACAGCTTATTTACAATCTTCTTTAGAAAACACGCTGTATAAGCTGGGTGTAAAAAACTACCCAGATAGGTAGCATATATCAAACTTAAGAAGGTGTGTAATATAAATGTTTTAGGGCCTGTCCCACCAAATTGTAAATTGTCTGATAACAATCCAATGTGCAAAATATGTGATGGAAATATCGGATTTTGTTCCCTTATCTGACAGTAACGTGCTATCTAAACTTCTATCAGGCAGTGATGAGACAGGCACTTTATAACGTCAGTGTTAGTAAAACTTAAACCAGCTATTTGTACTATTAAACAGATAATAAATTATATAAAATAATTTTCTTAATAAAAACAAAGTAATTTATAACTACAGTATGAATAGTATTGTTGTATACCTACCCCTGCATGATAATCCACTAGATCTCTCCAAGACTTGCATACGGAGAAACAATTCACAAGAGATTTACTATCCAGGTATTTAAAAAGCATCAAGATTATGTCTGGTGAACATGTTGACCAATCCATTTTGGAAACAAGGCGTTTCAAGTGCTGATTTTGGTTTTTGTATATAGTACCACTACTCCATATTTCTACTTGTAAGCTTTTTACAACGTAAGTATATAATAATACGTACTTTAGTATGTCTTTAAATATAAACAGAATGTTTATTAATGATTTTCCACTTCAAAAATATTGTTGCTTTACGTACGTGTGTACTTGTACTTCTATTTACCATAATTTTGTGTACTTTTACATAAATTTGCGCCTATTATCATAATAAAATTGTTGTTCGAACGACACAATACGTCAAATGTCACCTTATCAGCTTATCAAAAACTTGCCATTTTTTAAAACTGAAGAGAGCTTTGGAAGAGAGAATTTTTTTCTTTTGCACTACTATTTGTCTATAGTCTGCATTTCGGGTTTGTTAAACGTCAATGTCAAACATTATAGTTTCATTTTGTGGTTCGAATTGGAGGTTATGTTTTGGTTTCAAAGTTATTAATATCAATAAATGAATTTTAACGTAGATTATCAATAGAAGATTAACAAAAGAAGTATCGCATTAGAATTGAAATAAACTAAACTAAGCTTAGCGTCGAAACTTCTAAAAATTACCCAATATCCACATCATTGGAACCAGGATTTCTATCTCGCAACTATGATTAATAACAATAGCGTAAAATTATAAATATACCAACTTACTGTCGTTCGTTTATCATATTGTTAGGTTAACTATTAGCATCGTATATAAGATTTCTTCAAAATGGTAAGTACATTCCTCCTATCTTGTTCATTTTGTTTTGGTTAATCACTAAATCATGGAAAACCGCATTTGTGAAGTCGTGGCTGTAGTTTTTTATAAATTGGCGTATCAACATGAAACAATAATTGAGACAGTTAATTTATACCTTTTGTTAAATATCAATAGATGCCAAGTTTCATATAAATCATGTTTATCTTTATTTTTCAGGCTAGAAATGCAGAAAAGGCAATGTAAGTGTTAACATAATGTGCTTTCACATTACACAGAATTAAAAATAATCATAATATTTTCATGTAATTTTTATAAGCTCGTAAACATAGGATTGTATCCCCTTGTATTTAGCAAGAATGTATATATTTTTATATCTTTAACATGATCATAAATATATATTTTCAACAAGGTTGCATCTGCATGGAATTAAAAACCTAAACAAGTCAGTGGCCTGTTTTTTTCTGGAATATTGTCTACCTCTATGCCAATTTTGTCAAGATCTATTCAGCTATTTAAGCTGGAAACTAACAAACACCCATCTAATATCATTAATAGAAGTAAGATTGAAGTTAGGCTGATGGCTGAAGAATATTCTATCTGGATATATCTGGATAATAATAGTGTTCAACCATATTTTTTAAACATTGTATTATTGTATGATTATCCAGGACCACATTGGCGCGATGGCGTGCGGCGCAAGTGCAGGAAGCCGGCGGACAGCGCGAGCGCCGGCCATACCTCGCCTCAGAGTGTAATGATCTACCACAAGCTGAGAAATGGCGGCTACAGATTGTCAGGGAGATTGCCAAGAAAGTAGCACAGATACAAAATGGTGAGCATTGGCTAATTATACACATGTGAATTTATCTAAATCCCTTTGCAAACTAAATTTAATACACTGTAACCTTTCTACATAAAACTGATATTTAATTATTATTTAATCTATACAATAAAAAAAATGAAGTGTCTCAATGTACTGATGAAAAAAGCATTGTAAAATAAAGTTCAAATTGTTCCATGTAAAAATCCACTTGGTCATGATGTGTCCTTAACTTATTTTGGTGTTTAACAATGTGAAATTATTAGTAAATATTTGGATATAAAAATTCGACAATCAATTAAAAAAATGGCAGATGAAAATACGAATGTGGATATAGTGGAACCTTCTAATGTGCAACTGTCAAGACAACCCAGCCCAGGGTCTCAGAGAGAGGTGCCACCAACTATGGATACCTCGGAAACTATAGGAGCTGATGCTGAAGCTGATGTTCCTTTACCATCATCTCCACGCTCTGTTAAAAGTTACCAGTCACCAATTGCTATTGAAACTCAACGTTCTTCCCCGACACGTACCACTCCAAACGCTTCTTCACCACCAAGGAGTCGCGGTTCGATAGGAAAAACATCTGTTGGAAAAACTTCGTTGAACTTATCAATAAAAAGTGATAAAAACAAGGAATCTAAAATAGAATTGAAAAAATCAGTAAGTCCAAGCGCGAAAAGTTTCAGTTCCGGTAGAGGCAAAGAAGATATTTTACAAACGATAATCGATCTGGAGCCCCAAGGAAAAGACATCAGTGATCATGTAGAGGAATTGACTGAATCCATCAAACAACTCACAAAAAATATCGAACAACCCAACTCAACTCATTTAAATAAAAACATCGATAAAATAGCAACAATGAGCAAATTATTAACAAACGAAGCTAATGCATTACGGGAATCTATAAAAAGTTTATCAGATGATTTAAGTCGAACCAAAAAAGAATTTCTCGCAGTACAAGACGAGGATGTAAATTTTCCATATCATCTATTTCTAATCGAATTAATAATAAACAAAATACATATGAAATGCGAATGTTTCGAGTTCGATTTTAACAATTTAGTTATAACAGCTAATTTCTTGGGAAAACAACCAATAGTTTTATACGATTCCTCGTATGGGAAAGTGGATGATTTTGCGCATCTGAATGTCGGTAAATCGGCCTTGTTCGCAATGACTTATGATAAAATATGCAATATCAAAGAGTTTGTAATAAAGCTGAAGATAGTAAAGCATCCGCCATGTTCCAATTGCGTTACCAAAGTTGGTGAAACTCGAGCTGACTATACAAAGGATTTTATTGCACTCCGCGAAGAACTGTGCAAGAAATGGGCGAGCGAACAGCCTACTGACAACATTATGTGCACTACTTCGACACCTATGAGCAAAAATATATTTTACGTTTGGTGTGGTGAAACTGAAAAGAGTGATTCTATAGGCGTAATTGAGATTTCAGCTCGTATGTCTTTCCTCGGAAAGGAGATTACAACGGCGTTTATAGCTTCGCCTAAACAACAAGGCACGTCAGTCCTGCAGAAAGATGATAATGGTATGACAATGTACTCTTGCCATAACGTCGAATTGGACGGACAAGGAAAGGTTCTACTGGATGAGGATTCTCTGACCAGAAAGGAGATCCCACGCAGCGCTCACACTGTGTACAGTAGGAGAGCGGACAGTCCTGTTTCACAGTTTTCAAGCGCATCCTCCAAACCATCAATGAAACATCATTATGGATATCGACATCAAGTAGGTAAGGTTTAATCACATCTTTATTTTAAGTTGCGCTCAAAATAAGTAATACGAAATAGTATGATTATATGAATATGTATTTCAGAAGGAATACCGAAGTATGACGAAATATTCACAAAGATGAATGCAAACGAATTAAAAATCAGAGTGCCTAAGACAACGAAAGTCGAGAGAATGGGAAAATACGACAAAATACAGGAAATATGCTCATGTGAAGATACTCCTTATAATACTGGGGAACAAATACAATTTGACCTGCCGAGAGATTTGTGTTATCCAGCCAACTCTAATAACTATTCTACGAATCTTAAATACACTTACGCCGGCAAAGACAGAAACTGCGATGCGAGAGATCGAAAGATAATAAATGTCACTCCATCCAATTGTCCTGTTCCTGTTAATATGGAGAAAATGGATCATCCGCAAAAGGATGTATTCATATTAAAAATAGGCAAGAAATTAGAAACAAAGGATAAAAAGACAGATCTTGAAATAGAATTGGTGACACCGAAAGCACCTTTTCCTGAAATTAATAACCACATCTCCCAGCAATGCAGCTCTAATGAAATAAAGAAACCTGATTCAGTTAATACGAAAAAAGATAAAAATAAGAAAAAGAAAGATAAACCGAAGTCTGGTAAAAAGAAAAAGAAATGATGTAACATTTCTCAACGAAAGAATAAAATTATTCCCTTTTTTCAATGTCTATTCCTTTCGTCTTTAATCTTTTATATCAACCGCCTAGACCTAGACGTATTAATATAACATTTTCCTCTGCCAGGTAAATTCCATGATTGTTGGTAGATCACCTAAATTTAAAACAATTTACATCGTTTTTTATTACAGCCGGTTTGGGTGAATTTAGGATACGGGACTTAAACGACGAGATAAACAAACTGATGAGAGAGAAGCGTCACTGGGAGGTTCAGATTAAATCTCTGGGCGGGCCGGACCACGCGCGTGTCGGTCCGCGCATGCTCGATCAGGACGGCAAGGAGGTGCCCGGCAACAGAGGATACAAGTACTTCGGAGCCGCTAAAGATCTACCAGGTAAAACAATTTTGATTTCATCCATAGTGTATTCAATTTAAGATTTCCTGACGATTTTTTTGTCGTAAATGACTAAATTACTACACTAAAGTGTGGATTATCTCTTAAATTATTATGTTAAAGTGTCTTTCACTATTTTTTAAAAAATGCTTATCGTATTTGCTAGTTACATAAAGAGAAAATATTTGTATATATTGAAATAACTCAAAAACTACTGGTCCGATATCAATTCTTTTACCATTAAAAAGCTACTTTATCGCTGAGTACATAGGCTATTTTTTAAATTCCTGCAGCTACTCTCAAATATGTTATTACAGGGGTGCGCGAGCTATTCGAGCAAGAGCCGCCCCCGCCGGCGCGGCGCACGCGAGCGGACTTGATGCGCGACGTGGACGCGGACTACTACGGCTACCGGGACGACGACGACGGCTTGCTGCTGCCGCTGGAGAAGGACGCTGAAAGACAAGGTCAGTGAAGCTGAAATTGGACTCTCTGACACGTACTGGTCAGAGAACAATTGTTTCATGGTCATGGTTCACCAGGTCATACAGTGCAATAGATGTTATTGACGCTTGTTCAAACAGTTGTGCTTTCAAGTTCATTTTATTTATTTATATTAAGTACCAACAAGATAAAATTATAACAAAACCAACAGGAAAAAATATAAAAAGTAACATTATTAGTTTGATCTGACCTTGAAATAAGCATTCTTTACGTTTTTGCTCTAAATACTAATAGAAAAAAATGTTTTTATAGCGATAGCACGAGCAGTGGAAGAATGGAAACGGAATAAAGAACAGAACAAAGAACAAGATTTACCAGAAGAGGAGAATATCTATCCAGAAGATGTAAGTATTAACATAACCTACAAATTGTCAATATCATGTATTTCAATCGCCCTTTTTTCTCTTAGCCTGATGACAAGAGGATAGAAGATGACGAGGAGATGACAGAGAAGCCTTCCGCCCCTACGCTGGTGGCGGTACCCTCACAGAAGGACATAGAAGAAGCGTTGCTGAGACGGAAGAAGCAGGAACTTCTAGAACGATACGGCTGTCTAGATGTTAAGATAGAAAATAGCTGATATATATTTAGATGTAATAAAGTAACAATTTTTTTAATTTAAAATTTGTGTTTTACTATACATTTATTTATTTGTTTAACCTATTATTTAGCATGTCCAAGTATTTATTATTTGATAAAAATAATAATAGTTAATATCGAAAAAGAAATTAATATATATTTCAGAATATAACATAGTATAAGTAGGTGGAATATACTTGTCTATCTTCATGGATTTTTTACATCAGATATAGGATAAATAAAAGATATATTAGTATGACATTATATATTTCTGAACAATTTCGTCATTCAAGATATTCACAAGCAAAATATACAGAAATTCGTAAATTCGCTGAATACAATTGCAAATATTTTCGCTTCCTATAACATTGTTACTTATAGAAGCGACTAAATAGTTCTATACGCGAACTCACTGGCTCATTTAAACACGTTTTTTAACTGACATTATATGCCTTAAGAGATTTAAAAACATATAATGCAATAACCCTTTCTACATTAAAACTATTTTCTTATACATAATCGAGACTTAAAAATAAAAGAAGTAATTAATGATGCTTGTATTCAGTGCTGTTTAAATAATCTAAAATAAAATAAGCTATTTTAATGTACTTTTAAAATGTTCTCTTATTAAAATATTAAAAACTTAGCACTGCAAACTATCTTAATACATTTTTTACTATTTATCATTCACACAGAGAAATAACAAGGAAATTAAATTTTCAACATTATTTAGACAAAAAGAAACACACCGTATCACGATAAAAGAATAGATAATTAGTTATTCAAAAAACAAAGAAATTATCAAGATATCGGAAATACATTAAAATGATTACAAGCCCAATATACATACAAAAAATACATAAAGAATCGAATTACTATATTTGAATTCAATAGGAATGAGAAATTTTAACGGCTGTAAACACAATTATTTTGTAGTTTTTTAAAATATTAATTTAAACACTCAAATGTTCCTAAAACCATAGACAAAATACAAATCAGCCAACAAAGTAAAAATAATTTCTCATTTCCATTAAATTGTTTAAAGTGAGTATCAGATTACTACAATGTTAGGAATGTACAAACTCAACGATTTTATTATGAGCTCTCGAACAGTAAATAATGACATTGTAAATAGCGCTTTTAATATTAATGAAGAAATCTTAAAATCTAAACTGTGGGGTCCAAAAAGAAACCTTTTGCTATCTCTTTTCTTCCATAGAGAACAGGAAAGCTGTATATTATCTGCTGAGGCGATCGACGGTTATTTGCATCAAGTTCCTACAAGTTATTGGATGGAATTGCAAATTATAATTAAAATAATGATTTATTAAATATTTCTTTAATAGCACATTGAATATCAACTCTACGGTATTTTATCAATATGAGATATCAGATATTATAAAATTAAGTACTTTTTCAGACTCCATTACTTTTTTTTATTAAAAGAAAATTGAAAATTCTACAAAAACTTTTAATTCTTTAACTAAAGCTTTTATTTAATTACACTTTTATCATTTTTTTCCTTTACTACCTTTTACTAAATTGGTTTAAAATACATGTGTAACAGATAACCTATTTCATAATGAAACTAACAGGATTTAAAACAATAATAATACATTTATCTGTAAAAAATAAAAAATAAACACCTTTCAGTAACTATTTGATGAAATACGTATTCAAATAAATCTATTCAAGTTATTAAAACAATTATAAATATAAAATGCACCAAATTTAATTACTTAGAAAGAGATATAGAATAAAAGACTAATGAATCTAGTATAAATATGCTGGAATGAAATATAGTGCAATCTATGATATTCAATAATTTTGCATAAATATATACAACGTGAATTATATGACATATTAATTTACATATCAGATTTAATATATCTACGCATAAACAGTGGTAGAGCCCGCTTTCACATCTTCGCACGAATGGGTCGGCTCGCCCGGTGTAATATCACGACCACACAGAAAACAGGCGTGAAGTGGTAGCAATTCCGCGTACAGTCTGATGAGTGTGGTGCCGGAGGCCTCATTTTAGTCCCTTTTTCCTTCCTACCCTTTTCTTAAAAAGGGTGGGAAGGAAAAGTGGATTTGACGGTGGAGGAGACGCATATGAAGGGGAAATGTCCTCTTTATATGCATATCCTCCTCCGTCAATTAAGGATAGGCATCTGCAATTGCGGTTATGGGCATCGGTCGCTTTCCATTTCGGTGGATTCAAGTAGCCGCGTGCTCGTTTGCCACCTTATATTGTATAAAAAACGCATTTACATTACTCAAACACAAAACGTAACATACTTGATTATTATTATATTTATGCACCAAGACAAGACAAGCTTGTGTCTTTGCCTAAAAATAACTTTAAAGAACATTGAGTGAAAGAGACAGACATAATAGAACGGGAGTTACGAAAGAGAAAGAGTTATACAGCAAATGTAATTAAAAATTAGGCTATTTATAATTTAATTCAAAATATTTTTTTTAATTACTCATATACGCTATTCATTGCATTGAATACATCTAGACATAAATGTTTGAAAGCAATGGTATAAAAACCTTCGTTGATAATGTTGCCAGAACAAAAAAACTATAAATACTTCTATATTGAGTACCGTCTATGTTGAATTAACATTTATGTTCTGTAAATTCGATTTAAATTTTACGCTATTCTAACAGCACATATAAAATACTTAAACTAACAGAGCAGTTGACAACCCTACTTAAACTAATAAAGCCGGTTGTACACCAACTGTAAGCATTAATAACAATTATGTATTTGCTGAGGGAAAGATTAAGATTGGAAGAGGTTTTGTTGTTTTGCGTCGTTCTCGAAGTCGCTCCATGCGTTGTTCAGTTCCATGAATATCATCTTCGCAATGTTCTCATTAGATGAGCCCATTTGCTGGAAAGACAGATATGTTTATAAAAAAATAGCTATTATATTTATTATAGATATTGGATAGACTAGATAGACTTGCTGTCACATTAAGAGTCCCTTTTTTTTCAGAGATTTTATATGAAAAATACATTTAAAATAATGTGTAAGCAGTCAAGTTAGTGTAAAATCCGAACTAAAACAAGCGATTTACAAAGCACCGTAGTGTGGTCAGATATCGGTGCGGATGACGTCAGTCATCTCATCGACGTCATCTATATAGCTGTCTCATGTATTCCCATACATTTGTCTCGCTCTAAAGCGTCTACCGAGTGTAGTTCGTACGATTTCGGCTAACTTCGTTTAAACGAAGGTACGCCGTTAAGGTTACCTTGTCTGGATGTACAGCGAGACAGGCCTTCCTGTAGTTGCGCTTGACGTCCGCGGCGGAGACCAGCTGCGCCATGTCGCAGCGCGCCCAGCGGCACTCCGCCCACACCACCGTGTGCAGCGAGCACAGCAGCGCGCGGATGTTCGCCTTCTTGCCCTCCGTCTGCACACAACAATTATTTACTTTAAGTGTTACTAGCTGTTGCTCGCGACTTCGACTGCGTGGAACTAAATAGCCTATGTTCCTCATTGGTAACAAAGCTTTTTAATGGTGATAGAATTTTTGAAACCGGTCTAGTAGTTTTGGAGTTACTTCAATACATACAAAACCCAAAACTGCATCAGTTTTTAATAAAAACTGTACTAGCATTTTATTGAGTAATTACATTAAACTGCAAGACAACAGTCTTAGAACATTTTTTTTAACCGAATTATTGGGAACTAGCCTTCGCCCGCGTGAAGTTACAAAATAAACAAAAGCGAGTAACCTATATGTCCTTCCAGACTAACTATGCCAAATTTCATCGAAATCAGCCGTTTAGGCTACAAACTCTTACAAACATCCATCCATCTAAACTTTCGCACTAATAATATTAGTAAGATTAAAAAAGATTACAAAAACGACACTTCGAACATGGAAGAAAAAATCATGAATTTTAAATATGAATAAAAGATATCCTATTAAGTTACAATTACAATAAACATTTTTACATTACCCATTCGTGTATCTTAAGTTTGTCGGGGTCCATTTCCTTGACCATTTCCTCTTTGCGCATTGCGTTGATGGTCTTGGGCCCCGCGTCCCGCTTGGTGGCGAAGTCGTACCCCTGGCTGCCGAGCAGCTCGCCGAATATGTCCGTCGACTTCTTCGATTTCTCCTCGGCGGGGGTCTTCGCTGTTTCGAAATGCGTCCGACTGGAATACGAAGCAGGTTTTAATACGTCTTTACAATAGTTTTTTTTAAGTACAGTCAGCTACATTAACATTTACAAATATAATATACTAGCTGTCGCAACATCGTCTGTATGTAATTAAAAAATAACAAAAATATAGCCTATGGTACTCGGTGATAACGTAGCTTTTTATTGAAGTAGTATTTTTTGAAATCGGCCAAGTAATTTTTGACTTATTTCATTACATACAAAAATACAAATCTTTTCTCTTTTATTAAGCTCTTGCTTAGTAAGAGTAAGAACTCGTCTATATGCTTCCTACTACTAATTCTTGTTATAGACAAATTCGTGCATGTGTATTTTAGAAATCGAAAGTCTATGCGAGTTTTTAAAGTTTTGTAAATGCATTCATATTTGTGCAGCGGACTGTACACACAGGCAAAAAAGCTGTTAAAGTACATAAACTGTTTAAATACCTATAATCCGGTTGATGTGCTGGAGACCTGGCTGGTGTGTGCGGCTGATGTGCGGGAGTGTGCGCAGGGGAACTACGAGGGGTCAGCAGGGGCGTGGTACCAGCCGGCCCCGGAGGTGCCATAGCCCCCGGAGGTGCCGCGGCTGTCGGAGGTGCCATGGCCCCTAGGGGTGCGGTTGCCCCTGGCGCCGCTCCTGGTGCCGATCCCGTGGAGCCAATAGATCCTGTCGACTGCGTGGAGTTGGCCGGCATGTTAGATCCGAGCAGACTGAAGTCAGCGAACGGATCCTTCCGTGTTGGTTGTGCTTGGTCTAATGGTACGCTTTGAGAACGACCTGGTAAAGAATAATCACAATTATTTATATATTACTTGTAATAGAATAAAACACACTTTGTTTTTGAAAGCAGGAAGCGATTTTATGTTCTTTCTGTCATATAACGAAATATTCGCAAACATGACGGATTTTACCTTCATCCTTAATCAGTGGTGTGAGCAGCGCCTCTTGCTTGGGCAGGGGGTCGTTGAGGCCGAAGGGGTCGAAGTTAAGGGGGTCACTAGAGTTGACGTTGGCGCGGGTGACGGGGGGATCCGAAGGCGGTGGTAGATCGCCGAAAATAGACTGCGAAGAAAAATTAGAATAAGTAGACAATATGATCTTGAGACACGATAATTAGTATAGAAAACAATATGGAAATATCCATACCTGACAAAAATAATATTAATTTGCGAAAATATTTAGAGCGGGCGCACGTACACCTTTGACTAAACTATCGCTCAACAGTTGTATTATTGTCGATAATTTCGCAGCCCATTCAACTGTTTAGTTGCACAACTAAAAATCGAGTAGTGTGCGCACATCCAAGCTCATAGGAATCAAAGCGCTAAACAATTGTTCGATAGTTTGTTAGATAGAAATTTACAAACAAACCTGTCCGTTATCCGTCGTTTTTCCGCTAAGGAAATCCCCGAAAGCATCGTCAGTTTGTTTTTCCATCATGCCGAAGAAATCGAAGGAGTCATCGCTCTTCAATTTCTGTGCTTTTGCCTTTTGCTCTGAATTGGATATATTGAGTAGATCTGCGGTGTCGTTGTGTGGTTGTTGTTGTTGTTGTGGCGGTGGGGGCGCGGGGCGCGGCGGCTGCGGAGAGGGAGGTGCGGGGCGCGCGGGGGGACGCTTCTCCACATCTTTAGGTGGATAGTCTGTTGTTACTGAAAATGAGTTTAATATGGTAAATAAAACTATCTTTTTATCAGTTTGTCTGTTGTTTATTAGTGAATTGAAAGATTCTGTTCATATTAAATTACTATTCTTTTCAATTATAATTCTATAATAGCAACTTATTTTTATAAAAATAGGCAGTCTAACGATCCGGTAATTTGTTATGCAGACAAACAAAATGTTGCAATTCAACTTAGACATCACTAAAACGCAAGTAAAAACAAAGCAATTTTGACGTGCAATGGATTTCATGAACTTTGAATTAAATTGAATCCTTTAAAAACTTAATATATATTGAATTTTTGAATTAATGAAAAATGAATAATTGCGAAAACATACCAATAGTAAAATTTACACGTTCTTATTTTACATTCAAAATAATAGAACTTTTTATAAATGAGTATTAAAAAAAACACCATAACCCTCTACAGAGGCAAAAAAAAACGACAAATTGCAGAAAAACGACCAAAAAGGCTGGTGGTAATCTCTAAATGACAGTGTAACATTCACGACATACTTGTAGGTGGCGCTGCAGTCGCGTTTCTTCGCAGATTAGCTGCATTAAAAATAAATATATCAAAGAACTCGTTTATAGCTATAGGTAAAATCAATTATACATTTCATTAGTTGAAAAGCCATATTAGGTATACGATAGATTCTAATAGTATTAAAAAAAATGATCAAAAAAAGATGTCTAGCTTAGTAAGAGGCTAATATTGGTTGGTTTTGTCAGAAAGATATGAAAAACAAGACATAGAAAATGACATAAATAGGGGGCGCTAGTGACCTTTCGTTTATATTCTTAGAGTCAGATATTGTCAGTCTCTATGACTATTTGACCTAATTTTTAAATTCCCTTATCACACTTTACTTCCATGATAGAGCGCGTATATGGAGAGAAAAATCATCTTTCTGTCTCCTTTTCTATTTAAGGTAGGCAACGCATTTGCAATTTTAGCTATCTATGGGCAGCGTTCGCTATTTCGACGAATCTAGGTGGCTACTTGTTAATTTACCACCTTATATAAAAAAACCTAGCAGATTTGTTAAGCGTTACAATGCAGCGTTTAGTATCACGATTGATGAAAATTGTCCATATTGTCTTATCTTACCAAAGTTGTCGACAGTCTCATCTCGCTCCAAGGTGGTGGAGAAGAGGAGGTCGGGGGTGCGCACGGGGAAGGAGTGGTCCTCCTCCCAGAGGTCGCAGCGCGGCTTGCGGCGCTCGCCGTGCTGCACCACCAGGCTCACCACAACACTCACGTTGGACGAGAAGTGATCGTTCACTGGACCTGAGTCTTCGATGCCGTCGATTTCAGACCTGTTGTGTACCATTAGTATACCAATATTAATCTAATAATAAACTAATAAATGAGACAAAGAGTAACTGTCGTGTCTTGCGTAGAGAGAATAGCCTAATTTAAATATTTTTAATATATCTACTTGATGGATAATTATTGCCAACTGACAAGGTTTTATAACGATTTGTTGAAATTATTTTTGTAGTAAATCTTTTTGTACTTTTATATATTATATAATAATCTTTTTTACTCTGTCTCTCTTCCTAATCCATATCGGGGTTGGCATACTTTCCTTTCTTACTATTACTATAAATGCGAATGTTTAGATGGATGGATGTTTGGTATTATGTATCTTTAGAACGGATCTCGGTGAAAGGCATAGATGTAGAACATATTCTGGAAGAACATATAAGCTATGAAGTTTTTATAGTAACCTATATTTGAATATGGGGGGGGGGAATTTAGTATACCTGGTGAACTTGAGCGCGTGCTGGTCGTAGGCCAGGTAGCCGGTGTGGAAGCTGAGGGCGAGCATGGGCACGGCCAGCACGCGGCCCAGCTGCTGCCGCGCGTGGAACACGCTCACCACCACGTCGCCCGTCACCGTGCTGTCCAGCGGCAGCGTCACCTGGACACAACGAAACATTTTTTTTTAATTTCGAAAATCGAGGAAAGATTGGATTTTTGGAACTTGAAAAATACTGGGCCGATTTTAAAACATTAAAATGCTATGTTATCACTGAGTAACATAGGATAAATTTAAAAATAGTACGAGAAGTCGAGAGCAACAGCTAGTTACTATGAAAGTCGCCAAACCGCACAACAGTTTGTTGTCGACAGACACCCATTCCTTATATGTAATTCACAAAGACATTCAAATAATATAAACATAACAAACCAATTAAAAAAATTGTGACACTACACGAAGATCTTAGACACTGATCTGTATAAACAGATAGGCCATTGCTTAGAAATAACACCTTTGGTTCATGTAAACTTAAACGTAAATCAGTTCGCGTTCTTAGCACCTCTCCAAATGGAACTGTCAACCAAAATGGCGAAAATCAAATAAGCATACAATATCATAACTTATAGCCTGTCCTTTTATACAAATCAATGGTCTTTATGGCTTAAAGCTTATATCGAAATATATGTTACAACTAATTTACCTTCCCTTCAGCCATCATGTAGAGATGCATCCTGTCGTATTCTTGAACCGTTGACAAAATCAAACGATCTTCATTGTAAATCTCTATGTAAGGTCGACAGCCGTCTCTACATCAGACAAATTGAAAGATTACAAAACAAATTGATTATTTGTCATAGCCAATAAATCATAAAAATAAATAAAAAATGTTAATACCTTGCTTTTGTGAACAATGGCACTGGTTGTATTGTCAAAGACACCAGAGACACGGGCCTAAAGTGTGGGAGTACTGGCTCTGGTCTGTAATGTAAAAAATTAACTGGTTTTTTTTTTAAAGTCACAAAGTCTAAATAAGATACTAACAACCGTACAAATAAACGCAGTATAAAGTTAAACTTAGGAATAAACTGAGTATAAGCAAATATTAGTACAAATTTTATTTATACAGCGTTTATTTGTAAGGCTTTTAAGTTTTAACAAATAAAAGTTGGTCCTTTGAGCAGGATGTAATTGAACGATATACATTAAGAACCGATACAAATAATATTTACAAATATTAAAGTAAATAATAAAGAACTCACCGTACAATATTACTAAGGTAGTACAAATAACGCAGCTGTGCAGGAGATATGCTGATCGGAGATCGCTTCACTGCAAATATCTGGAGAGCGTCCTCCGGAACAGTCACCAGTTTCGCGTAAAGAAGTAACCCGCAGAGTAGCATGCAAGACATTGATTTACCGTCCTGAAATAAAAGAAAACTAGTATAATTAAATAATATATACTTTAAGAAGGAAAGATGTGTATTTTTGTATGTATTGAAATAAATCAAAAACTACTGGGCTTTAGTAATTCTTTCACAGTTAGAAAGCTGACTAACATATTTTTAAATTTCACGTAACCGAAGTCGCGAGCAACAGCTAGTTAATTATATTGATATAATCCGTACATTATAGATTGAGCATACATTTAAGAGCTGATTGGTCTTAATTTACTTAATTTACGATTATTGTATTGAATTGAAAACCAAGACGCTAGTGCCAGAAAACAATGACGTGTAACATAAAATAACAAAAAAACCTAACTATACATCCTAGCTTTAGAATCCTAGAACATACATATTAGGCTAATCTTACTAAAATTATAAGTGCGAAAGTTGAGATGGATGCTTGTTAGAGTTTGTAGCCTAAACTGTTGAACGGATCTGGATGAAATTTGGCAAAGATCTAGAGCATAGTCTGGAAGAACTCATAGGCTATTTACTTTTTTTTTTTTAACTCCACGCGGACGAAGTCGCGGGCGAAAGCGATACATAAACGTTAGTTAAAATCAAAAAGCAATTATAAACCGTCTAGTTTACCTGACAAGTGATAACAATAGTGTTTCTATCGTCACTACCGAGGTAGTGGTACATGTGCTGCAGCAGGGCGTAGTAGGGCGAGAGCAGGGGCGCGCGGTGCGCGGGGGAGGGCCACAGCGCACGCGACGCATCCTGCGCCACGCGCGCGAAGCTCGCCCGCCCGCGGCACGCGTGGTACACGCAATACTTACCCGGGTGACGACTTTCGAGGAACGCCTAACAATTTTTTTTTACTCGTATTTAATTAAAAAAAATGGAAACTGTCCAATATATATCTGTACTATTATAAAAAGCGTAAACACACACTACTTTGTTGTCTAAGATGTCAGCAATTATAGCATATTTTTTAATGATTCTTTTTTAAATAAAAAGCCATTGCGTCACGCCTTAGGGCATATATTTTAACACCATTTAACTTAGGGGGTAAATATGTTGGATAAAAACCCTAATGTGTGAAAGAGATCATAAGTTGTTGACAACATCAAGGAAGCAAGGTTGTTATCATGTCATGTCATTTTGACATTTGCAATTTAGAATTTGACAAATGTAAACAATAAAATAAAATTTACATAATTTCATGCGGATGAAGTCGCACGGGAACAGCTAGTGTTTAAATAAATGAAAATTATGTACTTACCCGTACATCATCAACATGATTAGTTTTATAAGCGCTTTCTAAACCTTCCGAAGGGTATGGCATCACAATTATACGACTAGTTAAGTAGCTTATGTCTAGATCAGTTCTGGCTATTGACCTGAAAAGAGAAATCAATTAAAAAAACTGAAATAACACTATTTGAGCATTATGAAACCGGAAACCTCGACACAGTATATATATTTTTTATATTAAAACAGGGCAAATGAGGGGCGATAACACCGAGGTGGTCAAAGACGCCCATGGACATCCGCAGCACCAGAGGAACTACAGATATATGACAGTCGGAGGAAGAATATTAATTGAATACTGCCCTATTCTTCTAATTAGGTCCAATGATTTAGACTACAATAGGTTCTTCGAATAAAACACACATGTGCCTGTGAGAGATTGCTGATTGCAATAAGGCCGCACTTACGCAAATCTTGTTCTTATAATATTTGTGCAAAAAGTATTAAATAAGTGCAAAAAACTCCTTAGTCAGTAAAATAAAAATAATAAGAAAATGGTAAAAAATTTTTAAAAATTACTTACTGTTGAACAGTTTGCATTACTTTAGACGAGGTATCTTTTAGGTTTTTGAGGAAGCTTCCAGCACCGCCCTTGATGGATGAGAAGAGGCCACCGGAGGCTGGTGTTGGCGGCAGCGGCGCGTGGTACTGCGGAGCGGGCGCGGGCCGCGGCGGCGGCGGCCGGCTCGGCTCCGGCGGGCGGGAGTTCGCTATCTCTTGACTGTTTGACGTCACATCCTTAGACGCTGAAAAAAAAAAGAAACCTTTAGGCCGATATTATTCTTATCAATTTGATTGTGATTAATTTTATTAGTTTTTTCCCTTTTCAAATTCTAATTATTTAAGAGCTTTTCTTTTATTTTTTAAACTAATTAACAAAGACTAGTATCAACATTTCAGAGCTGACAAATTGATATAACTAAAAAGTTTAATATAGGTTTTTGGTGATAGAAACAAAAGTATAATATTTTAAATTAGTTTATTTCTAAAATTAAATATCTTACATGTTTTACTTACACCTAATAGTAACAAAAATATTGCTTGTCTATAAACTATTTAACAAAATTTTAAATATCTGAACTTTCTACATAAGATTTTGTAATCATTGAGATAAGGTTTTATAATGAAATTACATACTTTCAACATTTTGCTTATAAATTTATATTTGACTCAAGTATGGTCAATGAGAGAAGACAAAAGTTTGAAACAGCCAGGGGTGTGTAACATTTTTTAACTTGATGTAAATATTAAATAATAATTAAATTGATTATTTATGTAGTAAGATCGAACTATCGAAATCGAATTTCAATTTCCGTATTGTCAAAGATTATCTATCTAAATGTAAATAAAAGTAGCTTGAAACACTTACATATTAGACTTATTTTAATTTAAGAATCCAAAATACTATATTCCATTATTAATGTTAATTTTTTTGTTGATTACGATTTCGAAAAAATCTACACTAACAAAATAATAAAATCTACAATAACTCTTAACTTAAACATTTTTCGCATTTCTGTCTTTGCCAATAATAAAATTTACTAAAAATCGTATAACTATGCCATGTATTTTGAAAATCAAAAATAAAATTGACAAAAAAACCAATATCACAAGTTTCAATAAAACAACCCAGTTGACTCATCAGTCATAAAAAACATAAAAAAGTATATTTTTCAGAAAACATATTCCTATCAGATTTCATTGAACTATGTGATTGAACTAGAAAAAAAAAACCTAAATCCTTCACATTAAATTAAAGATAGTTTAACTATTTTACATAAAATATTACTATATATAATATAATACTTCTTATATAAAAATATAAATAAATGTAGCGCCAGTTTTGTATTTAATATTTTCGATGTGTGAATATTAGTACCTGTGTATTGAAATATATACGAGAAGGCTAGCTTAAGTATGTGTAAAGCTTAACAATACAAGCCATTTGCATAGTTATGCTATCTATACTACTCTATACAGATAGTATAAAGCGGAAAAAATTGTATTTTTGTATGTATTGAAATAACTCAAAAACTGCTTTGCAGATTTTAAAAATACTTTCACCGTTAGAAAGGTATTTGATCTGTAAATTAGGCTGTTTTTTAATTTCACGTGGGCGAAGTCGAGAGCAACAGCTAGTGCTATATAAATGTAATGAATACATTATACTTGCAACTATCTTCTCAAATTAAATAAAAAACATAAATTTAAAAGGCAATACAGAAAGTAAATATATTAAGGAAAAATACATCTTAAAAACGGTAAAAAAAGCACCACGGAATGTAAAAATAATCACATTTAACATTGAGTCACAGATCAATATAATTAAGAGACAAAACCTGGAATTCATTGTTAACCTTTGACAAAAAAGATTCCTAATTTATTTTCAGATGAAACCTATGTAAGAACTATTGCTATGTTTAATATAGAGGAGATTTTTCTCTATTTAACCATAATGATTGTAATTTCTAATTAATTGTATGACCTTGACGTATGTACATTGTATGTGTTTTCTGTCAAGACGATTTTTTTACTCTTTTATGCGACGTTTTTACTCCTTCCAGTGTTTTTATTGAGAACAACGCCATCTAGTTGTAAGGCATACTTAACTTGCATTTTTTTAATTTACAATATTGAACATAGAATTTAATTAAAAGTGAGTTATGGTTATTCCATCGCTATTTAACTGGTCAATAAAAACTCAATATTCATCGAATACATTTGTCTGGATTTCAGATTTATAAAAAACATTTTTTTAAATTTGACACACATTGAAAAATACAAATTGGAACATTTCCTGACTGAACATTTCAACCATTAATATATCAATAATAATATATCTATATTAATAAAAGATTTAATTCCATTTAAACAATTCCTCTTTGGAATGCCATACGAAGCAATTATTTTCGCGTTATTTAAAAAAATATTGTCTAGGACATATCGTATTGGTAACTTATACATAGACTAAAATTCTATACAGGTGGAAACCACCACGTCTTTTTAGTACAAATGCATTGCAAATAAATCTATTTATAAAACGGTTAATACTTTGAAATGTACAAACAACTTTGTAAAAGATATAAGTAGCAAACAAACAAAAAATACAGTAACAAATATAAAAAGTATTGTGTATGTATGAATAAAAAACAATACTCATCATTGCGAGCAAATCCATGTGTCTAGCACAAGCGGTCAAAGTGGGTGTTGTCCAAATGGATGACATGCTAGCGTCACGCGGGGGCTCATTTAAACGAGAAAACAATCGGGCACCCAAAAAAGTTGAAAACACCTAAAATGAAAAAAGAAAACGTGATATGTAACGACAGAGTAAACTAACATTATTTTTATTAAACTAAGCCACGTATCTTATTCACTGCATATAAAAAAAAAACGATTACACGTAACTTTTTTCAAAAACTTAAAATTAGTGGTATGCCAAAAAAGTCTACGAAAAAATTTGAAATTTTTTTTTAATTATCTTCGTTATTTGATTAAAATATTAATATTTTTAAGATACGTGGCTAAGTTCAATAAACATAAACATGCTATGAATTCAAATATGCTCATTCTAACGAAAAGGAAGCATTGTATGTCGCATGCAAATAGGATTATTCTGTTTAGCTCTGGATAATGTCTATATAAAATGTATGACGTAATCTTAGTTCTACTTCAAGAGAACAAGCATAATAGCATAAAGTTTATCTAATATGTAATTTGTAGCAAATTAACACAGATTTATATGTCATTTAATTCAATGTAATATGCTGGTCAATATACAAGTTATACGTTAGTTATGTTAAGGGTAAGCAAACAATAATAGCAACGTTTTCATTAGCACACAAGTTTATGCTCATCCTGTCAATTACATTTATTTGAGCCCTGTCACGGTTAAAGCGTTAGAAATCAAATCCACTTGTCACAAGAGTACTATATAATATATCATGTACGCAGTTGACTTCATAGATTAATATATATCTATACTAATATGATAAAGAGGAAAGATTTGTATTTTTGTATGTAATGAAATAACTCAAAACTACTGGGTCGATTTTAAAAATTCTTTCACCGTTAGAATTGTAATTCTGTGAGTAACAAAGGTTATTCTTTTTTTATCAATTTAACGCGAGCGAAGTCACGAGCCACAGCTAGTAAGCTATTATTCTCACTTACATATCTTCATGGAAGTCCTAGACTTTGACATCTATTCTAGTTTGACTTGACTTTCTAGTGCACAAATCAGAGTTAATTTTGAGTGATTAGTCATTGTATGATTTTCTTAGTGTAGATTTATAATAAGAAAATATACGCTAAATAAGTGCTTAACTTAATTGTCATGAAACATGTTTTGAATAAATTTAATTTGAATAAAAACAAAAATCTTTAAAAAGGTAGCTTATTGTTTTACTATTTTATTATCTATGCAAAAAATACTGTTTATATTATCTCTGAAAATGGCAACTTTAGGGTGACTACGTAATATCCTGGTTTACTCACAGTAATCGAGCAAAGTTTGAAATAAATTGCTACTTTAAATTTTACACTGTGTCCTCATTTATTTTCGTAGCTCGCAATTTTCTATTAAAAAGTATATAGTTTTAGTGTCCACTATATCATTTGTTTACTAAATACCCTTGTTTCTTAACTGGACACGTGATTTTTTTCAGCAAACGGCAACAATATCGTTCATTTGAAGATTGTATGTTTGGTTTTAAAACCATTGAAGTAAATATTGGTATGCGAAAAAAAAGGTATAATTTAGAGATGTAGATGAAATGTAAAAAACAATTTATATGACTAGAATTACTAACAACTAAAAGAAGATTGATGATCCTAATTCGTATTACAAAAAATTCCTGGACTAGATAAAATTGTTGTTATTACTAACAAAAAAAGTAGTTTAAAATGTGCAACTTAACCAATATAGTGTAGAGCTGCTATAAAATGTTAGTGAATTAGTAAAAACAGCAATAGTTAGTGAAGAGAACAAAGCATAATTAAGTTATTTTACCCATGTCTTCCAACGATTAGTCCCAACACTGTTCCAATTCCGACCTAATTTGTACTTCGAAAAAACAACTTTAAATATATTTAAAAATAAAAAACAAACCAATAATGATGATAATAAACTCGTTTATTTAAAATCAAACACATTAATGTGTCTTAAATAAATAATTTACAGCGAAAACAGAAAGATGTATCCAAAATTGACAATACATTTGTTAAAAGTACTGCAAACTTTAAATTACATAAGAATATACATTAAAAATAAATACTGATTTAATCTACATTTATTCTTTATGTATTGTCTTGTTGAATGTTAAATTACATAACATCAGAACAATATAATAATGTATCGCGTATGGCAACACATAAATAAGCCTCAAGACTAGCAACACAGCGATGACATTTCGAATTCAGTGCCCGCCAAATATACGCCAGTACGCCAGTGCGCGTTAACAAAGCCACCCGACAGGTTAGTGCAAATTCTAAATACTTTAAACCAATGTTAGTTCGTAATACTTTTCGAATAACCAGCCTATTTGTTAAGTTATGTAATTATTATGATACACAAGGCTATCCACGTTTATTTACCTTTTTAATAACTTACGATAACAAAAAAAGACATACTTTGCACATTTTTTCTATCTATTGGGTTCTAAGCATATTTTGTTACTGAAGATGTGATGAAATTGTTCTTAAAAATACAAGATATTTTTACGATAAAATACTTTACTTATAACTATATAAATTTCAACAAACTTTATTTTTAATATCTATTAAAAATAGTTTAAACAACGTTGAAATTTGAATTTTACATATAAATAGAAAGCAGTTATTTAAATATGGATAGCCCTTTAATGCTGTACTTCAAAGCTATTTCATATACGTAGTTTATAACAAAGTTTTAATACTAATTGGGGTTTTTATCATAGTAAAGATTTACTGAACCCCTAAAAAGGAATGTCGATTGATAACATCTAAACTAATGTTGGAAATCTTAAGTTACTAATGTAAAGAAAAATACACACTTTATAAGTGTACCCTACTGTCTTTTTTAGAAAACTATAGAGTAGTTCAAAATATTTCTATACTCTTGTTATTGAAATTTGTCCTTCATTTACCATACCAGACTTAAGAATTTAATTAAAGCTCCATAGCTTCCTATGTTCTGTTATTACTGACACAACACTTGTTATGACCATAATACCGATTAAAAAGTAAAATAAATTCACATTAAATATTTATCACTAAAAGAATATCTAATTAGGCTTCCTGTTCACGAAAAAAATAGTTAATCGAAAAGAATATGTGAATAAAGTCAAATAAATGCTATACTACCTTCATAAGTCATTCTCAGAACAATTTAGTTAACAATCCCTTACCTTTGGTGTTGTTTTTGGCGAAAAATAACATTGGAATGTTAAAGACATCTCACATCATAATTTTTTTCGTTTAAAACATTCTAAGGAGATTAATTAAAAAAAAACTGTGAGTAACGAAAGAAAATTTGAGTGTAAAAAGTCAAAAAATACTTGACCATTAATAGCTCGATTTGCAATAGCAACTGAACAAAAAGATGGGGGTCGTATGAACGAGCGCGGTTGTCGATACTTTCCGGAGCGGGCCAAGTTTTTTCTAAATCACAAATAAAATGATCCGCGACGGGCTTAGTATATGGTAGTGTAATATTTACTTGACTTCTTATTACCTGGCGAGCTAGTGGCCACGGATTGTTCAACTTTTTTACGCTCAAATTTGAGTGGTTGCTTCAGATTGACGTTGTTGGACTCCGCGATGGCCGCCAGCCGCTCCAGCACGCCGCTGATGGACAGCCGCTGCTCGGGGTTCACCGTCAGGCAGCCCGCTGCAAACAAATTGCACATATCTTAAACTACCTTCAAATTAAAACATTTTTAACATTATTAACGCCTGCTTCACATCTAGCCAGTAACGTTGGTCAGTAGCGCTCAATTACTGGACTAGCATTCAACTGTCATAATGTGAACATAGACTGACGACAGTGACTACATACAATTCATACTTGGGCTGTGCCAACTGTACTGGCCAAACGTGAACCAGGGATTAGTCTGTGTAAATTGATGGAAATTTTAAAAGAGTGACTTTATAAACAATTTTAAATTATGTTAGTCGGTGTTGTAATTACATCAGTTGTATGTAAGACAATTGTAATCAATTAAAAGGGAAATAAAATTAAAAACCAATCATTAATATCTAATAAATTAAAAAAAAACTTACTTATGATTTCATGAAAACATTTATATCGTTGATCATTGGGGTTCAAGTTATAGTTGCCGTTCAGTATGGCCAGTTTAGCGGAGTCCTCGAATGGGTGCTGCATGAAGCAGAGGGTGTACAGGATGCAGCCCAGCGCCCAGATGTCCACAGAATGGTCTATTTTACGATTGTCCCAGGTATCCAGCATCTCGGGGGCTCTGTACATCGGTGTTGTGAACTGAGCCAACTGGAAGAAACAAACGCAACATAAATAAGTTGAATACTGGTTGGTTACGTTAAATAGTCAGCCCAGCGATTCTTAATGTGGACCAGTTAGACCTCTTGGTGTTCATGGAGATGGTCCACAAGTTAAATAACTAATGTGGCAGTATTTGTGCTAAAACCAGTAAAACTCTAATAAAGATAAGACTAAAAATCCTCAATTTCCTTGTTATAGTTAGTTTTTTTTTTTTACATTCAGCAAGGATTTTTAGTATATATATACAATTACACAATAAAAAAAAATCGACTCAATCTTAGTAACACTCAATTAATACGTAAGTAAACAAAGACAGCCAGTTGAGAATTTCGCATAATTGATTCCAATTGGTAGCAGCAATGAGATGCGGACGAAAATACTGCAGTCTGTCTCATTGAATTCTGGATGTAATTGTGACCAATGTTTCTCAAACACAATATTTAGCCATGCATTTTATTTTCTTTAATGTGAATCACATTTTAACTTTAACTAAAGAGCATTTCATTTATTCTAGCTATGACGTAATTAGTATAATAGGATGACGGGTTAAATATCGATTTTATCTTTCGTTTAAATGATTTACTTACATTTTCTTCTAGCATATTTCTCTGATTTGCACTCCATGAAGGGTTCGGTGTGTATACGTCGGTCGTAGCCGATCCGAAATCACACAATTTTATTGTACCTAAAACATATAAAGAACTTTTATCCCAAACATAGACATAAAGGGGATCTTGCGAAATTGACTTAATTTACCCAACTAATTATATTAATCGAGCTGTTGCCCGCGACTTCGTCCGCGTGGTATTATAAAACATACTAACTATATAAATTACAAATAGCTACGTATCCCTCGGGAACCGGACACCTCGGGGATGAAGCTTATCCCATGTATACTCCAGGCTTTGTTTTACATCTGTGCCAAAATTCAATAAGATATGTTGAACCGTTGCAGAATGATCGAGTAAACATTCCAGACTATAGTCTAAACCTGTGCCAAATTTCATGGAGATCCGTTCAGCCGTTTAGGCTACAAACGCTAACAAACATCCATCCATCCATCCATCCATCTAAACTTTCGCATTTATAATATTAGTAAGAAGTAAGATTTCTAAATTAATCATCGGAAATCAGTATCGAAACCAAAATCCTTATATCATCCTTAGCTAGTTCCAATCCACTGTTGAACATAGACTTAATACAAATTAATAAATTTAATAAAACGTAGCGATTCAATAAAATCGATTTTAAATCGTGAACTTTACTGTTGCCAAAGGTAATCAACAAAGGGTAACAAGTAACGATTTTTCAAGTAACCTCCACGTTACTTAAATGCCGCGTAGATTAACGGCATTATATAAATTGCTAAGTTCTTTACTGATTCCAATCCGCTATAAATACATTACGTTTAAATACGTTTAACGAGGAAAAAAATTCGTAAAGAAATAAATTGAACATAAATTTTAATTTATGGGAAATATCGTATAAAGAAAGAGTTGAATTTTTATTATTTTTCCCCAATGTTAACTACATTAACCTGGACATACATGGGTTCTTATAGTTTTTTGGGAAATGTTAAAGTAAGATATGTTTTAACATCACAATTACTTGCAACAACCAAGAGAATATTATTAGAAGTGTATTTTATTGATTGATTGCCTTCAAACAATTGAATCATATAAGTATGACCCAGTTAATGGCAGTGTTCAAAACAGTGTTGAGATATTATGTACCAATATTTTTATAGGCAATTTAACATTGTTTTCACTGGAGGCAATTTAAATAAGTATAAGTTACTTGAATGTGAACGAGCCAGCTGAAAACCGGCACAGGAACTTATTCGTTCCTCCTAAATACGCTGAGCTGGCTACCTTTTGCCATGAGTTTATGTTTTCTTTAGAATAAGTCTGTTTAAGTAATCTCTTCTTACGGCAATAAATACATATTCATTCATTCATTCACTTTGTGTATAAATTCATATTCAATATAATATTTAGTGCCTTTAAAATTTGCCTAGATCAAACACAACCTGGCTACATTCACAATCAGTCAGTGAAACTTCTATTAAAAAGTGTTATTTTAAAAAGAATCTATTGTGCGTCTCGAGACTAACGTTTTTTCATTAAGTAAAAAAAAAATTACCTTCATTAGATATTAAGAAATTTTCTAGTTTGAGATCACGATGTGCAATAGGTGGTACTTGATTATGCATGTGCTGCACAGCCCTGCACGTCTGATAGAATACTCTTAAAATAGTTTGCAATGGAAATGCCTGCCCTCTATTCTGTAACGCCTCCATTAAACTACCACCGCTACATAGGTCCGTTAATAATAAATATTCTCCCATTCCATGGGTAGTCTTCGACTTTTCTATAAATGATGCAGCAATGTACTTTATTATATTAGGGTGGCCCGATAACTTTTTTAATATGCTAATCTCCTGTATAATATTCTTGTTTGCTTGTTCATCAGCTGCCATTAGCCTTTTTAAAGCATATTCTGTGCCTACAGATATATCTTGAGCAACAAACACAAAAGCAAAACCACCTGCAATACAACATTATTATACAATTATCAGCTCATATCTCACTAAGTAACCAGGACTATATTTAACAAATATTTGACTTTTTATTAGTGAACACTAGCTTTCGCCCGCGACTCTGTACGCGTGGAATTGAAAAAAACATAAGTGAATAGCATATGGGTTCTTCCAGACTATCTTCTACAACTATGCCAAATTTCATCGAAATCCGTTCAGCCGTTCAGGCTACAAAATCTAACAAACATCCATCCATCCATTGAAACTTTGACATTTATAATATTAGTAAGATTAAATGATAGCCATTAGATATTTGGGAATCGCTAGCAATGATCAATATCTTGAAGATTGTTTACATTTTATTAGCACAGAAAACCAATTAATTCATAAAAATATGACTAACATATGCTAACATTGACAGACATAAGTGGTTTTTAAATCATAACTGCAAAATACTATATACTTATAATATACTATGTATAATACTTGTAAATACTATACACCCACTGCCTTGGTTTAAATATACTTCTGAATAAATTGTTGTAAGGTTTGATTTTATTACATAACTAATGATTAGTACAAGACAAGACTCATCATATTTTTAATGTGTTACATAAGTGACAAATTAAGTAGGCAGAGACAAAAATATATTTAAAGTAAAGCAATGATGCAGATGATGAGAATAAAATTGGATTTCTCTTATTATTGAAAGTTTTAACTTTAAATTGGATATAATCATAATAAAATAAATGTATCCAACATAAATTAAATAATGATATAGTATAGGAGATATAAAATGAGATCCAATACAAAGAAGTGTTTATCTGCTTTCTGGACAAAAGACAAGCTAGGTATATTCTTGGTACAAGTCCATTATACTAGGTTAATTGTTGTTTCCCGTAACACTGATCCACCAAAAGACACCAATGGGATTTTTTCCCGATTGGGACAACTGAATCCATAGAAACAATCATCCTAATGGGAAACAAAAATCCTATTAGGCTGATTGATCAATAGATTGATCTGTCAAAGCGGAAACATCCAAATCCAATTAAAATAATAAAATCTATTGCATTCTGTAGTAGTAATCTACTTTGATAAGCAATTTTAGTTCAATTTTTAAAGAAATGTGTAACATATTGCTGTTAAAACTGACTCTATCTACTTAAAATAGTTAAATCCGTAGAAAAACTGTGTATAGGACATTGCTTTTATATTTAAATAGGACATGCATTTACATTATAGGTAAAACAATATTACTACAAAGATTATTAAAAGAAAAAGTAGTTATAATGTTGTTCTATTAAACATAATTATCAAGCAGATAAGGGTATTGGTAGTAAGTCTTATCATAACACATTTATTTTAATTTGTGTACCAAAAGCATTTTAATGTTTTTACTTTACGAATTCTCTTAGAATGTTGTTAAGACTTTCAACAGACAGACAACAGTTTTAGGAATTTGGACATGTACTCAATATAAAGGAGTCTTTGGGATTCAGTATTTTCTTAATTTGTTCTTATTACAGTTTGTACTTACTTTCGATGAAAGTGGTAGACAAAGAAAAAAATACGTTTAATTTTCGGATCTTCCGCCCCCAAGTCTACGTGGAGAACAGTGACCGAGACTGAAGGCCCTTTTGGGTACAACATTTTCGTAAACGTAATATTGTGTAGTATCATTACTTACCTTCAGCTATGACTTTTTTTACTCGCAGTTTCATGTTCCCGATTTCTACAAATTGACCAACAAAATCATTATCGCTGCCTCCGTTGGCACCTCCAGAACTGAAGTACCCCATCGCTGATTTGAAGACACTCATTTTACAGGCTTAATATATACACTCTCTGTATCAAATTAAAATTAAATAAACACTATTCGACAGCTCCTTATTTTAAACCATTTTAATTAGAAATGTTAAAATTGAGGTGAGACATAATAAATTACAGGCGAAAAAGAATTGGAAATTGGCAGATCCTCTGGCAATGGCAGCGATTACAAGTGTTACCAACCTGAAGTCTCCAATTTTTACCAACTGATTTTTTTAATCCAACTGGTTTTCCTGGTGAATAACCAAAACGAACCAATCAAATGCGGTGCGGTTTTATTTAGCTTATCTTTGTTTCATCATCATGAGCCTTTATCAGCCCACGGGTGGACATAGCTTTTCCCCAGAGCCTTCCAATCAATGCGGTCTTCCGACTTTCGCTTATCTCTGCTTTCTCTTGACTTTTTAAGTTTAATAACTTGAACTAAGTACATTTTTATACAAATTGCATTTTCTTTTTTAGTAGTTTAGTAATGGATAGTTTTTTACCACGCGTAGTACGTATTTCAACGTTGATGTTGGCAATACTTTGGTAATTCAGTAAATTATTTCTTGATATTTGCAACATTTGCAAATGCATCTTTAATAAAATAATGTGCAAAGTGTGAACAGTGTAGTGAACTTTATAGTATTTTCAAATCATTTTCAATAACTAAAAATTAACAAAAGTTTGATTAGGTATATTATACAGTTATACACTCTGCGGGGTTGCTGGTTGCTTATCCACCAATAATTATATTCAATGCACTTGCACATGCGTACAACTTAAATTTTTCTTGCTATTTACTTAATTCACTGGAGTTATCAGTAAATGAATTCACAGTTAAAGTGTGACAGTTTGTAATTCATAAAAAGCTCATAATAATATCACGAACATAGTAAATAATAGTAAAAATAGCTAATGTTTACTATTGTTGAGAAGAATAATGGGCTTTGATATCAAAAGATTTCAAGGTGACGTTGATGAAGAACTAATTTGCCCTATATGTTCAGGAGTTTTAGAGGATCCGTTGCAGGTATGGTTTGATTCTAGACATTTTCCATTAAATGTGTGTGGATCGTGTAAATAAAAGAGTGTTTTTAGGCGCCTGCCTGTGAGCACGCATTTTGTCGTGCGTGTATAACTGAATGGATAAGTCGGCAGCCCACTTGTCCTGTGGATCGTCAGGCGGTCACCGCAAGCCAGTTGAGACCTGTTCCAAGAATACTACGCAACTTGCTTTCCAGGTTGGTGTGATTTCGCAACTTGTTATGTGATTCTCATTGCAACATTGAAATCAGGTTATGTTTTGATTGATTTTTACATGTTTATCTCGAAAAACCTATGTAGTAAAACTATTTTTTTTGATTCAGTTAATTCATATTTTAAGCAGGATGCTATATGTTTGAGAGGTAAACTTATTATTACATTGGACAATGATTTTCTTCAACTATTTCTGTATACATTGTGTATGAATATATACATAAAATATATATTTGATAGTTGAAAAATCAATATAACAAAATCTAGAATGTAAAGATAATAAAGACATTGTAACACTAACAAGAATTCAGCATTTATATGTATGGTGATTCATTGGCACACTATATTTATATGCATGTCAATATTTATGTATGCATGAATTACATTATAACATGATATGTCTGAAAAGACAGTTGCTGTGAGTTTACATTGTCAAAACATTTGTACAAAAGAATCTTATTGGACCAGATAAATAATTCTTATCAGTTACATGATGAATATTTGAATTTAAATTATTCTTTACCAAATTTATATCTTTCCGAACTGAAAGAAGATAGTTTTTATGTCTATATCATAGACTTAAAGTTTTTGGTCTTTAAAAATTTCCCGAGCCACTGAAGATGTAAAACAATCTGATAAATGAAATTGAAATCAAGGACAAATGTTTAAATATTTTTTATTTATATAGATTTTTGTTGTTGTTTCAGACTTTGTACAAGCTGTGACAATGCACCTCACGGGTGCAATGCAGTTTTGAAACTGGACTCTTTAGCCTCACATCTTGTTGATTGTTAGTATACTTTTACATTTTTATAGCATTAGTCATTTCAAACATGTTATAAACACTATCTGCATATTTAAATAATATTGTTTTGTTTCTCTGTATAAATATTATTTTAATATAAATTATGCAATGAAAATTATATTACTGTTACAAATTAAGACATAAACATAACAAATAAAGGCTAACATTTACCAAAACTGAATTGTTTACATTACACTTTAAAACTACAGAATTTACTAAACCATATCATTCAATTACAAGTAAATTATAAAATTTCCAATGACAATATAACACAGTGTAATGGTCTCCAATAGTAAGTTTGTCTATACTAATATTATATTTTCTATGCTTTATACTTTGATATAATTTAAACATGTACTCTAGTGTGCTGGCAACATCATACATTTTGAGGATTCAATTAGAATCCTGTAATTTTTTACAAAAACTCCTGAGCCAATATATATAATTTGTATATAATAGTTTGTCTTTATTTGTAAAAGTGTTTATTGTTGTTTATTATAATTGTTTAATTATTATATCTTACTGGGAAATTCAACTATTGTTACTTGCATTACTTTATTATTTAAGTTTCATTTAATAAGAGTAATAGGGATAGCAATATGTTTATACAGTGAAAACCTATTTAAATAATCTATTTACAATCCAGGTGAATATAATCCTAAACGACTAATGCCATGTGAAGCGGGCTGCGGTCTTGTGATACCTAAAGATGAGTTGGCAGAACACAACTGTGTCCGAGAGCTGAGGGTGCTGATTGCGTCACAGCAAGGCAAACTTACAGACTACCAACAGGAACTCACGGAACAGAGACTGATAATTAATGAACACAAAAGAGAGTTAGCATTGCTAAAGGTGAGTTACAATGACTTTTCCTTTGTTTACAACTAGCTTTGGTCCGCGTCTTCGTCTCAGTGAAATTAAGAAAACAAAAGTAAGTAGCCTATGGGTTCTTACAGACTATCTTCTACATCTATACCAAATTTCATCAAGATCCTGTTTACAGGTTTAGGCTACAAGTTCTAAAAAAACATCCATCCATCCATCTAAACTTTTGCAATCATAATATTAGTAAGATTAAATCAACAAAAACTCCTATGTAAGCAAAATAAATGTAACTCAAACCCTATTGTGGAAAAACATAATTATAAATAAAGTTTTAGTGATTGAATATTATTACCTTTTAAGGTTACATTAATGTATTCCAGATGATGAATAATTCAAAATATGGAAATAAGCAATTAAATCGAAATTAATTCATTTTCATTGAAAATTACTATTCAATATATGACTTTCCTGGTATTTAATATTAACGTATAATTTGACGTAATTCTGTGGTTATGATTCATTAATATTTGTTTAATCTAAATAAATGAGTATTGTCAATAAATAACAGTTTTTTTGGTATCATATAAAGGGATCTGTGTAGTCCATTGCACATTTCCCGGACACCCTGTATAAGATTTGCCCTACCAAGTGGCCAATTCTGAACGAAAATTCTTATACTGATATTTAATTATTTATTTAAGTACAACCACAATATATATATTATACACTTACAATTAGTTAGTTCAGTGTATCATTTCTTTTAAACATGTAAATACTGGTGTATAACATTTGCTAGTATTTATTTAATTAATAGTATTAGGTAGTATTATATTGATAAACTATAACAATATAATTACGTGATCACGTGACCTTCACAATGATAGCCAAGATTATGTGTTGAAGTGGTGAATGTATGACAGGAGTTCATGCGCGCGATGCGTGTGTCGAACCCGGCGATGCGCGCGCTGGCTGACCAGATGGAGCGCGAGGAGGTGGTGCGCTGGGCCAGCTCGTTAGCTCGCGCTCGCGTCACTCGCTGGGGTGGTATGATATCGACACCCGATGACGTCCTGCAGGTGGTAATACACTTACTTTTACCAGTCGCTATAGTGATAATACACTGAAATTAAATCCTTAATGTTTTTGCCACACTCAGAGTTTTTTATTGGTTACTAAGAGGCACATTAATGGTAGATTTCTTATACTAAATTAGTATTTAAGAGGGTCTGTTTAGTGTATACATTTAGTATACCAAGCAGGACCTATTAACGACTCTTGAGTGCAGCAGTTTAACGTGATTTCTCTCTTCCCCTTCTTATTTCAATCTATTATTTGGTCTATTTCATTAATGTTTATTCCGCCACAGATTTTTCATTCTATTTTTAACTTTTATTAATTTTACAAAGCAATATCTGCATTGAAATCATATGTGTCGAGGAGTTTCGTTTCAATCATAAAAAGTTTTGTTGTATAAAATGAGTAAAGAAGTAATGCTTATTTATTATTATTGATTCCAATGTCATTGCGAAAAGTATGCAAAGTTGTAACAATAAAATTAGATCATTCTCATTGACTGAATAATTTGAGGTCATATTTATAAACTGGATACAATAGCATAATCATAAACATTACTTTATAAATGAATTCCGATTTCATATGATTAGATCTAATTATTATGAATAACCATATTTTTTTATTAAAACTTCGTATTTTTATTTTATTTACAGATGATGATTAAGAGAAGTTTATCAGAATCTGGCTGCCCCTCTCATATAATTGATGATTTAATGGAAAACTGCCATGAACGGAGGTGGCCTCCCGGTCTCTCCTCCTTAGAAACTAGACAAAATAATAGAAGGTAAATAATCTAGTTTTTTACTAACATTGTCATTGATTTTGAAATGTTCATAAGTTAGTGAAAAGTACTAAATCAGATACTAAGACATTTTTATTATAAAATGTCACTATTACATTCCCATGCCTGTTGGGTTGTTGATGCTTGAAAAAGTTATGTAATTATTCATATGAGAAAGTCAGTAGTTAATGGTGTCAGTACTAGTACTACTTGGTAATCGTCAAGGCACATAACTGTATAACTTTAACATACATATAACTTTGTTACTTGTTATACATGTTAATTTAGATTCTTTTAAGGCTTGTTTTGATTTATGTTAGTTAATCATACATAGAATTTTTGTGTTTCTACATCATATACTTACCCGCACAATTACATTGCACATGTTTGTTTTCTTATTGTAAGCGAAACATTGTGTTTTTTATAATATCTTTAAACCTGAAGCAATATTAACTTATTAAAACTTTCGTAATACATTATACTAAAGAAATTAAGCAATATTGTTTACTATATTGTTTATATAAATTTTATGGTACTTAAAAATATTCTTGTTTTCAGGTTATATGAGAAATATGTGTGCAAACGAGTGCCCGGCAAGCAGGCGGTGCTGGTGCTCCAGTGCGACAACACGCACGTCGATGACCATATGATGGTGGAGCCCGGGCTTGTCATGATATTTGCACATGGCATCGAATAATGCTAAAAGTGATGGAATTGTGAAAGACTCAAGTTTGGATTTTAAAACGTAAAATGTTAAAATTGCTGTAACACATGCCATTTACCACTCTGTTAATGTTTCTTGTACAATTAATTTTATTGATTTGTATTGGGTACACACTATTGTTTAAAATCACTGAACATTTGACTCATTTTTTTTATTTACAAGTTACAGTTAGCTAAATGTATTTATGAAACAATTAGAAGAACTAATTAAAAGTTATCACAAATATTGAACAACCATGTGGTCAATAATGCTTTCTAATGTGAATGAGTATGTAAATTTCTACTAACATCTTAAAATAACTTTGTGTATGTGCACATATAAAGAAAACCACCTAAAAACCTATTTTGATTTTCATAAACATAGTGTGTACTCTTCTTTATGTCTGAAAGTTGTGATTTGGTATTTTGGATAAAGAATAATAAAACTTTTTTTTCTCTTCTGGATAATCAATGTAAGATTTCAGGGTGTTCCAAATGTGGCATGATATTAGATATTGTATACAGTAGGGTATGTTCTACTGTGAGTTTCAATTGCAGTGAGTTACGATATATATTGTTATCTTTATTTTCTCTAAAAGAATAAAAGAAATGACTGCAGTTAAAACCCACGGTTGATCAGTTTTCATACAAAAAGAAAATTGGATGATTTGTGTGTTGGTTTATGTTTACTTAGACTAGCAATTCTAAATTTTTGTACGTATTAATGCAAATACAAGTGTTTACTGAACTGAATAAGCGATATTAGAGGTGCAGATAAGTTACAAAAAAGTGATTAAGTTCCAAGTTTGTATTAAAGTTGCGTTAGTTGAATAAATTTGTGTGAAATTTTGAGAAGCATTAGCGAAAAGTGCATAGTCAATGCTTATAATAATTAATCCTAGTTAAGATATAACTATTTTTTAACTATAAAAAGAGTGTTTCGGAAATGTGACCAGATTTATTTTGGTTTTAAATTAAATAAAATCACGGTGACTACTTTTTTATTACGATGAGAAGAATGTAAATGTTTTAGTGTAATGGCATTTCCGTATTTTTACTTATGTGATATTTACTCGAGGTTTTTCTCGTTCATAAATTTCGAATTGTCAAAATAAAAGTAATATATTTTAGCTCAATTTGGAAATAAAAAATTTTTTTTAATGACTTTTTGTTTCTATAATAATACCTTACCTTCTGAATCATTTCCTTTGACAGCATATTTTAATTTTACCATCTACCCAGGTGGATTTTGTAGATTGAGACTTCGTTTAAAAACGACACCCTGACTTGTGCTGACCTTGCCCACTCAGTAACGATACAGACAGTACAAATATTTAGAAAGGCGGCAGTGTCTAATTATCGGTATGTCGTCCAAGAACATTTTATTGAAAATGACGTCATCGTCCCAGGTTTCAAATTATTTCGTACGGGTTATAAGACAAAGGTCGGTTGTGCCGGTCCTGTGTATAATAATAAATAACACATACTGATAGATATATATAAAATAAGATAAATAATGAAGAAGCCTCATAACTATAACATTTGAAAGATGTAAACTTAGTGAAAATTAAGGTGAATTTATAACTGCTTTGGTCTTGATACGTTTTAACTCAAGTTTAAAACTAAAGAATGTCAAATAAACGTCAGAATTGACATTTAATGTGATGTCTCTTGTCAGTCGGTTTTTGCCTGTCATCGTGTATGTTGTATTATTTAAAATATTTATGCTATTCTTGACGAAATCTACTACTTAAATGCATAAAGATGTCTGAAATGGAAGTTACAGAAAGTGGAAGTGATTGCTCTAACGATCTACGTAAGTGTATGCGGTATGGGGAAATTATATTTATTTTATAACATGTCTCTACATCTGGCTGTCTGTTTTTCTCGTAGTTCTTCTTGATCGAGTATTTTTGAGGCTTGGAAATGCGGATTCCGATGAACAGCTGGAGAGCTGTCTTAATAGATTCCTTCCTCCTGTTATCCTGAAGTTATCATCACCTCATGAACAAGTTAGTTTGATCTGTATATTTTAGTTGCTTATTTTATTATTTATTCAAGTTCTGAATTGGTAAACTAAATATAACATATTTTGCTGTCGATTTACACAGGTTACTGCTAAATATTACTTTAAAGTACTGCTATGATACATTAAATGTGGTTGACATTTTAGGTTCGCACAAAAGTAATGGAGTTATTGGTGCATGTGAACAAGAGAGTGAAATGCCGAGCTGATGTTCAGCTGCCGGTGCAAACCTTGCTACAGCTATATAAAGATCCTGTTGCTAACAGTTTTATTGTTGTAAGTATTGACTAAATATGTCAATAAGACTAGAGACAGAAATTAGTTGCAAATTCATCAATTTCTTTGTACTATAATTAAATGTTTACATTAGTTAAATCTGTTTCTACTCAATGATTGCTTAAAATCTTAATCACAAATCTTTTTCAAATTAAATATGAATATGCCATATTTAATTAGAAAAAGATTTGTCATATATCAAAAGGAATGAATAAATGTCTAATGTAATATCTCTAATTTCTTTCAGAATTTCTCTAAAATATACATAACAATGGGATTCCCAAGACTGCCTCGGGAACAGCAACTTAGTTTAGCGCCTTCATTGCTTGAGGCCATAGAGAACAAACCTCAACCCCATCAAGATGGGTATGTTTTAATTTCCTATTCTTCATATTCTTCCACCTGACTTAAGCATAAATAGAAAACAGTTGTCATATTAAAAGGATATCAAACATCTCAGAACACTTTCTAATTCTTCCAGTTTCCATTTTGCGCTACATTTCTCAGTAACCTTGTGAGATCTTCATTGAACCCATGGGTTTCTAATTGGATGGCTTTGGGAAGCGTTTTTCAAATGATATTCTAAGTAATGTTTTATTATTGTTTTCAGGATTTTAATGCTCATGATGCCTCTCCTAGGTGAAATAAAAGACTCAGATCTGAATTTGAAGGAAAAACCTAAAGTTTCATCTCTAATACTGAAGTTTGCATTGGATATTTTACTGTTACCTTACAGGTGAATAGATTTGGTACATTTTAAACTATTAAAAAGTCCCATTATAGAAAATATCATGGATTTACTTGTTTTCTTTCTTCTAAAATGTTATCCAGGGCTTTACCAAATGCGGGAGAGAGTGAGTTCCAAGTACCGCCAGGAATGAGTATGAAAACATATAAAAGGATAGTTGCTAATAACCAATTGAACCCCAATCAATTAGAAGAGGTGAGTACAACTTTTAATTAATAATTAATTATGATATTACCATTACATTATTATGGTGATGCATACCTGTACATATCGGCTAAGAAATTCAAAGATATGTGTGAAGTCAACCAACCTGCACTTGGCCAGTGTGGTTGACTATGTTGACTATGACCTAGTCACCCCTAACTTAGGGTTGGCTCCAAGCCCCTCGGTGGGGACATATAGTGAGCTGGTGATGAAGATGGTGATGGTGATGGTGATGCATGAAATACTAATTTTTTGCTCTTGAGTTTGTCTGTATGAAATAAAAAAATCTAGTATTAAACATAGCCTATATTTCAAGTAATTGATTATGTACCTTACTAATCGCAAATATTAAAATTTGTCCAGTAGTTTTTGAGTTCATTCATTTCAAATATAAAAACCTAGATAATATTAAGAACAGGCTTTTTATTATTATAATGTGTTTTCTTTTGTAGATGAAATTATCAATAGTGAATTTCATAAGCAAGGATGTGTTCAACATGAATGATGTTCTATTGCCGCTGATCGTGGCGGCGGCAGACTCGCGGTTCAGTGTTGCCAACCACGCGAATAGCCCGCTTATTAGAGTAAACAGGTAACATGCCATATCCTAAACATGTTTGTCAACAACTATATGTTGCTCTCTTTGCCCGCACTGTATTAAAACATACAAAGAATGAAGCTTAACAAAGAACAAAGTTATCTTTTTAGAATGTGACATTTTTCAGAGATGAATCGTATCCCATATGCTAGACCAGGCTTTGGTTTATTTTTGTTGCAAATATCAATAAGATATGTTGAACTGTTACAAAATTATCGAGTAAACATTAGAAAATAAAATAAATGTATCCTTTGGGAACCGTAATTGTTTCAAAGATCAAAAGTAGTTTTCTTCTAGACTATTCTTTACATGTATATTTCTTTAAGATCCATTTAGTGAGAGTTAGAAAGTAAACTCTATGAAATTCCATCCATCCATTTTTTTCCGTTTTATTAATTTACTTTTCCATCTTACTTCTTACTAATATTATAAAAGCGAAAGTTTGGGTGGATGGATGTTTTTTAAAGTTTGTAGTCTAAACGGTTGAATTTAATTAAATTTTGTATAGTTGTAGAGGATAGTCTGGAAGAACACATGGGCTACACACTTTTGTTTTGTTTTTTAATTTCACGAGGACGGAGTCGCGGGCGAAACCTTGTTTATAATATTAGTAAGGTTAAATAAAAAAAATAAAAATAAAAAACTTTGTTACCAGTTCAGTAGAGTGGTCTCAGCCCGCAGTAGTGGGACCTCTGTACTCGCTGTACCTCGGCACTTGGGGCGGTCTGAAGGTGCCACCGGATGATCGTAAGGTAATAAAATAAACCCAGTTAAAAAAATGGTCTTTTTTAATACAGGCAGGCTAAAAATTCCTTAAAATTTTAGGTTCCCGCTTGCACAAGACTACGTTTAAAGTTAATCCAATATTTGAACAAAGCAACAGGACCCGCTATAATGTTCCCGCATTGCGTTCAGGTAACAAATATTATTTCAATTCTGTAACCATATATACAGTAAACCCCCCTTCAACGTAAATTTCGTACTCCCATGTAACGCTTAAATTCCCCCCTATAACGCCAATATTCACATTTTTAAAGAACCTCCCTGAGCTTTATGTCTTTGCCTGTTGTTACGGGGATTCCTACAACGCGGAACCTTTAACCGCGTTATAGAGAAGTTTACTGTAATAAATTCCAACAAAATGAGGTAAAATTCTCACTCTGCTCTATTTTCAGGTTGTGTTTTCATCATTATTTGATCCAAATACAAATTCCCGTCTCAGGAACATGGTGTTGATGTTTTTATTGAATGTTATTAACAAGTAAGTAATCAAAAAATATAAAAACAATTAAATCATGTTCTATGGATAATCTGTATTCTATTCCTCATAGTGGTGATTCAGAGCAGTTAAAGAAAGTGGGCACAGTGTTCCTGCATGGTTTGCTGAAGCTGGTCAGATCTGAGGAGTACGCTGACCATCACTCTAAAGCCTATATGTGCTTAGGTATGTATATACCTACATTAAATGTGAATATTTGGTTGTTTTATTAACTAAACAACAAGAATAGTTTATTTAACAAAATTCTCTAAAGTGTTTATTTCACCCCCTGTTTTATTTCCATTTATTACAAAATATAGCCAAACATGATCTAGAAAAACCTTCGTTATATTGAGGAAAAAATGGAATTGTTTTATTTGATTTTGTTAGATGTGATGTTATAGAGAAACCGGGAGTTTTATATTCTTGGTTAACCAAGAATATAAAACTCCCGGTTTTATTTTTATTCTTATAGCTTAAGCTATAATCTCATATCTTTATTTTCTTGTTTTTATATATAATATATTTCACATGGTTTTTTTTAAAAAAATAACAAAATAAAACATATTATATAAAAAAATAGAAGTCCACCGGCTGCGGAATCCGATGACTCAAGCAACCAGTGGTCAGGGCTGCAGAGACAGGAACCTCCTCACTATTCGTGCGGTTTCTAAAATAACCGCCTTTTGAATCGGGCCCTTAATCCAACTGTCTAGCGAGAGCTTCTTGAGGTGTTGGTCGATAGCTTAAGCTATAAGATTATTATCATTCTCTAATAAGTAATTTATTATGTTGTTAATTTTTCTTAATGGTCAAGTATAATTATTACGTAACAACAATTACTATGCCAAAATAGTATTGGATATGTAAAATAATGCTCTTTCAGGTCGTTTGGCGATGAAATGTCCTGAAAGTATAAACAGACAGTTCACGTTACTGGAAGAGTTGGTAAAGAAGATTCCAGAAGCTGTACCTGAGATGAAGACGGCGCTGCGAGACGCACTGCTAGATATGTCTGTTGCCTACACTATGCATAAACCAGGTTTGCATATGGTCCTATATATTCCTACATAAACAGTAATACAAATATTACCTTACTAGCTTTCAAGCGCGTCTCCGTCTGAGTGGTATTAAAAAAAAAGAAAAGTATCATATGTGTTCTTCCAGACTATTTTTTATCTCTGTTCAAAATTTTATCGAGATCCGTTTAGCAGTTTATTCTACAAATTCTAATAAACATTTATCCGAACTTTCTTAGTTATAATGTTGGTAAGATTTCCGTAAAGCAAAACTATTGGTAATAAGTTGATTTAGTAGGACAGTAATAAAGCAATTCTAATTATATCAATGTAAGTCTTACGAATCTATATTAAATCTCAAGTTGGTCCAAAGTACCTATTACTACTTAATAACCTATTCACAATGCTTTTTAAATTCGTAGCTAATCTATAAATATGTTAACAAGAATAATGGGATTGATATAATTCATGAGTTTTTATTTTTTTCTCAAATGTCACTTAAAAACCACAATTTCATACAAAACACATTAGATATCTTTATTGTGTTACAATTGTTCTACTTGTAAGAGGCGTGACACTTGAAAAAATAATTAAAAATACCAGTCACCCAAACATAAAGTAAGCTTCGAGTATATATGATGATCTGTATTCTTTTAGAAGGTAATGAAGCGATGGACACGTCAGAGGCGGGCACCAGCAACGACATGGACGTAGATGAGGGCTCGGAAAGCAAGAAGTCGCGCCCCAACCCTTACGACGAGCCGCAGGCGCTGGCGCTCTACGCACTGCTCGACCAGTCAGTTACTAAATATTGCCCTCTCTATCATTCCCTTTGATAAAACAGAGACAATAGAGTTTCATGTTTAGATTCAACCATATATTAGGTCTTAATTTGATGTCATTTTTACCGATTTATGAAGCTAGGGATGTGGTTGATGGTTTTAACGTAAACCAAACGAAATAGTTATATTTATTTCAACTAGTTGATTTTATTAACAAAATAAATAGTCTATAGACCGAAGATTGATGGCGAAAATAAAAAAATCAATTATCGATTCCTATGTAAAATTAATAATGAATTTAACTAGTTTAACCAAAATAAATCAAAAAGATAGAAAGATGATTTGTTAATTCAACTAGTTTTAATCAACGCATATTCTTTTACCTTTTCGTAATATTAAAAGGTATTTCTTTGAACAGCTACATGCATAGCGAGGATCCCATGATCCGCTATATCGCCATGCGCTACTCCTCCGTGGTGTTCCCTCAGGACTACGTGCCCTCGCGGTACCTGCTGCTGCTGGCGAGCGGAGACAGGTAAAAACATACTGCATACTAATATAAATTATTGTGAAAGTTTAAATTGATGGATGTTTGTTACAACCTACCTCAAAAACTTAACAATTCATGATGGAATATGGCACAGATGTAGATAATAGTCTAGAAGGAGACATATGCTACCTACTATGTTTTTATATTCCTTGTGGAGTCGCGGGCATAGGCTAGTATACTGTAAGAATATATAATATATAATTACAGTGGTAGAGCCCGCATCCAGCATTTGCTGGAGCACGAATGGCCCGCTCGCCCGGTGTAATACCACGACCACACGAAGACAGGCGTG